GGTGCACCCACCTGAGCTGTCAGGGAGCCCTCTCACCAGTGACACCGGTGGACGCTGGTACCTCCATTTCAGGGAACCCCAAAAGCATGTCCTCTGCCTTGCAGGGCTCTGTCAGGCAGGCATTCCTCTCCCCCATTTTGCATGAAGGGGAACAGGGCTTGGGGGGGTGGGGAGGGGGCTTGTCCAGCTGGCCCGTGGCAGTGCCCGGACAGGCTGTTTCTAGAGGCTCCGGAGCGGCAGAGGCTCGTGGCGGTTGAGTTACAGGAGGCAGCCCCTTCCCCACCCGGTCAGCTGCCGAAGCTGTGGCGGGAACAGCAGACCTTGCGGGAGGGGGCTGCCCCTCTACTGTCTCTGTCCTGCAGGGCCTTGCCCGCCCTCCGGCCCGTGCCTTCCATCGGGGGCCAGGGAGAGCAGGAGGAGGCTGGGCACAGGTGGGGGTCCGGTCTGCAGAGCGGGCAGCGTCTGTGACAGGGGGCCTGGCGAGGCTCCACCCACCCTGATCTGCTACGTGACCCTGAGGGGTCGCACCCTCTCCCACATGGGCAGGGGGTGTGGCTGCAGGCTCTCTGGGGCTGCCGCTCCCCACCTCCTGCTGGGAGCCCTGCCAGGGCCGAGCTGGGGTTTCCTGCTGTCCCTCGCGCCTTCTCCCATTCTCTGTGACTTACCAAAGGCAAACAGCATGGTCCCTGCGGTAAGGCCACGCCCGGCAACGCCAGGCCAGCTGGCCCACAGGAGCCTGGGCGGGGCCGGGCAGGAGCGATGGGGCCGGTTAGATAAGCAGGTGCTGGCGGGGCCCCAGTGGGTGCCCCCATGCTGGCCCCAGAGCCCCCTGCCCAGGAGGAGCCCAGGGCAGCTGGACTTTGTGCTGCAGGGGCCCCGGCCATCAGCACGGGCGGAGCCCCAGCTCAGACCCCCGCACCCGCAGGACAGGCCGCAAGCTGAGGCTGCGAGGGCGGGGGCCTGAGGGTGGGGGCTGGGGGCAGAGAGTCCTGGCTGGAGGCCTGGACCCCCGTCAGATGGGAACCGGGGCCTGAGCCGGCTACAGCACCCCCTTGAACAGGCTGCTCGAGCTCCCTAGTGGCTCCCAGCTTGCCCGTCGGCCGCCAAGGACTCCAGGACACGGGGCGGAGCTAGCGCCAAGGGCAGCCGTGGGGTCAGAGGCCACCTCTCAGGGACCGCAGCACGCCCAGCACCCAGGAGAGGGCAGCACCGGCCACACCACGGGCATGCCCCCCCTCCTCACGGCCCCAGCCCAGCAGGTAAACTGAGGCTCAGGCAGCCAGCGGCAGCGGGAGCTGGCCCAGGCTTCCAAAGAAGGCCCTGACTCTGCTCGGTCCCTGCACCCAGCCCTGAGGGGCAGCCTCGCTGCTGCCTTCTTTGCGCTCAGAGGCCGGTGAGGCTCGAGTAGGCGTCAAGGTCACGTAGTCACGCCGGCCGCCCGCATGTCCCCTCGCTTCCTCACAGACGCTCGGGGGCGCAGTTGAGCCCCAGCGGCGTGTCCTGGGATGACATGTGGGCTGTTGGCCAGGACAGGGTGTCCTTGCCCCGCTGCGGCGGGCGCCTGTCAACACTGTTGGCCCCGGGGTCCGCCAGGTGAACAGGCTGCCCCCCGGGGACCTGTCTGCAGATGAGGGACCCAGGCCTCGGCAGGCTGCATGGGGCCGCCCTCCGCCCGCTGCCTCTCCCTCTCTCTCCCTCATCGCCGCCCGCCACCCCCCGAAAGGGCATGCGGGCCTGATGTGCACAGCTCGGCCAGGCCTGGCTCCAGCCTCCCCCGCTGCTCAGCAGACCTGGGTCTGAGGCGCAGCCTCCCCTGCCCCGGGCGATCCAGCTGGGGGCGCCTCGGTGTGGTGGAAGGGGCTCCTGCGGGTGTGCCAGGCATCATGCTAAGGCGGAGAGCCGGCCTGCCCCGGCTGCGGGTAGGCCTGGGCGGCAGAGCAGGGAGGACTGGCCGGGGCCGCCTGTGCCCGCACACCTGGCTGCTCAGCAGCGGGGAGGGGACAGAGACAGGGGAGCCCGTCCTGATGGGCACATTCCCCAGGGACCCCGAGGCCAGTGGCTCCCTCCCTTCCCCTGCCCCAGCAGGGCCTGTGGCTGGCCGAGCACCCAGTTCCAGGGCCCTGTCCCCACTCCCGCGAGTCTGCCTGTGGGGCGCGGCTTCTGGGCCCTGTGGGTGTGGCGGGAAGCTGGTGTTTCCATGGCGCCTCCATCTGGGGCCTCCAGCTCTCCGTGATGCTATTTAAGGATAACAGTCTTCCTGCCTGCCGCCTCCAGCCCCCCTGCTGCCCCCAGCTCTCGTCCCCCTTTCCCTTGTTCTCCACCTCCGCCCAGTCCCCCGGGCACCAGAAGTCGGCACCCCACACAGCCCCCCTTTTCCAGTCTAATTTGGCCCCTGGTTGGGAGAGGGTCCCTGCTGGGCATCTGTTTGGCCGGGCTCAGCCGGGGGACAGGGGTGCCGCCGGAACAGCCCTCTACCAGAGGCTGCTGAGCACCCCCTGCCAGTGTGCACGATGGCACAGACCGTGCCCTGCACAGGGGCCTCCTGGACCTGGGAGATGGGTCGTCTTGGTGACCACTGCTGCTCTCCACCCTCGGCTCCCGGTTCCAGGACTCCCTGGCCTTGGCCAGGCCAGCCCTGCGTGGGGTCCTGCCCCTGGCGTGCTGAACGGTCGCCTTATCAGGAGGCAGCCCCTCTGGCAGCGCGCGATACCCGGAGGACGCACGGCTGCCGGGACGCGCCAGCCACGCTGTTATCTGGGGCACTCGGCCCGCCGGTCCTGCGGCTCCGATTAGGGACGTGGCCGTTGCCTGTGGGTGCTGGCCTGGGTGGGGTGGGGACACCACTGGCTGCCTCCTCCCTCCACATCCACGAGGGCTCTTGGGTGCCATTCCCAGGCGTCCCAGGAGCCCCAGGGCTGCCCATGGCTCCTCCTGGCTGCCAGGGAGACCTGGGCCCCCACCGTCCCCGTGCATCCCCGCATGGGGGGGCAGAACCCCAGCCCTCCCTGCGCAGGAGGTGAGCACAGCCGAGGGTCCCGAAGGGCCCAGCCAGCTCCAGCGGGCAGGACTTCGGGAGTGTTCTGGTCACTGGAGGAGAGCGGGGCAGAGGGCCTGCCTGCCGTCTCTGCCTCGTCACAGGGCCCAGGGGCTTCTCAGGCAGGGCCCACGCCGGCCAGGCTGCAGCGGGAGAAGCGTGGGGTCTCTGCTCAGAGGCCGGAGTGCAAGTGACCCCGCACCTCTCGGCTTCAGGATGGGGCTGGTGAGGCCTCAGGGTTAGGGGACACCCTGGCGGGAGGGGCTGCAGGACACAGGCCCAGCCCCTGGTGACTGCACGCCAGCCTGGGGAGCTGAGCTCTGGGCCCACGGGACAGCTGTGCTGCAGCCAGATGGCTGGACACGGGGCCTCTCCCCGCCTCGCGCACGCCCCGGCCCCATGCGGACACGCGGGGCCGGGTTGGGGGGCCAGGCTCGGGTCAGCCGTCGGAGCGGGCTGGGGGTGGCCGGGGCTGCTCTCGCTCAGCGCCGCGCCATGGGGCCGGGGGGAGTGGGGATGGCGGCCTGGGCAGAGCTCTGGCCAGGACTGCGTGGCCTGGGCTGGCAGAGGCAGGGCCCCTGTGGGTGGGCCGCGGAGACCCCGGGCCCGCCTCCACCCCGCTCTGAGGGCTGATAAGGGGGCGCTGGCCTCCTGGCCTCATCCTGGTCCCCTGCCACCTTATCTGCCCTGGGGAAGACAAGGACCCAGTTACAACGTTTAGCCGGGCCTCCCGTGTACGCGCACGTTATCTCTGCCATTAGGCTGGCGGTTATCTGATAATTGGGCCCATTAAGGCCACAGCCTGCCCGGTTGGGGCTCCAGGAAGTGGGGCTGCCACAGAGCACGCGGGGACCAGGCCAGGCCATGTGAGGCCTCTGTGGGCCCGGCGGCACCAGAGCGCCAGGGGACCCCACCTCGGCCAGCAGAGGGTGGCGGCCTGGGGAGGACCCCCTCGGGAGTGGCCACTGGCCCCGCCAGGGCCTGAGGCTGGAGCAGGCCGCGTCTGGGGGCTGCCGTGCCCCACATGCCTGACCTGGTGTGTGAGAACACGGAGCCCAGCGAGCTCCCCAGCCAGGTCCCTTGTCCCGGGGCCACGCGCTCCTTCCTGCCCCTCCCAGCCCGCGGCCCGGGCTGTGTGGCCACCTCTGCCTCCACCTCCTCGCGGCTCCTTCCCCGCAGGCCTATTCCCGGGCCTCTTGCGAGGATGGTGCCGGCCTCGAGGCCTGTACTCACCCGGTGCTCGCGCACCTCTGCAGAGGCCCCGCATCCGGTGAAGACACAGCGTGGGTCCTGGGCGGGCCTATCTTTTGGGGTCCGCCCTTCAGCTCACAACACAAGGTCTCAGCTCCTGGGGGGGCGGGGGGGTGGGCCCTGGTGCCTGGCCGCAGGCCCTGTCCACCCTGGGGTACTGGCCCACCTGCGCAGGTGTGGTGGCTGGTCCCCTGGCCGGGTCTCGCAGCCTCCGTGGGGTAGAGGCTTCACGAGAGCAGGGGCCGGGCCGTCCAGAGGGCAGAGGAGGTCCGGGGGCACCACTCGGTGGCAGGGAGGACACAGACTTGGCCTTTGCCTCCTGGGACAGTCTGGCTGTGCTCAGGGCCGTGGGGGGAGCATGCAGCTTGTGCCTCGGTTTCTCCAGCCGGGCCCTGTGCTGTGCACGCCCCATGGGTTCCACAGTGCTCGCTGCCGGCAGAGCCAGACGGTGCCGGGTCCCCGTCTTACGGCTACGGGAACCACAGTGACGCCCCCACCGGTGCTGCCTGGGGCACGGCAAGCCCCTCCTCACGGCCCTCCCTCCCCATGCACCAGCAGGGCAGCCCGGCAGCCCAGGGCGCGTCCTGGGCTTGCAGGTTGGCCCACCACCGGGCTATAGGAGATGTGTGTCCCCGCTCAGGCTGCCCCAGCTCCAGAACCAGCACCGGATGCCAGCAAGCCCCGCCGCCGCTCACCCTCTGATGTCTCTCCACAGACGAGCTGGAGCTGGTGCTGCAGGACGGGCAGCGGTGCGTGCGGGCGCGGCGTGGCCTGGCCCAGGGCCTGTCCTGGGGCCCGTTTCCTGGGGACATCCAGAGCAGAGCCTCGTCTCCGGGGCAGGCAGAACTGGTAAGGAGCCCGCCTGCCTGGCAGCCTCGGGCACAACCCCTGCGGACGCCAGCAGCGCAGCGTCAGGCCCGCTGCCACTCGGCCCCTGCTGGGCACTCTGGGATGTGGGGCGGGAAGGCGGGGCAGGCTCCCTGGAGGAGGGGTCCTCAGCACAGACAGTAAGAATGTGTGGGGGTTGTGGGGGGGCGGCTGGGCCTGGCGCAAGGAAGGTGGTTTCTCAGGGGCAGCCCCTCACATGGGGAGACAGCCTCTCGCTTCCCCCCGGGGGTCCTGTGGGGACGGGGAAAGGGCACCGCTGGGGACTGTGCACCCAGCGCTCGGGGCCACCCAGCGCGGGCCAGGCCGGCCTTGGCTCTGCTTGACCCTGTGGTCACTGGGTGTCCTGCAGAGGTGGGGAAGCAAGTACCCCAGGGCCTCCTCCTGCAAGCAGGAGCCCCAGCACAGAGGCCAGGCCTGTGTTCCTGCCCCGACCTCCCCAGTGCGGAGGCTGTGCTGACCCAGCGTCCCTGGGCCGGCCCATGCCCCCAGCAGTTGGACGATCTCCCTGGCAAATGTGCCATCCAGCTGAGGCCCCTGGGCTGCCCACACCCCACACCACCTGTCAGAGACCTGGCAGACTCAAGGAGGCACGTCCAGAGCCCCTCCGTGAGTGAGTGGGAGGAGCCCAGGCCCAGGCGTCTGCCGCCACACTCCTGCCACACCTGCTGCCACATCCCACTCCGGCTACTGTGCTGCGTGTCCCCAGCAGGCCCCTGACCTCTGCATATCCACGATCTCTGGAACCCCGGGGTCAGAGAAGCCCTATGTGGCCCTTGAGGCCTGGGCCTGAAGCCCTTCTGCTCACCACAGAGGGCGGGTGGGCTGTGGCTGGCTCCTGGGCACGGCTGGGGTGGGGGATGGTGCCCGCCACTGAGCAGGGCAGCCATCTGGTCCATGGCCGCAGGCAGGGAGGACAGTGGTCAGGGCTCCAAGGTGGATTCGGCCCCACCACTGGACAGACAGTGAGCCCCCAGTCACGGGAGGCCTGCGGGCCACGGCTGGCTCTCGAGGGTTGGGGGAGGCCGGGGCTCTGTGGCGCCCAGTGGGCGCCGTGCGGGTCGAGATGTCCTCTGGGACATGGCCGCCGCGTCCGTCATGGATGAGCGTGTCCCAGGCTTGACCCCACCAGCAGTGCCCCCTTCCCATGGGCCCCCCACCCCAGGAAGCAGCCGCCAGGCCCTGGGATCGGATCACAGCAGGAGAAGCAGGCCACGTCCTCCCAGCCCAGAGACCCCCGTGGGCCTGGTCCCCCAGCGCTGCCGCCGCCTCTCCGGGCCTGTCCCCCTTGGCTGGGCACAGGTCAGCCTGGGGAGCGAAGCCCGCTGGGGTGCACGGCAGCACGCCAGGGAAGCTCTGAGGGAGGAAGGGCCTGCTGCTCCCGCCTGCAGCTTTATCTCCCGCAGAATTAAATCCTTGATTAACCCTTATCTCGCCAGCAGCCGCTATCTCGCCCTGGCGCCGAGTGTCCAGACGCACCGTACAGATGATTGATTCTCAAAGATACACACGCCTTCCGATACTTCATTTATTGTCTAAATATTTTTGATAACATTTCAGCGGGCCTTATCCAGCCGGGCTGATGGCGCCCAGCACCCCCGCCCCCCCCATGGTGCTGTCGGTTCCAGGGAGTTTGTCTTCGCTGGAAAGCAGGAGGGGAGAGGGGTGCCTGTGTGGTGTGGGGGCCCCGCCCAAACATCCTTAGGCCACCACTCCCAGGCGGGCAGGGGCGCGGGCACCCCGGGGGCCACTGGCAGCACCGCCGTGCGCTCTCTTGACCGGGGGCCGCCCCCACTGGAAACCCAAGGCAGAGACTAAGTCAGCTTCAAAATGTGCAGCAGACACAGGAAACATCTAGGAGAGCTGGGGGGCGACAGGCGGATGAGGGCTGGGGTGCGGGGGAGGGATGACTAGTGGATGGGGTGGGGGGCCGTGAGCGAACACCCCCCATCCTGGCCTCGCTGACTCGGCCCACCCCCAGGGCTGTCCAGCACCCCCAGGGCTTATGCCCTTTAGTCAGCGTCCAGGCAGCACAGGCCTGCGAGGTGGGTGGGCCACTTGGGTCCTGACCAGTGTGGCCACAGGTGCGTCTTCACATAGGAATCAGGGGGCCTTTCGGGGTGTCCCCCGGGGCTGGGTCCCTGGGTGGCCTCTGCAAGAAGCTGCGCTGCCTGGGGTCGGGGTCGCCGCATGCCTGAGCCAAACCCCACGGCATGACAGCCCGTGGGGGCTCTGGTCGGGCTTGTGGGGACGCAGGGCACGACATCGTGGGGGTGTCCCCTCCCCATTTAACTCTACTTACATCTGTTTGCAATGGCGATAAATTCAAAAGCCCCAGCCTGTCACCGCCACAGGCCCTGTGACTTGCGGGGCCCCCAGCCCAGAGGCGGGCAGCGGGGCTCCCTTTACATGATGGGCACCTTGAGGCCCTGTGCCTGAGCGCCCACTGTCAGCGTCCCCCTCCTACCATGTGGGGTGCTGGGGTCCCCACTGCTGGCCGCGCCCGGGCCCCACCCTTGAGTGCCAGCAGGTCCTGGGACCACAGCAATCATGCCCCGTCGTACACATGGGGAACTGAGGCTCTGGGAGACGCCGGGGGCGTGGTCCTCCCGGGCCGCTGAGCAGGATGTCCTCGCGACTCTGGTGTCCGCGGGCTGGTCCCAGCCGGGGCCTCCCGCCCATCTCCAGCTCTGCCAGCTGCCAGCTGCCAGCAGCCCTGGGCCCGTCCTCACCGTGGCTCCCCTTCCGAGGGCACTTGTCCAGATTTAGGGTCCGCCTGGGTAGTCCTTTCTGAAACCCCCTGGATTATCCTTCATCAGGTCTGCAAAAGTCCCTTTCTGAGCAAGGTCATGTCCAGTGGCTCCAGTGGACGTGACTCTGGGGTCACCACTCAACCCACAGAGCTGCACATGGCAGCACCAGGTAGCCGGGGGGTAGTCTGTGCCCAGCTGGAGCACCAGGTGGGCAGCAGTCTGGGAACCAGGCCCAGACAAGACACCTGCAGGCTGCCTTGCCTGGTTCTGTCCCCTCCTGCCTCAGTTTCCCTGCCTGCAGCATAGGGGCTGGGAATGTGCCACAGGGCCTGGGAGCTGCGACTACAGGGTCAAGTTGGACTGGCCTCCTGGGGGCCCAGGAAAAGGCTCAGCTGGTCCCAGGACACCGGGGTGACCTCCCCTGGGTCCAGGGCAGTCACGGGCACCAGGCCCACCCTTACTGGCAGGACCTTCTCTGAGCCCCAGGACCTCGAAGCCACGTGGCCCCCCCTGCCTCCACCCAGCCCCTCTATCGCTGCAGGCCTCCTGGCTGCCCTGGCTGCAGCTGCCCTCCCCGCCCCAGCCTGCCCTGTCCGTCCAGCTCGCTCCCCTCCTGCCCTGTCCTGCCCCGACTCTAGCACCCACCAGGGAGACTGTTGATGCCGCGGTCCCTGCAGCCACAGGCTCTCCTGCCCCGGGGCTGCTGGAGAAGTGAGTGGGTGGAGGGGGTGAGGGGTGAGTGAGCAGGTGCGCGGGCGAGGGCGCCAGGGGTGGCGCTGGGCGCGCAAAACGTGCTGCTCAGGGCCGCTCTGCACGCAGCACGTCACGGCGTGGACGGCGCCATCACCTCGCGGCCTCAGCCTCTGGCTGTGAAGCAGGCTCTCAGCATCCCGGGGAGACAAGGGCCGGTGGGGTAGGAGGCCGACCCACTGACCTCTGCGGGGCGTGGGCTCCCTGGGCCCCCCCAGCATGGCACCCGGGCTGCCTCCACGCTGCCCAGCGGGGCTTGGGCCGGCGGCTGCTGCCTGCATGGCGGATGCGCCAGGGATAGGGTTTCCGATGGTTATCACGGCGCGGGGGCCGCACACTGACCCCTTTGTTGGGGGAACAAGGGGTGTTCTCAGATCCGCCCAGAGAGCTTGACGAGACTGCCTGCTGTGCCGGGGACAGGGCTGCCAGGGGCTGCAGGCCGGGTGGGCAATGGGCTGGGGCTGGCCCTGGACACGCCTGCCCGGCCAGCTAGAGGCAGAGAAGACGCCGTGCGGGCCGCAAGGGGAGGCGGCCAGCTGCTCACGCGCGTCTCAGAGTTTGGGCCAAAGCTTGCACCCCACTGCCCGTGCTGGGGGCTGGGACCTCTAATCCGGGGCTGCTGTGGAGGGTGAAACAGGAAGTCCCCGCAGATGGGACTAGAAGTCACCCCCTGACTCGGGGGTCGCAGCCCCGTGGGCTTGGGGTCCAGAGCTGGCCGGTCCCTAGACGCCACCCCTGCCCCTGTAGCGCTGGGATGACAGCAGCCCCCACGGGCCAGGCCCAGGCGTTGCATCTGACGGGCAGAGAGGCCGAGAGGAGCCTGACCCGGCCACGGCAACCGCACCGGCAAAGTGGGCAGCTGCCCAGGTGAAGGACTCGGGGGCGCAGGCCCCGGGCCCCCTCCTGCCCGCCTGGCCCTCATGGGTGCGCACCCAGCCCCTGGGGAGCTGCCGCAGGGCACGGGCTGGCAGACGGGCCAGCGGGGGTGGCGGCCCTGGCCTCCCTGCGCCAGGAACACAGAAAGTCGGGGGTTCTGCAGCGTCAGCAGAGCCGCACGGGGCTTTTATCGCGCAGCGAACACGCCGCGCCGGAGAGTGATAAGCGTTAAACCGGCCGGGAGCCTGTCAGTCTCAGTTTGAGGGCTTAGAAATATTGGGACGAATAATTAGATTTCATATCGTTACCTTCGCGCCCATCGGAGGATCAGCAGATTAATTTTTTCACCCTCCTCCACTCATGAATATTCATCAGAGGCCGGGAGGGCTGGCCGGCCGCCGCCGCGGCCAACTGCTGGCCCGGCCCGGCACCGCAACACGGGCGCAGCACCCCAGCGGGCCACCCACCACTGCCCGGGCCCCGCCTGTCCCGGCGTGGGCTCGGGGGAGCCCCCAGCAGACGCCCTCAGCCCAGACTCACGTCCAGCGGTAGCTAGACGGCGCTGCCTGCCCTGGCAGCTGTGTTCTGCGGGCGGGGCGGGGGGCACGGGGCGCAGAAGCGGGGCTCCAGGGCTCACATTGCCGGATGTGGGTCACCGCCAGCCCTCCCAGGGAGGGCTTCACACCCACCGCCCTCCTCCGTGTCCTGGGGGACCAGACTGGCAGTCACGGGCAGACGTGACCCACCCGCAGCTCCCCGAGAACAGGACGGTCCAGAGTGAACACACGGGCCACAGCTGCTGCCTGGAGCGCCAGAGACCCAGCGGCAGGCGCGGGCCGGGCTGGCGGGCCAGGGCTTCCTGACCCCGGGCTCACCCATCTCCCCCGACCCACCCGTGGCCCAGAATGCGGCTCTTCTGCTGGCCTGGGTGCCCTGGCCTTGCTGGAATTGGCAGTGGCCAGACCACAGGCCTCCCAGCGACAGGTCGTTGTCTGCAGGGGATGGGGCTGAGGCGGGGGGCTGCCTGGGCAGGGGCAGTTCCCTGCCCAAGGTTGTGGGGAGATCCGGGTGGCAGGCGAAGCCCAGGAAACCGTGGGCCCGGCCCATGCAGAGGGGCCTGTGCCTGGCGCCGACGCAGTGTGAGTGACGGGCACGTGTTTGTGTAAAACACTCGCCGGTGTGCTGTCCTTCCCTAGAGCACCCACTGGCTGAACTTGGGGGCCGCAAGCAGAGAGGGATCCCCACATCGGGGTCCACTCTGGGGCAGAGACCTGGGTTGGCCAGCCTCCCCCAGGCAGCAGTGGGGGCTGAGCAGGGCCAGGCCTCAGCCCGTGTGCCCTCCACGGACCAGAGGCACCATAGGTGCCCCCAGGCCTCTCCCGGCAACGCCATGTTGGCACAGGCCCCGCGTACCCCTGCTGCTGTGCTGGGACAGGGTGCCCGGAGCCCAGTTACCCCTCGCTCCAGCGGCAGCCGGAGCGGGCCCGGCTGGGGGCAAGCACTGCTGGGGGACGCTCTCAGGATGAGACGGGGAGGCCTCTGTAGGACCCCACTCGGAGGGAGGCTGCTGCCACCTCGGGGGCCCCTGGCATGGGGCTCATTTCAAGGACCTTGTGTGGGGGGAGCTCATGCCCGGTTCGGGCACCCCACAAGCGATCCAAGGCTGGGGACGGGGGTCAGCAGAGAACCTCCGGAGATGGGGTAGTCCTGGCTGGTGCCCACTGGCTGGCAGCCGCTGCCCTCTCTGGGCCTGAGATCCCGAGAGTGCCCAGGCCTGACCGCTGGGGCCCACTGGCCCGCCCGGGCGGGCTCCCGCCCCCACCTACCCCACAGGGACGCCCACCGGCTCTTCCGTGCTGACCCCTCCCACTCCGCAGGGGCCCGCCGTGACCCTGCTGCTGGAGGATGAGGCCTGCTGGCTGCGGACACTGCCCCAGGCGCCGAGCGAGGCCGAAGCCAACGCCGAGATCCACAGGAAGGGTTGGTGTCCTGGCGCTCCCCTCGTGGCCTCCGGAAGGCGGGGCACCGGGCCTTCGCTGGCCAGCCCTTAAAGGAAAACCGCCCTGCCGGGCCTCACCGTGCTGGCCACCCTGCGCGGCCCTTCAGGGGCTGGGGGACCCATCCCTCCTGCGCACAGTCACGCGCCAGGCACTGCCGCACCCCAGAGTGTCTCCGCTGCCAGACAGAGCCGGGTGTGCCGAGCAGGTGCTGGGCTCAGCACTGGGGGTCTGGACTCCCACGCCTGGACCAGCACCCCATCCCCAAGGGGCACGCTTGGGACCGAGGGGTGGTCAGAAGATACTCGGGCCAGAGCTGCGGGAGCGGTCGGCCGTGGGGCTACACGCCCATCGGTTAGCACTGCCCACGTGCCCCCTCGCCAGCCTGGTCAGCTGAGCTTGGGTCACCTGCAGCTACCCAGGGAGGACGGGGCCCGGGCTGTGCTGACGAGGGAGGGGCTGTGCCCCTGGCAGGGCTCCTGGCCACTGCCGACCACCACCACCCGCACCCCTGCCTGCAGTGAAGGCCGAGGCCAGAGCCCGTGGGGGCTGCTGGAGATGCCTGGGCAGAGGCAGCCTAGCGCAGCTCAGCCCACTCCTTTGCCGAGGCTGCCCCCTGCAGGCCGCCCAGGGAAAGGCACGGGGTGATGTGGCGGCTGCCTGGGGCGCACACTGCCCCAGGCTGCCCTCCTGCCAAAGGGGCCCTGTGCTGGCCGCCCGGGCCCTCTGCTCCAGGGCGGGGGACACCGGGGCCCTGTGTCCCCACCCGGGGCTTCAAGCTTCATCTGTACGCCGTGGTGGAGCAGAGGGCCCAGGACCAGGGGTCTGTGGGGCACTGGTGGGGAGCCCTGCTCCTCACAGGGGTCCTGCCTCTCCAGACGGCGCCGTGTGGTGCAGCCTCACCAAGCCCGTGCCGGCGGGCGCTCTGCTGAGCGTGCTCCTCGTGGCCAAGCCCCTCGACACTCCCAGCCACCCTGTGAAGACAGAGCCAGCAGAGTCCAAGAGCCCAGCCCCCCCACACCCCGACATCCAGCTCCTGCCCCAGCAGGCCGGCATGGCATCCATCCTCGCCACGGCCATCATCAACAGTGAGTACCCTCCGGGGCGGGAGCCGGCGCACCATGCACGCCAGCGGCCTGCAGGGCTGGGGCCGGACTTGGGGTCCCGGAGGGAGACAGGGCACCGGGGCAACCCCAGCCCTGAGTTGCAAGCATGGCACGGCCCTAGAGGCACGCCTGACCCGCCCCCTGGGTGCAGCCCCCACGCTGCCAGCGTTGCCTGGCAGAGCCGCCTGCAAGAGCCCCGGGGCGGAGGGAGCGCATCTGCCAGGGAGACGCCTCCTGAAACCAAAAAGGGTTCACTCGTCCCCCCAAGTCTAAAACAGGCGTGGGAGGAGGGGTACCCTCAGGCCGGGGATCCCAGCGGGGCGGGCAGCAGGGTTGGGGCCGAGCGAGACACCTGATGGACTTGAAGGTGGACACGGACAGGTGGGGGCTCAAGCAGGACAAGGCTGCCAGGGGCCAGGGGGGTCTGCTGTGTCCAGGCTGTGGTGAGCCAGGAGCAGAGACGCGACCTGACACTGGGCGCAAGGTCACCGCGCAAGGCAGCCCAGAGGGGCCACGTGCAGGAGCGATCAGGATGCAGGGGTGAGGCAGGGCAGACGAGTCACCAGCGTGAGGGCCTCCTGCAGTGCCCACGTGGAGTTCTGGGCGGAGCAGGACAAGGCCACCACTGCCCCAAAGCGAAGGCAGGCTGGGGGGTCTCTGGGGCTGGGGCGGGGGTGCAATGGCTGGCTCCCCCAGACCCGGGAGGGCGTGACCCTGAAGCCCGGGGTGGCCTCGGTATCCTGTCCCTACCCACCCCTGGCCTCCTGGGCCTGCCTGCGGGGGTGCAGGGAGCGCGGGTGCTGGGCCCGGCCTTTCCTGCCGCCCAGGCCCGCCCTGCAGCCTCCATCACCTCCGGGCAGAGGCGCTGGTGTCGGTCAGGTCAGGCTCCCCCATGGGGCTGGCCACGGCGCTGCTGGGCATGCTCCCACTGGCATGAGAGCCCCCTGCCAGTCCGGCAGGCAGGGTGTAGCTGTCAGGCCCTCACTGCCCAGGGCCTCGGAGTCCTCCGGGGAACAGGGCGAGGGGAACAGGGCGAGGGCAGCACGCACACCGCCGCGGCGGGCCCTGAGGGGGCTATGCACCCTCCTGCCAGCTCGGGCTGCGCGCCCCTCCCCACGAGGCCCGGCCCCCTTCCTGGGCTGTAGCCCAGTCCCAGCCCCCATATTGGGGACACGCAAGCCCACCCGCCTGGGTCTGCAGCGCCGCCCAGCCAGGCCTCATCCGAGCCCCACACAGGTGGGAGCACGCGGGGCTGGAGCAGGAAACCAGGGTGCGGGCACCTCCTTGCCTGACAGCACCCTGCTTCGAGACACGAGCGGGGCTGGCGGACTCGGGCGGGGACCATGGGACCCCAGATAAGCCCCCTTGTGGGGGGACAAGCACCGGGAGGACGGAGCCTGCTCCCGCCCCAAGACGGTGCAGAGCAGCCCTCCCCGCCGGCCCAGCCGGGCAGCAAAGCCTCTGCCCCCACTGGCCCCGCCACCCCGCAGCTCAGGGAGGCCTGCAGGGCCAGGTCGGGTGAAGGCGGCAAGTCTGGCCATTCGCTCAGCGGCTGACCCGGAACACCCACGTGCGGGGGCAGGCAGCTCTTCCCTGGAGCCCTGCTGCCCCCCGCCCCGGGGCCGGCGTGGGGCTCGGTCCCTGCCACCTGGCCGCTCGGCCACCTGCTCACATGCCCGCGTCCTCAGGGGCACCTGGCCCGCGACCCCCGCATACAGCCCCCACCAGGTGCGCGGCCTCACCCCTGCTTCCACTCTGTCTCCTGGGGGGGCCCGCTGAGGGCTGTTCAGGCCCCACCCCCTGACCCGAGAGCTGCCGAGGGGCCAGGGGAGCCCGGGCACGGTGTGAGGGCGGTGGGCTGCCCCTCAGCTGCGCCCGCCCTCGCCCCCGCAGAAGACGTCTTTCCCTGCAAGGACTGCGGCATCTGGTACCGGAGCGAGCGGAACCTGCAGGCCCACCTCCTGTACTACTGCGCCAGCCGCCAGGGCGCCGGCACCCCCGCCGCGGCGGCCGCCGACGAGAAGCCCAAGGAGACGTACCCCCACGAGCGCGTCTGCCCCTTCCCCAGTGCCGCAAGAGCTGCCCCAGCGCCAGCTCCCTGGAGATCCACATGCGCAGCCACAGCGGTGAGCCCCCGCCGCCCGCCCAAGGCCCAGCGCAGGGCGCCCTTCCAGGACCTGGGAGCCCAGGGGCCCCGGGGGCGAAGGACCGAGGCCCCCGGCCGGGCGGGCGCAGAGCAGCCCCTCACCCGGCCTGGCTGCCTTCCAGGAGAGCGGCCCTTCGTCTGCCTCATCTGCCTGTCGGCCTTCACCACCAAGGCCAACTGCGAGCGCCACCTCAAGGTGCACACGGACACGCTGAGCGGTAGGTGGGGCCGGGAGTGGGGGGGCCCCCACGGCCAGCGCCCCCGCCCCCTGACAGCAGGGCCGCCGCCCCGCAGGTGTCTGCCACAGCTGTGGCTTCATCTCCACCACAAGGGACATCCTGTACAGCCACCTGGTCACCAGCCACATGGTCTGCCAGCCGGGCTCCAAGGCTGAGCTCTACTCCCCCGGGGCCGGCCCCGCGGCCGCCAAGCTGCCCCCAGGTGAGCCTGGGCGGGGCGGGAGGGGCCGGGCTCTCCCCCACCCCCGCGGGGCCCGCCCTCGCCCCGCGCTCCCGGCCTGAGCGCGCCCGGCCTCTCCCCGCAGACGGCCTGGCCGGCTTCCCGCAGCCGGCGGCCCCGCCCGCGCCCGCGCCCGCGCCGGACAGGGAGGCCCCGGCGGCGGCGGCCACCAACGGCGAGGCCAGGGCCGGCGCCCAGAACGGGGAGGCCGGCGAGCCCCCCGCGGCCGCCGGCGGCCGCAGCATCAAGGTGGAGGCGGAGGAGCCCGAGGCGGAGGCGCCGGCCCCGGCCCCGGCGCGGACGCCGTCCCCGCGCAGCCCCGCGGCCCCGCGGGTGAAGGCGGAGCTGCCCAGCCCCACGCCGGGCGCGAGCCCGGGGCCCGGCGAGCTGGGCCTGGCGGCCGGGCCGCTCCTCGCGCCGCCCTTCGCGCTGGACGCGGCGCCGCCCGCCGCGGAGATCCTGGCGCAGATGTCGGAGCTGGCGCGCGGCCGGCTGCGGGGGCCGCGGGGGGCGCCGGCCGCGCTCTTCGCGGGGGCCCCCCCGGGCGCCACGTGCTTCGACTGCGACATCACCTTCAGCCACGTGGGCAACTTCTACGCGCACAAGCGGCTCTACTGCGCCGGCCGCCGCGCGCCCGAGGACGCGCCCCCCGCGCGCCGGCCCGCGCGCCCCCCGCGCCCCCCGACGCGCCGCCCGCCGCGCCGCCCGGCCCCGGCCCCGGCCCCGGCCCCGGCCCCGGCCCCGCGGCGCGCGAGGAGGAGGCGGCGGCGGGCGCGGGCGCGGGCGCGGGCGAGGCGGCCGGCCGGGGCGGCGAGGGCAGCCCGAGCCCGGGCAGCGGGGCGGACGACGACGACGACCCGCGCCGGACGCTGTGCGCGGCCTGCAACATCCGCTTCAGCCGGCGCGAGACCTACGCGGTGCACAAGCGCTACTACTGCGCCTCGCGCCACGACCCGCCGCCGCGCCGCCCGCCGCCCGCCGCCCCCGGGGCGCCCCCCGCGCCCGCCCCGCGCGCGCGCCGCCGCCGCAAGCTCCACGAGCTGCCCGCCGCGGGCCCCGCCCCCGCGCCCGCCGCGGGCCCCCGCCCCGCGCCCGCCGGCCCCGCCCCCCCGGCCGCCGCCGGCCCCGCCCCGCGCCCGCCGCCGGCCCCGCCCCCGAGCCGCCCGCCTCGCCGCGCCCGCCGCCGACGGCCCCATCGACCTGAGCAAGAAGCCGCGGCGCCTCGGCCCCGACGCGCCCGCGCCCGCGCCCGCGCCGGCCTGCCCGCGCTGGCCGACTACCACGAGTGCACCGCCTGCCGCGTCAGCTTCCACAGCCTCGACGCCTACCTGGCCCACAAGAAGTTCGCCTGCCCCGCCGCGCCCCGCCCGCCCGACGCCGCGCCCGCCGGCTGCCCCTGCTGCCCGCCCGGCGGCCGCGCGCGCGGCGACCTCGTGCGGCACCTGCGCCTGGCGCACGGCCTGCGCCTGGCCGAGGCCCGGCCGCCCTCGCCCGCCGCGCCCCGGGACAGCCCCGAGCCCGACGGCAGCCCCCGGCCCGGCGCGCCGCCGTCGCCGGCCCCCGCGGACAAGGGCGCGCCCGCGCCGGCGCCCAACGGCAGCCACCGGTTCTGCCGCCTGTGCAACATCCGCTTCAGCAGCCTGTCCACCTTCATCGCGCACAAGAAGTACTACTGCTCCTCGCACGCCGCCGAGCACGTCAAGTGACCGCGCGGCGGGGCCGGGGCGGCCGCAGGGGCAGCGCCGCCGGACCCTTGCACTTAATAAAGTTCAGTCTGATGAGCAGCCTGGTTCTCTGCGGGCCCTCGGCGCGCGGCCAGCTCCCGCCCCGCCGCGCCGAGCGCCGCGCGGACCCCGCCGGAGGCCTGCGCCGGCCGAGCCCGGCCCTGGTCAGGCTGGCCGGGCCGCACGCGCCACAGCCCTGCCGGCTCTCAGAAGCCAGCCGCAGCCGAGCGGGGCGCCAGCCTGGCCCCGGCAGATGCAGGCGGCTGCGGCCGGCCGGCCCTCGGGCCTGGGGGAGCCCGGGGACCGGGGAGGATGAAGCCCTGTGGTTGCTGAGGCTGGGGGGAGGGACAGCAACGGCTGGCCGGGGAGGAAGGTGGGCAGGGGCGCCGCCCCGAGGCCCAGAGGCACCTGGTCTGGGGAAGCCACATCCTGCCCTGCAGGAGGCCTGCCCAAGGGGGCGGGGTCCACCGCTCGGGGTGGGGCTGCGGCACCCCTGGCCCCAGAGCCCCTCCTAGATGCTGGCACCTGCTTTTTCAACTTCGCTTCAAGTGGTGGGAAGTTTTTTCCAAACAATCCTGCCTGGCAGCATCAGGTGGATAACAGGGAACAGACCTGGGGCTGCTCTGCCTCAGAGTACCCCGGAGGTGCTTCCTGCTGCGTCACACACCCTCCGGGGCACGTTCCCCTCCACCCTGCCCTGGCGGGGGCGGGTCTTTAGAGAATGGTGGGTCTCAACCTCTCTCCAGGCCCTCCTTGCTTCCAGCTGGTCCTGAGTCCCATGAAGCCCCCTGAGAGCCAGGAGCCCTGGGACTTAACCAGACTGGCCACTGCAGTCAGGATCCCCCACCTGCCGGGGCCCGGGGAAGCTGTTCCAGGGCACCCCTCCTGGCACACCAGCCTGGGCCTCTGCCCTCTGGGGTCAGGTGGGGGCAGGGAGATCAGCAGATCCTCAGCCCTGCCCCTCATTTGCACTGTTCTGCATGAATTTGCATGGAGACCTGGAGGCTCCGCCTCTGAGTGCCCAGGAACCAAGGCCGCTGTCACACTGACCCGCGCACTGTTCTCTACTGTGCCCGACAGAGAAACGTCACTGTATGTAAATCAACAAATAAATATTTTTAAAAGGTGTGGGGAAACGGGTGTGGCCTCCTGTGGGCAGCACGGATGGGGGGGGCGTGGCGGAGCCTGAGAAAGGGGCTTACTTTCACCCTGTAAACGTGAGGTGGGTATGCCTGTATCCCTAGGCCACCAGGCCCTGAGGTCCCCCTCTCCCCACCCCCTGGCCCTGGAGGCCACTGTGCTGGCTGATCCTGCGACCCCTCCTCAGCCCACTCAGGAGGCAGAGCCCACCGGAGCAGCCTCTGCCCCAGGCCTGTCACCAGGGAGGCCTGGCCCCGCAGCCTGCCACCCCGCCCAGGGCCTGGGGAGGCTGCTGTGGCCCCGCTGGAGCCTCTAGGCAGCACTGCTGGTCCGGGTTCCAGGACCTGTGACACGCCCCGCCGCAGTCCCCAGCACGGGGCCAGTCCTTGGTGCACCAGCATGGCCCAGAGCCCCCTCCTTCCGCCTCAGACCCAGGCACCCCACACCCTGCAGACACCCTCAGTGGCCCTGCCTCCTCATGCCGCCCCACCCTTCCCCAGAACCCCCGTCTCCCCACCACACTGCTCCACTCCTGAGCCCGTCACACTCTATGCAGTGGACTGGCCACCACCCTGGCCACTAGCGCCACAGTCAGGGGTGGTGCAGAGTCCAGGTGGCGGCACGCCCTGCTTCAGGCCCTGCTGGCCCTGGTCACCGCCCACACCCACTGTCCTGGTCACCGTTGTGCCTCGGCCCAACACGGTGCCTCCCAGAAGTGCTGTCCTCCTCGTCCGGTGCTTGGCCCAGGGCCCGGCCACCGTGGCCTGGCTTTGTCCCCATAGCCATGTCACATCTGATGTCCCCACCCCTTGGCCTTCCCCACCGGCCTCTCCTACACGGCCCCTGAGCGCCAGGCCCGGAGCACACAAGCCTCTGAGGTCAGGAGGGAGTGATGGGGCCCACAGACAGATGGGCGAGCTCCTCCCCAGGGCCCCTGCTCAGCCAGGGCCCCCGCCCAGCCCTGGCCCCCTTCCTCCAGGCCTTCTCCTTTGCCCCTCCACACTGTGCCAACTGTATCTCCCTGGAGACAGCTCTGACCAGGTGACACGGTGCCACACCTCGCACACAGGGCGCATGACCTCACGCCCAGGGCATGGCCACCTGCAGCCGTGTGCACCGGGGGCTCCACAGCAGCACCGCGACCACCCTGTCCGGGGCCAGAGCTGCTGCAGGTGGGCATTCCTGACGCCAGGGGTCAACAGCGGCCAGTTTATGTGGCACACGGGCCGGGGAGCAGTGCCCGTGCCATCCCCCCTACACTGCCAAGCCTGCCACCCTCAGCTCCCGGGGTGGGGACGGGGAGGGAAAGATGTGCGGCACGGGAGGGCAGGGCAGCCGCACTGGCCGGAGGGAGGGCGCGGGCTTCATCTGGGCCAGAAGGAGCTGCGGGAGGACCTGCAAGTTGGAGTAGGGAGAGCCAAGAGGGGCCTGTGGGTGCCCAGGAGGGAGTGAGGGTAGCGGACAGACAGGGCAGAGACCGGGGTGACACCTGTCCCTGCAAGCAGCGCTGGGGACTGGAACCAGAGGCTCGGGGACCAGAGGACGGGAGAGTGAAGGGGGCTAGTCCTGGGGCCAGAGTGCGGGCAGCCGTGGCCCCGACAGCGCGCCTCCTCCACCTCTGCCCACTCCCTTCCGCGCCTGCATCCTTCCTCCTCTCCTCCCCCCGCCCCCGTTTTATTTCTCCTTCAGAACTTGTTAGGTTTAATTCACATGCCATGAGGTGCACCCTTTCACAGTGCACAAGTCCGTGCTTTTGGTCCATTCACAAAACCGAACCATCACCTCCAACAACTCCAGCATGCTCCCATCACCCCCGCGGGAAGCCTGCCCACAAGCAGCGGTGCCCACGCCCCCAGCCCCTCGTGCCAGGGAGCTGCTGTGACCCTATGGATTTGCCTGCTCCTGTCATTTCGCTCAGGGGGCATCTTGGTGTGCTCCTGCTCCGCCAGCCGTGACAAAACTGCGCAGGCCGGGCGTGAGACATTTATTTCTTCATGGGTCTGGAGGCTGTGTCTGAGCCCGGGGTGGGGGCACACTTGGTTCCGTCCGGTAACAGTCTGTGCCTGGCTGGCAGGGACAGCCTCGCGTCCTCGCCTGGGGGGAGAGAAGGGAGGAGGCAGGGAAAGGGCGAGAGTGGGAGCACTCCAAGCCTTTGCAACCTTTTCTCACAAAGACGCTAATCCCTATGGGCTCAGGACCCGCTCCACACCTTTAAACCTTAGTGGCCTCCTTACACTGTCGCCACATACAGGCACCTCAGCACTCGGGCGTCCACACAGATGTTCGGGGGACACAATTCAGTCCACAGCACGTCTGGCTTGAGGTTTTTCCATGGCCTAGCCTGTATCGGGGCTCCGTCCTGTTCCGTGGCTACACACGGCTCCAGCCCTGCCCGCAGGCGTCCCCATCCACCTGCACACAGTAGGCGGCTTCCGCTTTGGGGGTTTCGTAAGGAAGCCTGCTTCCAACACGCAGGCACAGGCTTTTGTGTCAACACGTTTCATGACCTTGCCTTGGACCTCGGAGGCCTTGCTGGGCCTCGGGCCGGCTGTGTTCACGCCTGTTCCTCCCCCTGCCCATCGGGCCCATCCCGAGAACGGGGCGGCCGCCCCGGGTTCCCTGGGCCGCAGCGCGGGCTGACGCGGCCGGGGCCCCGGTGCTCGCTGCAGGCTTCCCGGGCAGGAAGGGGGGGTCGGCGGGAGCCGGTGTGCTCCCGCGGCCCCCGGCCCCCGGGACGGCGGCAGCCTCTGCGGGGCCCAGCGCTGCGGAAAGCGGCGAAGGCCTGCGGGCGGCGGCCCGGGCGGGGCACGGGGGGACTTGGCTTTCGAAGCTTTACTGGCTCGCGCGGAGCCGGGCGCAGGCGCGTGCGGGTGAGGCCCGACGGGCGGCGGGGGACGGACGGGAGGGCCTGCCGGGCCCCAGGGCCCCGGGCACACGAGGCCTCGCGGAGCCCGCGCGGCGCGGGGGCAGCCGGGGCGCCGTCCGGCGAGGGCGGCGCGCGGCGGGGCCCGCGGGCGGCGCGTCACGGGGCGGCGCCGGGGGCGGGGCCTCGGGGCGCCTGCGCCGTGGCGGGCCCGGGCAGGTGCGCGCGGGGGGCGGGGCCGCGCGGAGGCGGCCGCGCGGAGGCCGGAAGCAAGCGGGCGGGGGGCGGGGCGAGCCCGGGAAGCCCGCGGCCGCGGGACGGCCGTCGCGGGCTGATGACGTCGCACAATGGCCGGCCCCCGCGGGTAGTGGAGCCCGTTTGTTCCGCTCGCGTCGCGCCTCCAGCCCGAGCCCGTGAGGAGCGGAAGGGCCGAGGGACGCCCTCTCCGCGCCGCCCCCACTCCCGCGGCGCCGAGGCCGGGCCCCCGCCCTCGCGCTGAGGTAGGCGGCGGCGGGAGGGGGAGGCCGGGCGGCGGGAGGGGGAGGCCGGGCGCGAGCGTGGCGGCGGCGCGGGCCGAGGCCGGGAGCCCCGCGCCGCCGCCGCCCGGAGAGCGCCGCCCCGCCCGGGAGGGGCGCCGGGCCCGCCGCGCCGTCGCCCGGGCCCGGGGGGCGCCCGCGGCGCGGCGGCGCCCCGAAGCTGTCATCCCGCCCGGCCCGGCGCGCACATGTCCGCCGCCCACAAAGGGGCGAGGGCGCGCCCGCCCTCCGCACGGGCCGGCCGGCCGGCCGGGCGCTGCAGCCTCGGGGCCGCCCGGAGCGCGCCCCTGCCCCCGGCGGGCTCCGGCCGGCCGCCGCGGCGCTCCCTCGCCTGCGTCTGGAAGCCGGGGGTGCCCGGCCCGGCGCGCTGGAGCCGCCCCAGCTGCCCCCGCTGCCGCGGGGAGTTAAGTTTCCCCGGAGTCCTCGGACGGCTGCCGCGGCGGCACGGCGCGCCACCATTTCCGACGAGCCTTCTCCAGCGAACTCATTTGCAAGGCTAGGTCGGCCTTCACCTGCACTTGGGGGAAATGGAAGACGGGGTGTCTGACGCCCAAGTGAGGGCGTCGCAGCGGCTCGGCCACTTCCCTGCTGACGCTCGCTCCGCCGCTGGCCGCTGGCCGTCTTCCCCGAGCAGGGCTGGGATTCCCAGGGTGAATCTGGACTGGGGCTGAGTCCTACTTCCGAGCCCTGAGAGGACAGCCCTTGCCTAGCAGTTTTACAATCTGGGCACATGTGTGGTGTCCCGCCAGGCTGGGAACCAATCAGATGTGCCCCAAAGGCTGGACGTCTTCCCCAAGTTTAGGTGGAAAATGCTCAAACTTTGTAAGAAATTGTGTGGAGCATTTGCAAAGCGCACACAGGTAAGCCGTGGCTGTGCCCATGGTGGAAAAGGAACAGGTCGCCTCCCGGTGAGGGCGTCCTTGCTGAGTGTTGGTGGTCAGGATCGGCGTGGTGGGTTGGGGTGGTATCTGTCACCAACTGTGATGTCTTTTCTTTAGATGCTATGAGTCCATGAAGTTATGAAATAGAATTTTAATCGAAGTTATGAAATAGAATTTTAATCACATATGCCCATGCTTAAACACTCAGTGCAGGATATTCTATTAAAAGTTTTTATCCCGATAGGTGATTATAGTATTCTGTTGGCGCTCCTTTGCCAACACCTCTGTAAACTCCCGTGGTGGTGACTTTTGTAAAAGCCATGTGAGAAAATGAGTCTCATTCAACCTCTTATTTGACCAAAAGTAGTCCTCCCTGGCTTGGTAGCACCTGTCTCCTGTGGAGGAAGGTTTGCTGCTCCGAGAGTGTCATTTCTAGAGGTCATGCCGGAAGACGTGCTCCCGGGTGCTGCGCACCACCATGGCTGTGCCTGGGGCCACGTCAGAGTGACCCTTGGGAGATGAGGGAGCGCCCACCCTGTCTTCTAAAAATTAGGCACCCCTTTTTTAAAATATTCTCTGGCTTCAACTTTATGGAGAATTCCGTACCACCCCAGGTATCCCCAAATCATTCTTCAGTCCCCCTGAAAGTGTAACTTGCCTGTGCTCTGTAGGTCACCCTCAAGCACAGGTTCTGAATTTCTCTGTTTAGTAGTAGGTAGTTGATCAGATGATGAGGCTTTGTCATTAACTCCCTTATCCACCAGGCAGTTGGCAGCGGGGCTGTGGTGAGAGACCCTGGTTCCCTGTGTGGGCAGATGCAGCAGCGCAAAGGACTGAAACTCTGCCGAGAACCTTCAGTGTCGGGGTGGCTCTGCAGGAACAAGCTGAGTCGTTTTCCAGCCTGGGAGTTGGTTAAGACAGGACCAGAGGCGCCTCATTTCACGGTCCCTGCTTAGCAGGCCATGTGTTTTTTCTCGCACCTGACGTAGAACATATAGTCAGATATTTTCCAAATTCAGTTAATGTCAAACACTACACAGAGGCCCAGAGAGACAGTCATCCTGCCTGGAACAGGCCTGGAACCGGCCTGGAAGACGCTGCCTCTGACCCCAGTGACACACCTGCTCTTTTGGGCGGCAAGTGTGACTTGGATCGCTCCCAAGTCCCTGGCCAGGGACACCCATCAGCCTATTTTCCTCTGAAAGATAGTTCATGTGTGTGCAGCCTATGATCAGAAAGCCTTAGGAGGCCCCGGGGGAAAGAAGAGGTGTGACCCCTTCCTCAGGAAATTGTCAGCACTGCTGAGGGGCAACAGGATGTCCCTGTCACCAGGACAACCCCTGTGCACGCCTGTTTGAATGGCTGATAGGGCCGTGCTTTACCTCAGGTGTGTCCCAGGACAAGAAATTAGGTGGTGGCTCTGCCACAAATGCCAGCCCTTTGCCGAGCCCAGGGACCCGGGCCGGGGCATGGGGCGGGACGTGCTGGCGAGGAGGGGCTCCGCAGACTTTGCTCACAGAGGGGCTGCATGGGCAGCAGCAGGACTACGTGAGGGAGTGATGTGCTGAATACCTGGGCGAGAGTTGTTCTGTGTCCGGAGACCACGGGTAAGCCTCAGGAGGCTCTGAGCCCTCTGAACTGGGAGATAGGTGCAGGAGTTCTGATTTTTCTAGGGGGAGGAGCCATCCGCCTCATCAGATTCCTACAGTATTTCAGCCTCCCCAGGAGACTCAGTTCCACTGACACAGAGAACAAAACTTCTTGACAGGGAGCCATTCACAGGAACTTCGCTCTGGAAGCTTCCTGTGAGAGCTGGGGGGCTCCCTAGACAGTTGAGGTCATTTCCATTATTCAACCAGGAGGCCCGTAGGCTGGCAAGGACCCCTCAGCTTGCTGTACGGACCAGCGCGGGGCCTCGGGGTTTTTCCTGCGGTCTCAGTGTGAAGGTGACTGCCTTTTGGAGGCTTTTTCTCCTGGGCTCGTGTTTAAGTTAATTGCTTAGGGTGAAAACGTCGAACACGTTGGAAGTCATGAAATAATTCACTGATGTCACAAGCACTGTCTTCTTGTGGTCATCGTTTACATAATAGTCTGGATGAGCCGCAGTAACTTTTCCATCTGTGTGAGAACTTCTGTTTTGGGTCCTAGAGGAGAGAAGCGTGGCTGGGCCAGCACCCCGCTTTGAAGGGAGGCAGACACGGGCAGGACGCTGGCTCGGTAGAAGCCCCAGGTACAACACCCATCTGGAGCCCAGGTCCCATTTTTCCCTCAGAAATAACAACAGGAGGGGCCTCCCCGGTGGTGCAGCGGTTGAGCGCTGGGTTGCGAGGCTGCCCGCGGCCTCTGCGGCGCCAGTTTAATCCCCGGCTGCTCCCCGGCCACCGGAGGAGGGTCCCGCATGGCGCGCAGACCTCTCCTGCCGCCCGCCGCTCCCCTCAGCAGTGTCCTTCGGTCCTTCTGCCTGCTCTGCTCCCCGCTCTGGCTCTGGTGAATTCTCTCGCCCTCCCGCGCTTCTGACTGTGCCCAGTGCTTGTATAAACAAAACAAACAAATAAATAAACATGCCTCTCTTAAAAAAAAAAAAAGAAATAACAACAGGAAGTGGTGTCCCGTCCCCGTGCGCCCCCCCCCCCCACCGCCCCGCAGGACCAGAAACCCCCTGAGCCTGGCCCCAGGCGTGGACCGAGCCCTGTTGCTTGCTCAGCTCCCCGCCGCGTGCGAACCTGCACCAGCCCTGAGCGCATCCCCTGCCTGCTCCTTGCGCTGGTTCTCATGTTTGAGGCTAGGTGGTGCGACTTTTCTTCCGTTTCTTACGGAAGGACTGAACCTCAGATGTGCCAAAAGATACCAATCTTATCACAGAGAAAGGAGAGAGAGAATGGCCCCGGGGAGCTGGCCCGCAGGTAGTTTGTGCAGCAGAGATAGTTTGTTGCCAGGCAGCCCCCAGGAGTTGCTGTAAGCCGGGTGGAGAGAGGTATCATGGTGGATAACAATCTTTCCATTCAAGAGGTAACTTTGTTTCCGAACTGACCTCAGCCTGTAACATGGAGGGATCCCTAGGCAAAGGCTAGGAAGCGAGGGGGCCCTGGTGGTGGGTGGCGAGGGCTTCGTGTGCAGCTCGAGCCACAGGCACCAGCAGAGCCAGTGCCACCCGCGGTGTTGATTCCTAGGGAAGGTGCGCCGCCGCCCCTGACTTGTGGCCAACCCTGCCCCTCACTCTGTCCAGGGCCGTAGCAGCGCTCTGGCCCGGAGCCTCCCCCACCCCATCGTGCCCAGGGGGCCAGGCCGCGGGGCACAGTGTTCCCAGCGTGGGTCCACGCTCGGACTGACTTTTAAGCGTGGCTCTAACGGTCCTGCCTTGGGTGATGTGGGCAGAGGCTGAGGAGTGGCGCGCTCTCGCTCCCGGGGCTGTCTGCTTGACGGCTCTGATCGGCCGCCTTGTGGGTTTCTGCCGTGCCAGCCGTTCGCTGGCGAGCTGACTAGTTGTAGGCGATCTGCCCCCCGCGTGCCTGGTGAGCAGTCCCACCGCGGCGGATGTTTGGGCTGCGGGTCAGACGCCCGTCGTGGGGTGGCCTCTTTCAACACGGGCTCTCCGTGGGCAGGAAGAGCGTCAGAGTTCCAGTTTCCAGCCTGCGTCGTGTGAGCACCTCCAGCAGCACCTGCGCACGAGCGCGCCCGAGGACGCGCCAGGCAGGGTTTTAAATACCCTGTGGAGCGCCGCCCGGCCCTCTCGCTGACTCCCCACGACCCGCCTCCCGCCCCGAGTGGGGCGTGGGCCTCACCAGATGCCGAGCTCCGTAGCGCTTCCCCGCTTGGCCGTCCGCTCTGGGTTCTGAGAACAGCGGTGAGACCTTCTCCAACGCCGCCGCCTGCCTCCACACCCCTGAAATGGGTCAGGGCCCTGCCTGAGCGATCTCGCCTAATCTCGCCGTGCCCCGTGCGTGTCAGCGGGCCCGAGGGAATGGCAGGACCCCTCTGTGCCTCTGGCAGTGGGAGCCCCGCGCTCTGCATGGTTAGATCCCCCTCCCCGCCCGCCGGTTGTGGAGAGGCAGTCGGGACCGCCCTTGGAGAGGTGCGTTCGGGGGCAGGAGACAGCCTGTGACCAGGGTGTGCCGAGAGGCCCCGGCTTCTGCAGACTCTTCAGGAGATGGGGTGACTCCGAGGGGTCAGCTTCCCGCCCCATTCCGCTGTGACCGCACGTGGCTGTCCCCACAGTGGCCAGCTGCCGAGCGGGTCTGGGGTGGGGGGGGCAGGCGGGGTCGCCTCAGGGCCAGCCGGGCGCCCAGGCAAGGGTGTGTTCAGATTCGCTCTCTGACGGCCGCGTGTCTGTGTCCTTTCTCCTGCAGAACTGGGCACCGATGGAGGTGGCGGAGAGCCCCGGACGGGACCCTCGCTCTCCAGAGGACGCAGAGGAGGAGCAGCAGGGGCTCTCGGACGACGACGTTCTGAGGGAGAGCGGCTCGGAGCAGGATGGGGAGGGCGCGGAGGGCGACGAGAGTGCCGGCCCGGGGCTGAGCCAGCAGCAGGAGGAGGGCCGCTCGGACGGGGAGGACCAGGACCAGGACTCTGAGGCCCGGGGCTGGGTCGGGGCCCGGCCAGCCCCCCGCGCGCGGAGGAGGGGGCCCCGGGGGAGGAGGACCGCACCAGTGACCTGCGGGACGAGGCCTCCTCGGTCACCAGGGAGCTGGACGAGCACGAGCTGGACTACGACGAGGAGGTGCCCGAGGAGCCGGCGTCCGCCGCGCAGGAGGACGAAGCTGAGAAGGCCGGGCCCGAGGACGAGGAGGACAGGGGAGAAGGTGCTGCGGGTGCTGGGGGCCCGGCGGCTGCCCCCAGCGGAGAGGACCAGGAGCCCCCGGAGGCGGGCAGGGAGAGGAAGCGGGAGGACGACGACGGGGAAATTGACGACGGGGAGATCGACGTGAGTGGGGGGGGGTGGCCCCGGGGGCGTGGGCGGGGCAGCACCCGGGGAGCGGCCGGGCTCGAGAGTCTGCCTCCAGGACCACCGAGCCCGCCTGCCCCGGGCATGGCCTGTCCGCGAGCATGGCCTGAGCACCGGCCAGTCAGTGCCGCTCGGACGCAGCGCGTCCCCGGGTGTCCCTCTGAGGGTCCCGGCCGCGTCGCCTCCCAGCCTGTGCCCTGAGCAGGCCGCGCCGGAGCTCCCACCTTGGGCCGCCCGCCCGCCCCTCAGGGCTTGTCCCTCAGCGGCGGAGGAGTCGCTGTTGGCGGCAGTGGTGGGGCCTGTGGAGGTGACCCCGCGAGGGAGCTCCCCGTGGTCTGCAAGGGGGTCCGGCGCGGCACGGCCTGGCCCTGGGGCCCTCGAGAGAACCGCCTGGTGAGCGCCCCGCGCCGCGGCGTGCGGGCTCGGAGGCTGCAGGGGCCGCCAGGAGGGGGCGGCCTGCTCCATCCTTGACGGTGGCCGCCGTGGGCCGGGGGCCCCGCGCCCAGAGCGTTGGCTCTTTTGTCTTCTCGCTCCTCGGGGCAGGAGGTGGCGTCCCGAGTTGCCAGCCTTGCCCGGCGCGCGCTCCTCTGGAAGGGCCTGTCGGAACCTTGCCCTGCGGGGCTCGGGCGTTGCCATCCGCTCCCCCGGGCACCGTGGGAAGGGCCCCGTCCGAGGGGCGGGCGGAGGGAGAGAGGCTGCGAGACTGGATTTTGCCAGTTTGCCTCAGATTAGGGCAGCAGATACAGTGGGGAGTTTCTCGGCATTCCCCGCCTCCAGGGAATGGGGGGCGCCTGCCGCAGGGGGCCCTGGGCGGGCCGTCTCCTCGGACCAGTTGCGGGCTCTCCCTCCCGCTGCCGAGGAGGTGTTCAGGGAGGCCCAGCCATCCTGTGGCTTGGCGGGGCCTGGAGGGACCCTGCCGTCCTGCGGGGCTGGGCCCGGGGACTTCCCGCCGCCCCCGGCGTCACCCAGAGGGGAGGTGGGTCGCACCGGGCTGCCCGGAAGCCCTGCTGCCCTGCTGGCTGGCTCCCCTGGAAGCCCCGGGGGGCGTGGAAACCTGGTCTGACTGTCTCGCGTGTTCCAGCCCATGGCTGGGGGTCGGCCTCGGCTTGTGCGGCCCACAGGGGACCCAGACCTGCATCCTCCTGTCTCAGTCCGGCGGCCTCTGCCCTCTGCGGGGCTCTGACCCTTCCCTGCTGGGTCTCCTGGTTCTCAGGACTTTGACCGCCGGGAGCTGCCGTCCCGTGGCCGCCCCTTCACAATACTCTTGCAGGCCCGATGGCTGCCCTGGCCAGACCCCCGGCTCCTGCACACCTGGACCACGGTCTCTCCAGGGGCTCCGGGGCTGCTCCTGCCCTCGGGCTTTCTCTCCGTGGGGCCCGCTGCACTCAGGGTTGTGACCCACTCAGGCGCCGAGAGGAGGTCGGGTGGCCGCCAGCCATGCTGGACGGAAGCACCCTGCCACCCCAGCCCGCAGGGCGGCAGTGCCTGGCGGAGCTATGCCGTCTCCTCGCAGCCCCTCAGACTGCCTGGCTGAGCTCCCCAATAGAGCGGTCCAGGGGGCTGCGCCAGGGCAGAGACCTGCGCACTCTGGGGCCCTATGGCGGCTTCCGTCACCTCTAGGCCTGCATCTTGGAGGTGACTGCTGTCCTGTGAGGCGCTGGGTGCGCCCGGGCTGTGAGGGTGCAAGCCTGGCGTTTTGTCAAAAGTCCTGACATGCCCCGAGATGCTGGGGATGCGGAACCCACGCCCTGGCCGAGCTGAGTGCCCTGGCCCTGGGGGAGGAGCTGTGGCCCGGGCCGTGGAGGGTCCTTCCCGGGCAGAGCCGAGCGTGGTCACGCCCCCTCACTTGCTCCCTCTGTTTCAGGATGACGATCTGGAAGAGGGTGAAGTGAAGGACCCCAGTGACAGGAAGGTGAGGCCTCGTCCCACCTGCCGCTTCTTCATGAAAGGTAATTGTCTGAGTGAGGGGCCTTTGCGTGGCCCGCCACGGGCCTGGCCTGGCTCCACCCCTGGCATCTGCAGGGCTTGTCCTGGGGCCGACCGCGCGGCAGTGGCGGCAGTGTGAGACGGGAGGTGCTTTCATCTTCCTGCCACCGCACTGGTGCTTGGCTGCGGGCGCCAGCCCACCCTCCCAGGCCCTCACAACAGGGCGGTGACGTGGAGGCCGAGGCCGTCGTTGGTTCCTCTCACTGGCCCTTCCTAGAAGGCCAGATGCTCCAGGTGCTGGCTTTGACCTTTGCCCCCGTAAGGAAAAGGCCACGATCTTCAAGACGATCAGAGCATGTCCTTCCCCGGAGCAGGTTTCTGGCCCGCAGAGGGAGGCCCTCCTGAAGGGCGCATGAGCTGAGGGGCTGGGCCACTGGCGGCGAGGGACTTGGTGGTCTGAGGACGGTCCTCTGCTGTCGGGCCAGGGCTGAGTGTCCCGGCTGCAGCGTGGTCTAGACGCGCTGTGGTGGTGGAGGTTTCCGTGGAGAGGCAGGGAGAGGATTTCTCCTGAACGTCCTCTGCCCCCCGACTGCTGGCTGAGCCGCCTGCGTGCTCCGCCTAAAGCTCACTAGAGCTTCCTGTACTTCTCTTCCAGGCGTTGTGACACCATTGTCCACTCTGCTTCCACCAATACCAAATTCCATCCCCTTCAGAGGCCAGGTTAAAGGTACAACACGCACCGTTCACTCTCTCTAGTGCCTCAGAGGCCCCCTGCGCTGGAGGCCAGAGCTGGCCTGGGGCCAGAGCAGTGCTGTGGGGCCAGCAGGAAGGGGCGGCTCTGAGGCAGAGGGCACCCTCGCACTTTGAGGCACTTGGTGAGGGCACGGGACCCGAGGATGGCAGGAGGCGGGTGGCCCCGGGCGGGGCGGGCCCAGCTCTTGCAGGAGCCCTTGAACAGCCCGGGCTCTGGGGCCTGGGCAGCCTGGTGGCAAGAGGGTGCGGGAACGGGCGCCTCGTGCTTGTCGGACTGACAGACGGTGGCCCGCCCAGTGCCACGAGGAGCCACCCAGCACCCGAGAGCCAGAGATGCAGGCCCAGGCTCGGGAAGCTTGTTCTTTGAAAGCTGCGGGAATTTCCAGAAACTTACACGAAGGCCTCTCTTCTGTGAGACGTGAGAATAAGGCGCTTTCTAGGTGACAGGAAGGAGACTCTGTGTGGGCGCGGTGTGAGTGCCGCTGTTGTGGCTGGCACTGCCCACCAGCGCCGGGTCAGCCCGGCCTGTGCCCCGGCCCACTGGAATGGCTTCCAGAGTCGAGCCTCAGCAGCGCACGAGCTGTGGTGTAGCCCGCACGTCGGGGGACGCCCTCCCCGCCGTGTCACGGGACACCCGACCAGGCCAAGTCCTCGGCAGGGGCTTCAGGGGGCCGCTCCATGCCATCCCTGCCGCTGTGTCTGGGGCTGGCGACGGGTGGGCTTCTCGCCCCTGACTGGCATGACCTGTGACTTGTCTTGGGTCGTGAAGTGCCCTCATACCCGCCGGCGGCCTCGCCCGCTGAGTGTTGCGGCGCCTTCCAGAAGGAAACGGCAGGTCTCCTGTGGTGCAGCTCCTGCCTCCCGTTTCTCCTTAGTTGTGAGCCATTTTCGGGGTGTACTTCTTGCTCACCTGCAGTTTGTGAGCTGAGTTCAATCAAATCAAGTTGTTGCAGTAGCAAGAGGAATTACTTTAGAAGCGGAGGGAAGCGTGTTGTGTGTAGCAAGGGTGTGGAGAGGGGGCCCTCGGGTGCCGCTGGGGAGGAGAGGCCGCTCCTCGTGGCGGAGGGCCAGGCGGACCCTGTAGCCGCGGGCGCTTGCCCGGGAGATACGAGAGCATGTCAGCGAGGGCAACCGGCGGTGTCCGGCGACTGGGGAAGGGCCCGTCCAGGCAAAGCCGAGCAGCGTGGCCCATGGGTGAACCTGGGCCCCGCGTGTCGAGCAGGAGACGCCGGCGCCGGGCAGCAGCTCAGTCACCGCCGCGGCAGGGCTGGGCCGGGGCAGTGAGAGCAGGTCTCCTCCGGGGGCAGGAGCTGGGCGCTGGCCGTGGCTGCCTCACTCTGCCTGTGCTGGAGAGCGTGGGGTGCACGCTTTAAATGTGGGTGTGGGTGTTGATGCAGTGAGGGTGATGTCTTAATCCAAAGACCTTTTTTTTGAAGTTTGCCAGTGATTTGTATTCAAGCCGTGCTCTGGGGGCGGAGTCTCGGGCTGTCACTGCCGCAGCCTGAGTGCGACCCCGGCCAGGGAGCTCCCCACAGGGCGCAGCAGACCTCTCCTCTTCCCCGCTGCTCCCCTCTGCAGTGGATTTCAGTCAGTCCGCCTGTTCTGCTCCCCGCTGTCTCTGGTGACTCTTCTTATCCTCGCGCGTCTGGCCTGCACCCCAGCTCTTGTACGCAAAAACAAGGTTGTGATCTATAGATTGGCCACGTGATTGCCCAGATGGACACTTGGGCGGCAAAGTGTGCGAGAAGCACATGTGAGTGGGGGCAACACTAGCACCTCGCTCACAGCACACGTGTGCCTCGAGGCGGGGCCGTCATGACAGTCTGTCCGCAGGGCTTAGCCAGTTTTCTCTGGGCTCCTGGCTTGCCCCTCTGTCGAGCAGCACCCAGCCAGTTGCCCAACTCATTGCCCCCATTGGCCACAGACTCCCTGACCGCCCCCCAGGGCTGGCATCCCCCATCCTACCTCCTGTGTCTTGGGGCGGACCGCCAGGAGCCTTGGGGGTGAGGAGCAGTGCACGCGCGCTCTGAAGCCGTCCTCAGTCTGCCCGTGCCTGGCAGGCATCATGCTGCCTCCTTCCTCAAGGCCGGCCAGTCGTCACTGGGGGGTGCCGCTGCCCTGCCCGCTGCGTGCCCGGCTTGCCTTCCCGGACGGCGCACGGCACTGCGTGGGCCGCTGTGTGACTCAAGACCCGCTCTCAGTTCTTTTGGGTACACGTGGCGGTGGGGCTGCTGCATCCCAGGGGCGTTCTGTGCGTGTCCAGAGCCCCCCTGTTTCCCCCGCGCTGCCCTTCCGCACCCGCCCCGGCCAGGCTCCTTCTCCAGGACGGCCCCTGACGCCTGGGACGCCTGCGTGTGCCTGGCCTTTGCGGGAGGTGCGCCTGCTGCCCATGTCTGAGTCCCTGCCCTGTCTTTTGTGTTTCGAGCAGCGGGTCTCAAAATGTGGCCTGTGGCCCCTGGGAGTCCTCGAGACATCTGAGGGGGTTGCTGAGGCCACACGTTTCCTGGTGCTTCTGAGCGTGTCTTGGCAGCACACCCGCACCAGGCCCTTGGCTGGCTTGCGGGCCTCACGCCCTGGTGTCCACCCCCAGCAGCCTGACTGCAGCGCTCGTGAGCAGCCCTTGAGCTTGCTTCCCGGTCTTCAAAGGTTTTTACTAAGATGGAATGCCCGTGCCACCCAGCCCGCCCTCCCAGGGCACCGTTGGTGCCTTCTGGCGACTCGCCGAAATGTGCAGCCGTCACCCTGTCCAGTGGAGGACTTGCCCCTCCAGGGAGACCCCACCTGTCTCCTCCGCGCCGGGTGGGGGTGCTGGAGGCGGGGCCGTCAGCCACGCACTCCCCTCCAAGCACGAGTCCTCCCAGATCAGCAAGGAGAGCTTGGTGCGGGCCATCCTGAGCGGCAGGACCTGGCCCCCGGGCTGCGGGGGGGGTCCTGGGCAGCCTCCCCGCCCTCCCGCGCCGCACTCGCTTTTCCTGTGACGCCGCCTTTGGAGACGGGCCCTCGCGTGTGGCCCAGCGACGCGCCGTGGCCGTCAGCACCGGCTTCTCTCGTAACTGGGGGCTTCGCTTTTGCTTCGTTTCCTGGAGAACTTTTTCCTTTGATTTAAACCAGCTGCTTTTCCCGTCGCGGAAAGGAACGCGTGCTGGCGGGACGGCGGGAGACGGGGCTGCTCTCCCCAGGCGGCAGGTCCGGCGTCCTTGCCTGGCTTTCCGGAAGACGGTGGGGTTCCCCTGCCCCTCCTGCGCCCGGCCTGGCGGCTGGCGGCTGTCTCTCCGTGCGTGTGCACCGCCCCGGGCCTCTGCTGGCCGCGGGCCAAGGGTCAGGACAGACCCCGGCAAGGACCCGGCTCGACGCAAGGAGTGGGTCCCACAGCGTCTCAGGGGCTCGCCCAGCCCTCTCCCCGGTCCCCTCGGCCGCCCCGCTGTCCTCCGCCAGCTGTGGACGTGACAGCGGCCTCTCTGTCCACGGGCCCGTGGCGTGGCCCCGGCAAGAACAGGCGCGCCAGGGCTTGTGCGCGCGCCGTCCGGCTGTGTGTTCCCGTTTTAAGCAGGGCGCAGAAAAGCCGCGGCTTGCCTGCTAATACGTCCCGGCCCTCGCACGTCCACGGCCAGCTCTTGTTTGCCGGGAGCGCGAGCCACGTGTGGGGACGTGCCCGCGGTCGGAGGAGGAGCGGCAGCGCACGGCCTCCGGCGCCTCGGCCTTACACCCCGGGCCCCGTGGTCGGGCGTTTGCCGGCGTCTCGCCGGGCCCTCGGGCTCGAGTCCGCTGCACCCTACAGATGCGGCTCACGCCACAGACCGTTCCCTCGGCTTTCAACACAGGCTTAAAGGCTCAGCGTGTTAAAAGGCTTGGTTTTTTCCTGAACGCTGCGTGTTTCTGTTTAGTTGCTGTCACGCTTGTGTGGGTGCCGTGCCGGGAGAGAAGCGCCCTAAAAGGTGGCTGAAACGTACCCTCTTGCCAGCCTGTTGAAAGCGTTTTCTAAAACCACAGCTGACCTTTGAACAAGTCAGTGCTGACCCCCCTGCAATGACTTTTGACTCCCCTGTCTTTAACTGCATCGCCCCGATGTTGGCCTAGGGTGGCCACTTCCGAGATGCCCCGAATGCTGCCTGGCCGTGGGAGCCCCAGGGCCTGTGGCCGGCCTCCGCACCCTGGGTGGCGCAGCTGAGGCCATGGGGCCTGTGGGTGGCCGTGCCCCTTGAAGAGGGCCGTGCAGCTCAAGCCCGGGCTGCTCAGAGCAGCGTCCTGCAGCCCAGACGCACACCCTGCGTTCGAGAGAGGTGGCCGCGCCCGGCCCCTTCCCGTGGCCCACGCGTGGCGCCTGGCCCACTCCCTTCTCTCTGGGGCGCACGCCCCGTGGACAGAGCACTGTACACTGCCGTGTCTGGGGTGTCCTCTGGGGGCCTCAGAACACGCCCATATGTGTCAGGGGTTACTGCGTTTAGATTTTGATCCCTCATTTGTTTTTGAGCCTGTGAATTTAATTCAAATGAAGTTTCAGGGCCTCCCGGCTGGTGCAATAGGTTAAGCGCTGCACCGTGAAGGTTTGATTCCCGGCCGGGCAGGGAGATTCCCACATGGCCCGGCAGACCTCTCCTGCCTCGCCCGCTGCTCCCCTCAGCAGTGGATTTCGGTCCATCTGCCTGTTCTTGCTCCCCGCTCTGTTTCTGGCGAATTCTCTCACCCTCCCGCGCTTCTGGCCTGTACCCCAGCTCTTGTATAGATAAATAAATCTTTAAAAGAAAATTAAGGTTAAGCAAAGTTGCGCCCTCTAGTTCAGAGCCTCAGCTTCCCCTGTCCCGCTCCGGGAAGCGCTCTGCCTTCACGGCCCCGGGCTTGTGCTCCCGGGTAAGACCAGTAGCTGGCCTTGCTGGCGTCTTTCGTGGAGTATCAGCCTCTGCTAACGTACTTGTCTACGCTTGCTCTTGAACACGCTCTTCCGAGTCCCGGGATTATCTTGAAACGGGTGGGGATTTCGGCAGGAGAAAGGCAGGTTCGCGGAGCGGGGACGTGCACCCTGGGCGGCCTGGCAGCAGCTCCCTTTCGGCGTCAGCGCGCGTGTCCCGAGTCAGAGCGCAGCCTGGCCCCGCCGCCTGCGGCCCCGCGGCCCCTGCGCTAAGCGTCCCCGAGTGGACCCCGCAGAGCCTGCTGGCTCTCGGGCGTGTCTGTTTCTGTGGGGACAGGCACTGTTGTCCCGTGGACTGGGCAGGGGCCGCGTGTGCCCCCTCAGGAGTGCTGTGGGTGCTGCTGGCCTCTGGGTCCCCCGCCGAGGGCCTGGGGTCCGGAGCCGGGTCAGCGCAGCCCAGGCGTGAGGAGCCCGCCGGGCACCCTGTGCAGCCGCCCTGGGTCCAGGCTCAGGCTCGTCCCCTGATAGGGTGGCGAGGCCTGTGGCCTGCAGTCTGGGGGCCCCAGCACGCCGTCTGCCCCTCAGGTCCAGGCCTCCTCCGCAGGGCCCCAGGCGGCAGCTGCAGCGCAGCAGGCGGAGCTGACCTCCCGGACCCGTTCTGACCTAACTTTTGTTTCCGTAGGGAACTGTACCTGGGGAATGAACTGTAGGTTTATACACCCTGGCGTGAACGACAAGGGCAACTACTCCCTTATCACCAAAGCCGAGCCTTTCCCGCCCAACGGTGCCCCGCCTCTCGGACCTCACCCACTGATGCCTGCCAACCCTTGGGTGCGTGACGCCTTTCCTTTCCTTGCTGATGGGACAGCTGAGCTCTGTTGTGAGTCTCCGCCTTAAACGCTGATTCGCTGCCTCATGAGGAAGGTGTTTCTGAGACTCAGAGTCACAGAGCCGCCTTCCAGATGCTTCCGCTGTCTCCATGTAGCGGTAACCCTGGACTCGGGCAGCTGAGTCCAGCCGAGTGAGTCTTGGCAAGAGCGGGCAGTACTGCTGACTGCGGTCTTAGCTGGTGTTTTTGCTCCCCACTTCTTGATGGAATTTGAAGTTTGGTTTTTTTCTCAACATTTTCCCTCTTGTTTTTTAATAGGGTGGGCCAGTAGTTGATGAAATTTTGCCTCCACCCCCTCCAGAACCCCCAACAGAGAGTGCCTGGGAACGCGGACTCCGGCACGCGAAGGAGGTAATGGCCTGGCGAGCCCGAGAGGCCCTGCAGAGCAGGGCGCGGGGACGCCTCGCAGCGAGGGTGTGCTGGGCTCACGGCGGCCAGGCTGACCGCCTCACAGATGCTGCTGGCCCTGGACCGGCCCAGGAGGCTGGGGAGGCCCAGGTTGGAGCCCGGCCTACGAGGGCGAGGCGAGCTGTGTGGCGCTGCTCACAGGGCTCGTCCAGAGCGGCCCGGGCCCCGTGGCCCGGGCCCCCTGGCCTCGGGCCGGCTCCTCTTCCATGAGCTGCCAGGTGCAGCACCCACTGGCGCCGCGGCCAGGAGCAGGCCCGCCTTCCCCCGCCCTCGCTGAGTGAATAGCGGGGCTCTGGGGCTCCGTCCAGGGGCGGGTCGTCGGCGTGCCTGGCTCAGTCACCTGCTCCGTGCTGCGTGAGCACCCTTTGCGCGGTGGCCCGCCCTGGGTGCTGGGTGCTGGGTGCAGCCGCCGGCCACCCCAGAGGCCTCCGCGTCACAGCAGGTTTCCTCCTGACCCTGACTTCTTCCTCCTTGCCGCGGTAGGTTCTTAAAAAAGCAACCATCCGAAAGGAACAGGAGCCCGATTTTGAGGAGAAAAGGTTCACAGTGACCATCGGTGAAGACGAGCGGGAGTTTGACAAAGAAAATGACATTTTCCGAGATTGGAACTATCGCATCACGAGGGACGTCAGAGACACAGCGTAAGGAGGCCCTGCCCCCCGCCCCGAGAGCGCCCACAGGTGACCGCGCTGAGGGCTGCGCAGGGGCATGCCCGGCCAGCGCCTGCCCGCTCTGCCTGCTGCGAGACACCCCCAGATCGCTTCTGACTTTCTTTTTGTACCTGAGTCTTCTCAGAGTTGGCTTCTGGGGAGGGAGGGCCTGGCACTGGTGCCAACTGCTGCCCACCAGCCTGGCAAGAGCTGTGAGCCCCCACAGCAGACCTCCACCCCTGTTCTGTGGGGCCTCCACCCCTGTTCTGTGGGCCCCCCACCTTCACCATGGACAGCTGGTGAATCGGGTGCACTTTAGAGCAGGGTCGGCCCTGTCGGCGGTTTGCGACTCCTCAAGCGCTTCCGCAAAGAATAGGGAAAGAGCCTTGGTTCCATCAGGATGCTGTGGCCGAGTGGGAGGCCCAGGCAGCCCTCCCCCCACCCCTGTTGCAGAGAGCCGGCTGTGGGTGAAGGCCAGCTAGGGGGGAGCCAGGCGGGCTCCAGGTGGGATGTGGGCTGTGGAGATGGGGCAGGAGCACTGCCTTCCTGATACCCGTTTTTTCCCAATTAAACCAAATTGTAAAAAGTGCTTTTCCAGACATGCACCCCAACTCTTAGTTTTGCAATTTCCTGCCCCACCTGAGCCCCTCATTCAGGTGCCTTTGCCTTGTGGGTCTCATGTGTGGAAACAGGCTGGCCTATGCCCAGTGCCCCTGGTCACACAGGCGCGCATGGGCCAGACCCGGCACCCCAGGACACACCTGCCAGGGCAGGGTCCCAGCACCTTCTTGGAACACAGCTCTGTCAGCTGGCAATGCGCCCTCCTTCCGGCCAGCCTCAGTCTACACGGCTGGCGCCCCTCAAATGCTGCCACCTGGCTGCTGGGGCTCCAGGCTGGTCACTGCGGGAACAGCACAGCTGTCCCCAGTAGCTGTCCTTGGACAAAGACGCCCCGCAGCAGAGGCCACTTTCACTTTAAGCCAGTTTCTCCAAACTTTGGCCTTCTCTGCAGGAGCACGTGCCCTCACGCCTACTCTGGAAGATGTTTCCAGGGTCTTGGCTTGGTGGAGGGTGTGGTTTTGCGTCCTGATATACAGGAGTGCCTGTGCCTCCAGGGCCCCTCGGCTTTCTCCTCCGGGTGCTGGTGGCCTGAGAACACATGGACGCAGCCTGTGTGCAAGCTGGCAGTGCCACCCGGGGCCCCTGAGCCACGAGGCCCTGCTGCGAGGGGGGAGGCGGCTGTGGGCGGGGACGGGTGTGTCGTTGGGCCAGGCCAGCCGCGTGGGTCCTGACAGGTGCTTGAAGGTCAAGGAGGGGCTTCCTGGCACGCGTGGGTGAGCCGAGCTGAGCCTCTGGAGCCGCGGGCACAAAGAAGTGCTGGTCCAGAGCCAGGAGATCCCTGCAAGCACCTTCTGGCCTGCCTGGCCGAAGGTGCCTTCCCTCCCTGCTCCCCTGGGGTTTGGGGCAGCCGGGTGGGTGGCTCCTGGGCAGGGTGGGCTCCGCCCCTCCTCCCAGGGCCAGGTTGGCCATCCCTCTGTGATGACAAGTCCGCCATGAGCAGGCCGCAGGCCCCTGCCATCTCTCCAGTGCTTGGTTTGCAGCACGCAGGCGTCCTAATGTCCGGCGCTGGCCTTGGGGTGGCAGCCGAGGGTGGGCCTGAATGGGGGAGAGCAGGCTCCCGGGCGATGCCCGCTCGCCTGACCGAAGGCAGGGATGCTGGCCCACTCACTGTCATGCTTTCCGTGTCTTCCTGAGTGTCGCGAAGTTGTCCTCGGGTGGATTCCACACATTTGGCTGCACGCTCGTGTCCTCAGCGTCTTTCCTCCTTTGCTGCTGTCAGAGGAGCTCCTCCTGGCCTGGGCCAGTGTCTGCTCCACAGGTCGATTTCTTGCTCTGCCTTCCTGCCCGACTTGGCTCTGCCCGGCCCCCCGCTGTCTCGCCCGGTCCCATGGAGGTGCCTCGTCACCCCCTCACAGACAGGGCCAGCTCGTGCTCTGAAGCGCCAGGCAGGGTGTCCCGTGAGGAAGCCGTCGCTGCCCATCTTCCCGAGCGTTTTCATGGGCGTGGGCCTTTAATGGGTCCCGGGCCGCCCCGGTCTCTGCAGGCGTGGGCCGTGGCTTCCTCGTTGGGTCTGGCTCCGCTGAGTCCCCATGTCCGTTCAGCCCCGAGCTGGCGCGGGCACTGCCCTCCGTGTGCGGAGCGGGGCTCGGTGCTGCGGCTGTGCCGTGTGCCTGCCGCCCGGTCACGCTGTCTCCCGTGCCCGCTCTCCGCAGCCTGGAGCCGTACGCCGACCCCTACTACGACTACGAGATCGAGCGCTTCTGGCGCGGCGGCCAGTACGAGAACTTCCGGGTGCAGTACACCGAGGCCGAGCCCTACCACAGCTACCGCGTGAGTACCGGGCGGCCCAGTGGTGCGCCCACCCCCACCCCCCGTGGTCTCTGCCCGCTGCGGCTGCCTTTGGTCATCGCATCCCCCGACTCGGGATCGGTGGGCATTGGCGAGGTGTGTGTCTCCCCCTGGGGCTGGCATCGCTCCTCTCGGGCTCCGTGGCGACCGCCTCCCCCCAGGGCCTCTTCTGTGCACCTGACTGGCCGGGCCAGGCCCCCGCGCCGCCAGCCAGGCCACGTCAGCCTAGTGGCGACTGTCCCGTTGGGTGTTCCTTGCGAGAGTTCCCGGTGTGGAGTGTGTGTGCCTCCCATCCGGAGCCCCTCGTCTCAGGCTCTGGGGCGTTAGGGAAAAGCAGTTGCTCACAAACATCAGAAGCAGCCAAGCAAGTCCCCGGTTGCCAGGGCAAGGGGCTGTCACTTCATGCGTGACCATGTGGTGCACTGGGTCCGGGGGCTGTCCCGCCCCTCTCCCCTGTGGGCAGAGTCCTCCTGGGCTTGGCTGTGGGTGCTGGGTCCTGGGCGGGAGCCCCCCAAGGTGTGGGGTGCCCACTGGAGCCCCTTCACCTGTGTCCTCCTCCCCTGCCCAGGGTAGGCCAGGCTGCGGCTCAGGCTTCACTCTGGTTTAGCTTTGACCCTTGGAGCAGACGAATGGTTGGGAGCAGGTCAGGGGTTCAGAAGGGGTTCAGGACTGCTCGGGAGAGTGTGAACCGGCTTGCGGGGGCACCGTCTGTCCAGACACTACCCAGCGCCGTCTTCGGTGTCTGCTGACCTCCGTCCTGCCCGAGGGCCGCTCCGCCTGACATGGCTGGGGGGCGGGGGGCGGCCTGGGGTCCATGGCTGGGTGCGCCCCCCCTTAGATTGTGCTGCGCTCCTTTGGGGCCGAATCCACGTCTGAGGGAAACCTGGGCGTGAGGCCCGCTCCCCCGCGCCCTGCGGCGGCTCTGCGGGTCTGCTCAGGCCTCGCGCTGTGTCTCCCTCAAAGGAGCGGGAGCGTGAGCGCGAGCGGGAGACCCGGCAGCGTGAGCGGGAGCGTGAGCGGGAGCGCGAGCGGGAGCGGGACCGCCGGCAGCGGGAGCGCGAGCGGGAGCGGGAGCGCGAGCGGGACAAGGACCGGCAGCGCAGGAAGGAGGAGTGGGAGAGAGAACGCGCCAAGCGGGACGAGAAGGACAGACAGCACCGCGACCGCGACCGGGACAAGGAGCGGGACAAGGAGAAGGAGAAGCCGAAGCCCCGCTCCCCGCAGCCACCCAGGTAGGCCCGGGGCTGGGGAGGGCCCTGGGGCGCGGCGCCGGAGAAGCCGCATGTCCGCTGGCCGGCGACGCCCGGCGCTCGCTTCACGCCCAGGCTCCGTGCGCAGACCCGCCACCGGGGGTGCAGGGCCTGGCGTGGGGGGTGCAGGGCCCGGCGTGGGGGCTGGCGGGCAGAGCGAGGACCCGCCCCGTGCTGCAGCCCAGCGGGCAGCGCCCCGCCCCGCCCTTTTTCAAAACACGCTCAGTCCTCGAGCAGGACAGATGGTCCGCGAGGACCCGGAGCTGGGGAGGCTGCGCCCGTGCTCCGGCGTGCAGACCGTCGCCCCGCGCCGCCCGGCCGGAGCGTCCACGCTCGGCGGTGTCTGCCTGTGCGCTGACGGCTGACCCGTGCCGTCACCGACAGTTTTAAAATGCCCGTGTCCCCACTAAGACGCCCCCTGCACACTCGCAGTCTCGGCGTGCCCAGGGCCCTCCTGCTCCCGGCAGCGCCCCGCCGCTCTGCGCTGGCTCTGCGCTGGACGTGCTCTCCGGGCCTTCGTGTCGCAGGCGGGGGCTGCTTGAAGCTGCTCCCACCCAGCGGCATCTGTACCCAACGCGTCCACCGGGCGCGCGGGCCAGCCCTGCCCTCCTTTGCCCGGCACGGCATCTGTGTCCCTGATGGCACCGGCTGGTGTCCAGATGGCCCTTGGGCTGTTGGGACATGAGCTCCCACCCCCAGGACCCGAAGACCCCGATAGTGGCTCTGCCACCCGGGGTGACACCAGGGAGTTGGCGCCCCAGCTCTGTTCTGAGGGGTCTTTGGCTCTTTGGCGCCCTTTGTGATTCCATAAGAATATTGAGGTTATTTTTGCCATTTCTGTAAAATGCTGGAGTCTGGTAGGCGTTTCCTCGAGCCTGGAGATACTCGGGGTGCGTGGGCATCCCCCAGACTGGCCCTTTTGGAGCACAGGTGGGCGGTGGGGCTCACTCCTTTGCGACTCTGTCTCGGTGCCCCAGCTCTCCAGCGTGCAGGCCATGTTCGCCTGGGTTCCTGGGCACCTGCGGGGTTGCTCTGCCGTAGGTGGGGTCGTCTCCTGCCTCCTCCCGGCGGCTCCTATAGAAAGGCCACTGTTTCTTGCCCGAGGACTTCAGGTCCCACAATTTTACTGAATTTATTCATTGTAACAGTCTTGGTGGCTAAAAGGCAGGCCTCGTTTCTGTGTCTTGTGCTATTGGTCCCTCCCGTGGGGCGCGGGCCCTCCCCTGCTGGAAGAGGGGCGCGTCCTGGTGCGCACTGGGTCCTTCAGGCGGCCTTGGTGGGGATGCCCGGGACACAGACGCCCCCTGCGAGCAGCGCCCAGGACACTCACCCTGACCTCGTCAGACAGAGTCGCCCCTGGGTGGCGGCGCAGAAGGCTCTGATAGCGTCGCGTGCGGAAACAAAGCCCGGCCCCACGGACGCCCGCCTGCCCTCAGGGCCAGCTGCCCGGGACAGGAGAGGGCAGGGTTGCTGGAGCGGCCGCTCGCATCCCTCCAGCCGGGTGTGTCCCAGGTGGACGGCGGGCCTTCCTGGAGGGCCCTGCCAGCCCGCGCCGTGGCCCGCTCTCCAGCTTTTCCCGCGTCAGGCAAAGGGTCGTTCTCAGAGCAGCGCAAGTCACGTGTCCTGGGGCTCTGAGTGTCCCCAGGATGCGCTGACCAGTCTGTGTCTCCTGCGCCCGCAGTCGGTGCTCCCTTGCCAGCCCGGGCCACCTGCCCCTCGGCCTCCCACCAGCAGGCCCGGGGCTCGTCTTCAGGAGAGAACAATTACGTCTCCCTTCTTGCCGGAAGCACGTTCATTTAGCTCTTAGCTCCTCGTGCTCCTTGTCAGGGTGGGAATTAAATGGCTTCCACACTCACCCAGGAGATGGACGCGACTGCGCCAGAAAGCACCCCTGGGAGCCTCGCCCCGAGTGGGTGCCCGCGTCGTCTGTGGCACCACATGGCCAGCATGGGGTGTGGGTGGGGCTGAGCTCTGAGGGGCCACCCCTTCTTCCCAGGACTGACCTCGCTCCTGTTGCTTCCCCGAGGGTGCCGGCAAGTCCCTCCGTGGGGACTTCTCACCGGGTCTGCCTCGTGACTCTGCTGCTGGGGCTCCCTCCCCCGCGTCCGGGCTGACTCAGAGCAGAGCAGCGCTCCCGCCTGGAGGATGTGTCTGCATCACCAGGGGAGCTCCCCTCGGGAACCGCCTTTCCCGTGATGCCAGCCCGTGGGCAGCTCTCACTGCTGGCGCCGAGGCCGCTGTCAGGGCGCTCCTGGGGCCGTCGCCTACATCTGGCTGTCGGCCCAGCCGCCCGCGCCTGTCTCCATGAGGCCTGCGGCCGGGGTGGCCGGCAGCCCTTCCCGGCAGAGGGGCTCGTCCTTCTGGAGCCCTGTCGCCCTTTCCACAGCCACCTGAGCCTCTTCCAGACGAGTTCTTGCAGACCTGGGTGTGTCCACACCCCTGCAGGGCCACCCCAGCTGGTGCTTAGCCTGCGCCCCGGGTTCTGCCGCTGGGGGTTAAGTTCAAATGTTTTCAGAGCCTGCAGGCCTGTGCTCCCCGAGCCCCAGGACGGCGTATCTGCCCTGCCCCGGCCTCCCAGCACCGCCCACGTGGCTGAGGGTGCAGGCCGGACCGCGCCAGCCCCCGGGGCCACTCCGACTCTGGCTGGGGTTCTGCTCCGTGCAGAGTTGAGAGCTGAGGACGGGGGGCTGCACTGCACTTGGCCTGTGCTCTTGTTCCCGGCTGGAGGGACTGGCAGGCCTTGAAGGCCACAAGGGGCCCTGTCCAGCTGGGGCTCCTGACTGATAACAGCGTGTGGTGGGGGAGGCGCAGGACTGCCATGAGCCCGCATTTGGAGGGGTGATGGTCAGGTGCGCACCCCGGGAGTGGGGGTGGGGAGGCACTGGCTCTGGTGGGGTTTGGCAGGAGGGGGTATGGTAGCAGTGGGGGGGGGGGCGGGCAGCGGGACCTCCTGCCAGAGGTCTGGGCAGTGGGCGGACCAGCCCTGTGGCAGGGAGGGGCTCACCTGAGCCGGGCAGTGTTTCTATTCCAGTTTAGGGAGGCAGCTGAGGGTGGGTCATTTGAGTGTTTCCCACAGCTTCCCAGAAGGTCAGAGGGCAGAGAAGAGCAGCTCTTGTGGGGTCTCTGAGCGTTTCCAGAAACACGCGGGTTCAGTCAGTGAGCCCCATGCCCTGGTGTCCCCGCCTCCTGCGTCCTAAGTTGAGTTGTGTCCCCCGCATTCCACAGGGACCTACACCCTCTTTATCTTTGACCCCAGACCTGGCCCCTGCTCAAGTCGGAGTTCCCAGATCCTCAGCCACTGCGTCATGCCTGGCCCCCACTCTCGGCCAAGCATGGGCCCAGGCGAGCTGAGCCGAGCTGGCCCCTTCGTCCTGTCTTGCTCTGACCTTTGTACTTGACGTTCACTGGGCACTGACGCCGTGGGGTCTGCCTGTCAGTGATCGCGAGGGTCCCCCTCGCCGGGGTGGAGGCAGCCTCTCCAGGCTGCTGTCCGGCTCCGGTGCAGGCTGTCAGCGCGGCCCCTTTCCCAGCCCTGCCGTCGTGGGGCCCTGGCGGGCGGCCGCAGAGCCTGCCTTGGCACAGGCGCGTGGTGCCGCGCGCTGGTCCGTTGGCTGGCCTCGCTTCTTAAACTTAAATGTGTCTGAAAAAAATTCTGTGTGAAGTCCTGGATCATTTGTCCTGGTGGGTCGCCAGAGAGAGCCTGGATGGCGGGGTGCTGATTCGAGTCAGGACCCCCACCCCCCGGGGTCCCGGCCAGCTCCCTCTGCGGAGGCCACGGGGCGGGGGTGGGGGCACACGGACAGCGAGACTTAGGGCTGCCCCTCGGGAAGGCGTAATCCTCTCCAGGCGAGGGTCACCCTGGCGAGGCGACGAGTCTCCTGGGAGGCGCTGGCCTCCCGGCGGCCCCTGGCCCCGCTGCGCACTGTGGCCAGGACGGGGCCCGCGAATGCCGCAAGGTTTGCGTCCAGAGGGGCTGGCCCAGCCACGCCGGGGCCTGCCCTGCCTCTCCTCCTCGGAGGGCCGCCTCTCTGTGACTCAGGACCAACCTGGTGGCCGGGTGCCGGCTTCCTGCTGCCTAGGGACGAGCACTCTCGGGCGGTGCCTGGGGGCGCCGCCTGCTCCCCGCGACGTCCCGGGACCCTGCGTGAGCGCGTGGTCGTGCTCTGGCTGAGGGCAGAGAACAGGGATTTTGCGTCTCAATTTTGTGAGTCCTTGGGGTCATCGTGAATGTCGGATGTCGTTCTCGATGTGGGATTCCCAGCAAGGAGGGGGCACGAAACTTGGCAGGTGGTGATCGATTGAACGGGGCTGAAAGGGCCAGCGGGCAGTGGTTGAACGCCTGGGCTCTCCTCCAGTGGCGCTGCGGGGGCAGCTGTCTGCCCAGGGCGGGCAGCATCCGAGCTCAGGGCCAGAGTTCCACAGGCAGACGCTCGCAGGAGGGCCGTGTGGGCTGGAAGGTGGCCCTCCCTGCAGAGAGATTCCAGAATGCAGCCGGTGGACTACGGGCCGAGCTCAGCAGAGGAAGCGTGGACGCCTCTGACCGGGGGCAGTCTCCCGGCGGCCGGCAGGGAGCCAAGGCCGTTCTTCCTCTGCCACACCACGCACCCAGCTCAGCTGGGAGCTGCACACGAGGGAGGGCCCGGACCCTGGAAATGGCACCGCCGCCTGACACAGGAGGACCCGGGGGCTGCAGGGCAGCTGGAGCACCCCCGGCTGTGGTGTGAAGTGAGCCGTTCCTGCGGGTGGGTGCAGCGCCAGGATTGGGGGGGTTCTTGGGGGTTTCCATCGTGAGCAGAAGCCCAGAGTGCCATGAGTGAAGTGGGCGCGTGGGGAGCAGGGCTGCTTTCAAGGGACGTGGCAGACGCCTCGAGCACCTGGGGTGTCCATGCCTCTGACCCCTTCCTGCTTCTCGGGCCTTCCCTAGAGCGACGCCCACGAGGACATGTGCATCCGAGCACCCAGCGCGTACGGTGTGAGGGTCTGGGGCCCTGGGCTGGGGTGCGCTGTTGAGTGTTTGGGTGGTAGGGTGTCTGTGGGGTGCCCCTCCTTGGTGCTGAGCCTCCCCAGGCACTGCTGGCAGCCACAGCCCCACCACCCAGACTTGGTGATTAGACCTGGTCCTCTGCGGCTGACTTGCCCACGCCTGTCCTGCCCCACACCAGCCCCAGGCCTGGGATGCTGCTCACAGCCCCCGGCAGGTGGGCCCGCCAGCCGGCCCGCTGCCTCCTTGACACCGCGGCTGTCACACCTGTGACAGCATCTGACCCAGCTCTCTGCGCGGGGTGGAGATGGAGCCTTCCAGAATGCCTGGTGGTCTGAAAACAAAGTTTCAGTTCCCTTTAGCTCCTGCGTCTCCACTGTGTGCCGCTGGGCCCTGAGCCTGCTAACCAGGGCGACGGTTCCCTGAGTAGCCGCTCCCGGGAAGGCCAGGAGGGACACAGCTGGCCTGAGAAGGCCCGTGCTGTCCACCTGCCGCCTGGACGTAACCGCCCCCCCGCTCCCCACATGCCGTCGGGTGCAGGCCGCGCCCTGCTAACTCCTCTGTGATCTTAGCCGTCAAGCTGAGCCACCAAAGAAGGAGGCCGCCTCTGCGGGGCCGCAGGTGAAGCGAGCGGATGAGTGGAAGGACCCATGGCGCCGGTCCAAGTCTCCCAAGAAGAAGCTGGGGGTGTCGGTCTCCCCTAGCCGGGCGCGAAGGCGTCGGAAGACGTCAGCCTCCTCGGCTTCTGCCTCCAATTCCTCCAGGTAGGGGCCGCCCGTCGGCTCGGCTGGTCCTTGGACGTGGGATGGCGGGACCCGGCTCGTGGCGCGTGCTGGCCGGGGGCCCTAGCCCTGGGCGGGCGTCTGCTGGGCGCGCGTGGCCCTGGGTGCTGGAGGAAGACCCGCCCCGCCCGCCCGCCCGCCAGGTCGTCGTCCCGGTCCTCGTCCTACTCCGGCTCGGGCTCGTCCCGGTCCCGCTCGCGCTCGTCGTCCTACAGCTCCTACTCCAGCCGCTCCTCCAGGCATAGCTCCTTCTCGGGCAGCCGCTCCAGGTGCGTGCGGGGCTGGGGGAGGGGCGGGGGCTGCCCCCGGGCCCACACGGGAGGGGCGCCGGCTGCTACTGGCCGCAGTGGGCACCGCCCCAGACCGCCCTGGTGGGCGCCCCCGACCGCACTGGTGGACGCAGAGCCCGGCCTCACGTTGTGTCCTCCTAGGTCCCGGTCCTTCTCCTCGTCCCCGTCCCCGTCCCCGACCCCGTCCCCGCACAGACCAGCCATCCGGGCCAAGGGGAGCCGGCCCCACCACCTGGTAAAGCGGGGTGAGTGTCTGCGCATGCCCTCGCCCCGCCTGGAGACCCAGCCAGAGGCGGCGGCGGCCCCCCACACGTGGGCCTTGGCCCTCCCGCCCACCTGCCTCGTGAGGCGACCTGGCGCCGCCAGCCAGGGACCTCGGGCCGGGGCACACGGTCCTCTTGCCCAGCGACCACGCCCGCCCCCGCCCTGCCATGGGGGTGAAGCCCTACCGCGCCTCTCGTCCTGAGCCACGCCGGCCACGCCCCACACAGGCAGAGACGGCGGGCGGGGGGGGGGGGGCGTGTGTGCCTCACGAGGTGGAAGGCCTGGTGCCGCCAGGGCAGGACACGGCCGGCCAGGGCTTCTGAGCAGCCTAGAGTTCACGGCTGCTGCTGCCGCCCACTGTGACAGGACGTCCGGCCTTGCCTGGCCATGTCCGCACTGAGGGCGCAGCCCCTGGCTGCCCTGCTCAAGGGCCTCTGGGGGTGCCCGTGCCTGCCTGGGCGTAGCTTCAGGGGCGGGCTCGGGGCTCAAGCGTGTGCAGGCGGCTGGCCTCATGAGAGCCGCGCCCTGAGGGGCCACGTCTGGACCTTCCTCCCGCACAGAGAGAAGTCTGTGAAGAAGCCAGTTCCCCCTCCAGTTCCCCCACAGGCCCCGAAAACCACTGCTCCTGCCCCCGAGCCCACCAAGTCAGGAGACCCCCGGGAAGCCAGGAGGAAGGAGCGGCAAGCCCGGACCCCCCCCAGGAGGTGAGCGCAGGGCTCGGCAGCTCTGGGGTCCCACATCGCACCTGCAGGGTGGGGGCTCTCCAGGCAAGGCCCTCTGTCCCCACCCGTGTGGCTGTGGCTGATCCTCCTCGCCTGGCCTCCGCTTCCCCACCTCACAGCGAAGGGGAGGCAGGACCCCTCCCACCTGCTCGCCGACAGACACACGGCGCTGTCTTCCCTGGATAGAGGCCTCCTGGGGCGGGGACGCCAGTGAGGCTCAGGGTTTTATTCTGAGCAAAAGTGACACTTCAAAGCCAGCCGAGGCCACCGTCCTGCCGGGGCCCAGCCTGCCTCTGAGGGGACGCGGCCCGTGTCTGCCACGGAGGCCTGAGGGCCGACTCGCTTCTCTCTCGCTCGCAGGCGGACTGTCAGCGGCAGCGGCAGCGGCAGCAGCTACAGCGGCTCCAGCTCCAGGTCCAGGTCGCTGTCCTCTCCCGCTCGCCCGTCCCTCCCTGTTGGGCCCGCCCCTCTGCAGAGGGCCCGCAGGCTCGGGGCGCACCACCCCCTCAGCAGCCTGCAGGCCGCTGTCCCAGCGCGGTGGGGGCAGACAGGCACACCCTCCGCGGGGCCCCGCACCTCCCTGAGGAGACCCAGTACCCAGCTGGAGCGGGCGCGAGCGCCACAGGCTGCTGTCCCTGCCGCCCGGTGTGGGAGGACGCATGGGGCGGGCTTGCTGTTGCTGGCGGGCTGCGGGGCTGCCCCCCTGCCCGGCCTTCTCCTGGGCCTGGGTGCTGAGTCGGGACTGAGTCCCCTTCCCACGGCCTGTGCCTGGGTGACGCCCTCGGGAGCCGGCTGTCCTCTCGGTGCGGGCAGGGCGGGGCCGCCTGGAGTCGCTCCCGGGCCGCTCCGGATGACCCGAGGTCTCGGCCTGGCTCCCGGCGGCCGCAGGTGAGACGCGCTTGCGGTGCTTGAGGCCTCACCCGGGACTCTGCTGTGGTCACCGGCTCTCGGGTCGCTCTCGGTCACCTGCCCCTTCCCAGCAAGCAGTGCGGCCGTCTCTCACTGCAGGGGCCGCACAGGGTGACCCCTCACACGACCCAGGGCCTTTCCACGTCAGAGCCGGGGAGGGTGGGCCTGGCCGCCCACTGCTCCTGGGGCCACGTGGCACCAACGCACTGTGTGTGCAGGTCCCTGAGTGTGAGCAGCGTTTCCTCCGTGTCCAGCGCCACGTCCAGCAGCAGCACAGGGCACAGCGTGGACTCGGACGACATGTACGCAGACCTGGCCAGCCCCGTGTCCTCCGCCAGCTCACGCTCCCCCACCCCCGCCCAGACCAAGAAGGAGAAAGGTGCGGGGCCCCGGGTGCTGCTGTGCCCCTCGTGGCAGGAGGGCGCGCAGCGGGGACGTGGGGGGAGGCAGTGGCCGGGCCCCCAGAGGCTTGTGAGAGCAGGGGTACGGTATGGCGTCTGTGACGGGGAATTCCCCTGGCAGGCAAATCTAAGAAAGAAGATGGCGTCCGGGAGGAGAAGCGGAGAAGGGACCCGTCGGCACAGGCGGCCAGACCCTCGAAGCCTTCCGCGGGCGCGAAGGCCTCCCAGCAGTCTTCGGCGCCCCAGCAGGCGGCCCCGGGGCAGCCCCCGCAGGGCACCTTCGTCGCCCACAAGGAAATCAAGTTGACGCTGTTGAACAAGGTGAGGCAGGGCGCCGCCGCGGCTCCCCACGGCCAGCACCCCTGCCCGGCCTGAGCCCTGGTCCGTCTCCAGGGCAGCCTGCGCCAGCCCAGAGGAAGCCAGGTCCCCACGGGACTGGAGCCCCCCAGTCAGCGACCCCTTGAAACTGGGGTTCCCATGTGGGCGTGGGGTGAGGGAGTGGGTCCAGCTGAGAAGGTGCAATTCGGCCACCTGTCCTGTGTGTCCTGCCCAGTGGCCGGAGGCGCAGGCCCATCCCCGCTGACCCCTCGCTTGTTGCAGGCGGCCGAGAAGGGGGGCAGGAAGCGGTATGAGCCCTCGGACAAGGACCGGCAGAGCCCGCCCCCGGCCAAGCGGGCCAACCTGTCCCCAGAGCGAGGTGAGCGCCCGGCCTCGGAGCACGGGCCCCGCAGGACGGAGGTCGGGGCTGGGCCCGGGGAGCTCTGACCGTGGGGTCGTGTCATAGACCGTGACCCGAAATGAGTGAAGCTGAAAACTGAGTGTTTAGTTCCGAACAGCGGCGTGACCTGGCGCTGCCGGAAGTGGCTGGTTCTGCCCCACGCGCTCGCTCGCCGCGCTGCTTTGGCCTCATTTTGCAAACCTGACCCGGCTGAGCGGCGGCTGCGCTCTCCTGAGTCTGCGCCCTCCCAGTGGAGTTGTGGGGGGCAGAGAGGCAGCGGGGAACAGACACCTTCCCCCACACACCCTCCCCGCCCCCACCCCGGTCTCTGGCACTCCGGCTTCCCAGCCCGGGGTGGAGGCGCCAGCCGCGCCGATGCTGGAAGCCGCCGCCTCCACGAGCAGAGGCCTGATGCCGGCCTGGCGCGTGGCTGGCGAGCACCCGGTGCCCCTCCCGGGGCCGCGCAGCGCTGCCCCACAGGCGCCTCGTGGAAACGCAGAGGGCAACTCTCCCGGCCCTCAGGAGAGGCCGCTGCCCACCCCTCCTAGGGGCACCAGGGCCCCCCGTCCCTGCCCGGGCAGCCTGCCGGCATCCGCCCCGCTGTCCTTGCCCAGGTTCTCGGGACCGGAAGTCCAGCGGGAGGCTCGGCTCCCCGAAGCCAGAGCGGCAGAGAGGCCAGAATTCCAAGGCTGCTGTGGCCCCTCCAGACAGGTGAGTGCCCCCCATACCCCGGGCAGCCCACATGGGCGCGTTTTCTTCGGGAAGGCCAGGCCAGTGTCCTCGCCGGGCAGGGGCGCAGGTGACGCCACCATCCGCGCAGGCGCGGGCGGGCCAGCCCAGAGCACACGCACACCCCGGGGGCCTCCAGGGCGCGCGCGGGTCCCCTCCCCGCAGAACAGCAGGGCCGCTTCCTGGGGGTCCAGGCCCCCCGCTGCGCCTGGGCCTCCGCCTCACAGCCCCACCCCCACAGGAAGCGCCAGCAGTCCCCGCAGTCCAGGAGCTCCAGCAAGGTCACCAGCGTGCCCGGCAAGGCCCCGGACGCCGGCTCGGCCGCCGCCAGCGGCGCCAAGCCGGGCAAGGCCAGCACGCTGTCGCGGCGCGAGGAGCTCCTGAAGCAGCTCCGGGCCGTGGAGGACGCCATCGCGCGCAAGCGGGCCAAGATCCCCGGGAAGGTGTAGCCGCCGCGCCCCGCAGAGACTCGCGTGTTTTTATAAATAGGGTGATAAGCGCAGCCATTTCGGATTTTGCAGTTCATGTCTCATGTTGGCTGTGATTCTTTTTAAAAATTAAAAAGAAAAAAAAAGTTTCTCAGCTGGAAAAGAAGCCACACGTAGTGAAGACGATGCCGAATCCCAGCCTCCCCGACCGGACCGGACCGGACCCGCGCTGCAGTCCCGGGGACGCGAGGACGCCCGACGCCCCCCCCAGCGCGCGCCCCGTCCCCGCCCGCCCGCGCCCCCAGTGCCCCGCGAGCCAGGCAGCCTCCCGCCCTCGCTGTCCCCGGATCAAAATAGATATATATTCTTGACCGAAGTCTGATCGGGAGATGTTTCTTATCTTTTATTTTACGCATCAAATTGTTTCAGTTGATTTAAAATGAAAAAATACAGAAAAGACCAAAAAAAAGGCCAAGGGTATCTTTGGGCGTCTGTCTCATGAGGAGGGTCTTTTTTGAGGGGTCTCCTAAAATAAAATATTTTGATAAGCAGCCGTCTCGCCTGCTGTCTGCGTGACCTGGGCCCGGGCGAGGGCAGCGCGGCTGGGTCACCCGCGGGCACGCCTGGTCGGTGGTGGCCGAGGACACCGGGTCCTTCGGGGACCCTGGAAGGTTCCCGAGCTGCCTGCTGAAGGGGCTCCCCTCCTCTCACCGCCAGCACAGGGGCCCTGCCTGGGACCCGGCCCCCCAAGGGCGGCACCGCCCGGATACCTGGCGCGGCTGGCGCGGCGGCCCCGTGGACACCTGCTCGGAGGGACCGGCCGGCCGGGCAGACCCCACGGGCCCAGGCAGCGGACACCAGCCCCTCGCAGTCCCGGGAGCAGCCCAGAGGGCTAGGCCCGGCCCTGCACCGCCGCCGGTCCCTGAAGAGTAAGTTCCAGAAGTGCTTGTGGCCAGGCCCCACGCAGCCCTGCCGGCCAGGGGAGGGCAGGAGCGGTCATTCTGCTGGCGGCAGGGCCATCACCAGGAGAGGCTGAGGGGCCGGAGTGGTGCTGCTGGGCCCTGGAGCCCAAGGGGGAGGACCGTGCCCAAGATGAGGGGGGCTGCTGCTGGGTCTCCCGAGGCCGGGGGAGAGCTGGGGTCTGGAGCAGCCCTCCGCAGGCCGCCTCCCGAGCCGTGCTTGGGTGGTGACTTGTGCCCAGGTCTGCGAGCAGCGGCACCGGGAGGGACGAGCCCTTGGCCCTGGCCCTGTGCCCGCCTTTCGCCGCCCTGCCCCGCGGTCTCGCCTGCCTCGGCTCCACCAGGCCCTGGTGTTTGAGTCCATCCCTCTCCATGTCCAGCGCCCCCTGCGTCTGCGCCCCTCTCCTGCGTCTGCGCCCCTCCTGCGTGTCTCCGGGCGGGACCAGGTGAGGCGGGCAGACGTGCAGGTAGAGCGGCAAGCCTCCAGGCACCGCTCCCTCGACACCCTCCTGCCCTCTGGCAGAGCCTTTCCAGGCTTGCCCAACCGGGACTCGGGCGCTTGCTTCAGCTGCTGGCAGGGATGGGCCTGCGTGTCCAGTGGGTGTGAAGCTCAAACCAGAAACAGCCCCGCCAGGCTGGACCTGCCCACGGGAAGCAGGGGGCCCTCGCCGAGCCCAGCCCAGCGTCAGCTGCACGGACGCTGGCCCGGGCACCAGGGCGGCTCCAGGCCAGGCTCCAGGCTCCGTCTCCGGGAGGCCGTGCCTCCGGGGCCGCAGCAGCAGCAGCAGCGGGGCTTCCTGGGCAGCACTCCTTAGGGTGCACGATGCGGCGCCCATGCTCACCCCCGGCCTGGACTTGCCCTCGAGCCCCAGATGCCCAGCACAGGCCGGAGGCCCCTCTGGTCCCCAGTGCCCCAGGCCCAGCTGCCAGGGCAGGGGCACAGGCACGGGAGGAAAGCAGCCGCTTGCCCACCTCCGTGCAGGACAAGTGACCGGCCCAGGACTGACCCTGCTGAGCCTGCCCAGCCCCCCCACTGCCCAGCTGCCCCCCACCTCAGGCATCTGGGCCCCCAGGCCCAAAGAGCAAAAAGCATACAGCTTGAATCCAAGAAGCCGTGGGTGGCCGCTGGCCGGCAGGGGCCTGGCCTCGGGGAGGGAGGGGGCCCATCTAGCCGGGGTTAGCAGGAAGTGGGGGAGGTAGGGCAGGAGGCCGGGTCAGCGGGAGGAGGAAGCCTGGGCCCCGGGGCTTCCTAGGAGGAGGCCTGTGGCTTTCCCCCGGGTGTGGCCCAGGTATGAGCACCGGAGCTGAGCCGCTGGCCGGCCGGTGCACCCCCGGGTCTGGCCAGGAGCTCTGGCTGTCCCCATGGTGAGCCTGCGCCTCCCCCACTTCCCAGCCCCAGCCCCAGGGGGGTGTTCCCTGCCGCGCCGGAGGGGTGGGGCAGGCCAGCGCCGGGGTGTGCAGGCTGGCCCGGGGCTTGGTTTCCCAGCTGTGGCGAGAGCGGAACCTTAGCTCTGCGGGGACAGGGTAAGCCGGTTGGCCGAGGGAGGCGCCCTCACTGGGCACCCTCTGACCCCCAATTGCCTGTCCCACCAGCTCTTCCCTGGCCTCCCGGTCCTGCTCTGCTGGCCCATCAGCCTGGCCCCCCATGGCCCCCCACTCTGGGGAGGTCCCCACACCCAAAGCCCACCCCTCGGTGCTACTCCGCCGAGGAGCTGCCGCTTGGCCAGGCCGCCCAACACCTGCTGGCCCAAGCCGCCAAGTGGGGCAGGCCCTGCCGGTAGCCCTGGCGTCCAGCCTGGAGGCAGCGGGCCGCGGGGGGGCGGCAGGCGGGCCCCCAGGCTGGGACCCAGTGCCCGGTGCTGCGGCTGGAGGAGGTTCTGGAGGTGGAGATCCACCGGTGCTCCATCTCGCCCTGGAGATACCGGTGGGCCTGGGGTCCCCACTGGGGGGCGGCCACCCCGCTCGGCCCCCCGGTGTCAGGCCCAGTCTCAGTCTGGGGGCTGGTCGCCGCTCTCAGGTTACCCACTGGTTACCAGCGAGAGGGACGTTCTGGGCCCCCACTAGAGGCCCCGCGGGCGGGGCAGGGTCTGGGGGGAGGGCGGGGCCCGGCCCAGCACCCCGTCCTTGTGCTCTGGGAGGGCAGCGGGGCCGCGCCCAGCCCCCTGCCCCACGCGGGCTCACGCGTCCTTCCCCACAGCGAGGACACGGACGAGAGCCACTCCCCGCACTAGCTGGCTGGGCCGAGCGCTTGTGCGCCCCCCTGCTCCCCGCGCCGACCCGCGGTGTTCCCTGGGCTGCGCGGGCGAGGGTCATCCAGGCCTGCGCAGCTTCCCTTCCACTCCGCTGGAGCGCCCCAGGGAGAAGGGGTGCCCCTCCGCGCCCCTCCACACAGCTCAGGCTGGTCTGCGCACTCCAAGCTCCCTCCCTGCCCTCCTGGGGGATCAAGGACCGCTTATTTGTAAAACAATTATGTAAGTGTAAACACGAAGGCCTGGTGTTATCACGGATGGACCCCTAAGCATCCCCCCCCCCCCCGCGGGCAGTGGGCAGGGCCTGCAGGGGGCAGGGGGCTTCTGGATCCACGCTGAGGACAGATCGCGGTGGGTGTGGGGGTGCAGCCAAGGGGCCCTGAGGTGTTGCTGACCTCTAGGAGGGGCAGGGCTGGGTTCCAGTGTAACTGGCAGGGCAGGACGCCCCTCCAGGCCAGAGGCCCCCCTGGTTCTGAAGGCTGGACTTGCTGAGAGCAGGAAGGGCAAACTGGAAGGACGGGACATGAGGGGTCTTCGAGGCTTTGGGGGTGGAGTACTCCTCAAGGAGGAAGGGGCTCCAGCCCCGCTCCAGGCGGCAACAAGCGGTGCCCAGGAGGGACACCCAGCCCCGCACGGCTGGCGAGAGTGTGCAGGGGCGTACGTGTGTTTGATCCTGGGCACCAGAGGAGGGGTGCGAGGGCAGGCGGGGCCCCCACAAATGGCCCAACGTCCTGGGGGCCAGAGAATTTTGCCCCAGCCAAGGGCGACGTGGAAGGGCAGCTGGGCTCCCACTGCTCTTGAGCTCCCCCCTTCACTCAGCCCTTGGGCAGGCCTAAGGATGCCCCAGAGGGGTACACCAGCAGGTTTGGGGGAGCCCGGGGCCAAACAGGAGAGATTCCAGTTACCGTATTTCATGGAATAGACAGAGCCCGTAATGCCAAGAGCCACTGAAGGAACAGGGCTGGGCTGGGCAGCGGGAAGGGGGTGCCCACTGGGCTAGAGGGAGCCCCCCGCCCCTCCACCCTGCCCCCCCATATCCCCAACCCACACAAGGAGCCAGCGCAGCTTCCGTCCTTTTTATTGTGGCCGCAGCCCTGGCAGTGCCAGTCACACCACCTCATCAAACACTGGCATGGGGTTGATCTGGGGGCCACCAGGGGGGACCCCTGCAGTCCCCGCCGCCGTCTCCTCCTCACTGGGCTTCTTGCGGGCCTCGGCGGGGGGCCGCGGTGGGGGGTTGCTGGGCGGCTGCTTGATGGTGGTGCCCACCTGCGGGCGCTCCTTGGGCTTGTGCTCGATGGGGGCCCACTGCTCCCCGTGGGTGGCCGCCTGCGGGACAGGGCGAGGCTGGGCCGGGTTCAGACACCCACCGCCCCCAGTTCCCCCTGCCAGGGACCCCGTAAGACAAGAGAGCTGGGTGCTGACCCCAAGGTCCCGCTCTCGCCACAGGGAGGGCCCCAGGAGGAGGGCGGGGGCCGGGCCAGGGGGCTTGGAGCCTCCGGACACGGTTCCCCGAGACTCACAAAACACAGACGCCCACTTCGAGCGGGAAAGAAGGAAGAAGAGCGGGGAAAGGACGCAAACACGCAGGCGAAACAGAGAAAGCAGCAATAAAACACCGCCCGGCCGTGGGGGGAGCCGCCCCCGACCTGCTCCCGCAGAGACGCAGGCGGCCGCGCAGACCTTGGGGACACGTAAAAGAGGACCCCCCCCCGCCCCGCCAGGACGGTCCACCCGAAAGGCCGCACAGCCGAGAGGGCGCGTGGGCAGGCGCAGAGGACGCACCAGCCACGAGCCGGACGGACAGACGGAGGGACGCCGCGCAGCCAAGGGCGTGGGCACCTGGCGCCAGGCCCCACGCGCGGGACGGGGTTTGCAACGTCCCCCGCCGCCGAAGGGCTCGGGATGAGAGTGGACGCGAGCCCGGCGCGGTGACCGGGACGAAATCCTCCATTTTGAAAAGCGCTCCCAGGGCACGGGGTGGGGGGGCGGGGGTGGGGGGGCGCGCGGGGGCGCTGCTCCGGAGGCCGAGACGGAGGGAAACGGGAGACCCGGTGGGGCCGGGCAGCGCAGGAGCGGCCGTGGGGCCCCGACCCGGCGGTTCCGCTTCCGGTTCAGCCGCCGGGTCTCGCCGGGGCCGCTGGGCGTCAGGAGGGCGCAGGGGCCTGCAGGAGCCACCCGAGGGCACTGACGCCGGAGCTGGCAGGAGCTGGCGCAGCCCGAGAGGCGACTGAAAGGTGTGTGGACCCCGCCCCCCAGAGCAGGAGTGGGTAGGGGGACCCGGGGCGCCGGAGGACCCTCTCCCGCCCAAGCCAGGCCAGCTGACCGGGCGGCCGGCTGTGGCCAGCTCCCGGGCCTGCTCCCAGGGCACCCGGCTGGAGCAAGGTGATTTCGATGAGAAGGGCCGGCAGCCGCGTCCCCTCCGGGGGGCCCTTGGGGGCGCCTGCACCAGCCAGGTCCCCTCGCCCGGCTTCTGCTTCTTGGTGCATGAAGGGGCCCCCCCCCACCTCCGGGTCGCGGCAACAGGAAATGCGAGCGCAAGGCAGGGCGCGGTGCTCGCCGGGTCGCGGCCGTCCCCACCACTACCCGGGCAGGGCCCAGCTGGGGCCGGGCTTGGAGGACCAGGGCCAGGGGGCGGCCGCTCGGGCCACTCACCAGTAGGTAGATGGTGCTCGCGATGGCCAGGCAGGCGGTGCCCAGGATGGTGGCCAGCAGGAAGCCCGCGGGGATCGCCAGGCTGCGGGGTGCAGAGGCAAAACGCGGGCTGTCAGCAGGGGTCCCGGACCCCGGCCCGCCCCACCCTGCCGAAGGTCTGGCTGCTGAGTGGGGGCCCCCAGGGCCAGTCTGGACACGGAGCCCCCGGGTTTTGTTTGCAAGAACATCTGTTGGGGCGAGGGTCTCACTCACGCGAGATGCAGAAAGGCCCGGATGTAGTAGTTCCTGGACAGGGGCCCCAGCATCTTCACCACTTTGGTCATGTACTTCTGTCCGCTGGGCAGAGAGGAGGGACGCGCAGACTGAGTCCCGCTGGGGCCTGCAGTGTCCGGCCCGGCCCAGGGCACCCGGGCTCCTCCCTCCTAGGGCCACGGCGGCCGGACCCGCTCGGGCCTCGGACAGACCGAGCCGCACGCAAGGCTCTGACCCCCGCGCCACCCCCAGCCCCCTGGGGACTTACCAGCGCTCCATGGTGGAGCCCTTCTGCCTCCTGCCGCGGGGGTACTCGAGCACGCACACGAACACGCCTGCAGCTCTGGGCCCGTTAAGGAGCAGCCGCGGCTCAGGCTCCGGAAGGCGGCCACGGCTGCAAGGCCCACGGCGGGAAGCCGCCAGCAGGTGCACAGGCCCGGCCGCCGGATGGGGTCAGCGGGTGTTACCCCCCAGGGGCCGGCAGCTGACCGCCACCCGGCCTCGGGCCCTGAGCCTCCCCCAGCACTGCCCCAGCCCCCCGCCCGGCGCCCACGGTGCAGGATACATGGCGTAGGCGCCGAAGTACCACTGGGTGAACTGCCCGGCGGTGGCCACGATGCCCCCCGAGATGAGGACTGTGGACAGAGGAGGTGGTGAGCAGGCCCCGCGTGGGGGGGTGGCCCTGTTCCCGAGGGCCGGCTCCAGTCCCCACGGGCTTGTCCACACGTTTGCCCAGGACGGGACCCTGACCCGGTGGACAGGAGTCGAGGGGCCTGGGGCAGGGAGGGCTCTGAGGACCCCTGGCCTTCCTGGACTCGCTCCTGAGCCCCTGACGTGACTTCCTGGTCACTGAGCTCCCACCCCATGCTGGCCCCTGCGCCCGGCGGCCAGGCCCCCCTCCCGGGCAGCGCGGCAGCCCCGGCCCCGCACTCTGGGCTCCACGCGGCCGCGGTGCCGCCCACCTGGGTCACCCCTCCCCGTCATTTAGAATTTCGGGGGCAATTTCCCAAGGGCGGTAAAATACACATAACCTAATGCTGGCCGCTCCGGCCGCTTCCGGGGTCCTCCTGCCAGGGCGTCCCTGAGGCAGAGGCAGCCCCTCTGAGAAGCCCCCTCAAGGGACAGCGTCTCTAGACACGGAGGCCCCCGTCTGACCTCTGCCCCCGCTGTCCTCTGGCTGCAGCCTGGACGCCGCGGGGCCTGCAGCTGCGCTCAGGGGAACGCACTGTCCCGGCTGCAGGGTGCTCGAGCGGGCAGGGATTTCAAAACTGCACAGATGGCGAGCTTCCCCTCCCGGCCCAGCTTCCTTTTTCCGTCACTCTGGGGTTCTCCACCCCTTTCCCGACTCCCTCATCTCTTCGTCTGGGGCTCTGGGCCCTCGCGCAGTGCTGTGTACACTGCGCCCCACTCCTTGCCACCTGGGGCTCCCGGCCAGCATCCCCGGGGACGGTGGTGCCCGCCGCCTCTGGAATGGCGCGGGAGCTCACGGCCCTCGTCCCGTCTTGCTGCCCGTTCTCAGCGGGCACACGCGCACACAGGCACACGCGCGCCCACGCCTGTGCTCACAGCCTCTTGCCCCCACGCGCCCGCAGCCTGGCTCCAGGGATCTGGGTCTGCTGAGCCCCGAGGCGCTTCCTCAGAGGCTGAGCTGCCCTGTGGCCACCTCCAGAGGCAGCTGCACCCGGGGACGCGCCCTCTGGAGGCAGCGCGGGAGAGTCCAGTCTCGGGGTGTCTCGTGACTCCCACCGGGCCCCAGCGGCAGTGGCGAGCTCGGGGTGGGAAGGGCTGTCCTCTCTCACCCGTGCCCAGCACCCCGAAGGCCCCTGGTAAGAGCCGGCCCGGGATCCCGACCCCTGGCCTCCGCCCTCAGCCCCCCGCGGGTGGCCCTGTCGATGCCCCCTGGGGATTTCCCGGCCTCGGTTTGGGGCTCCGCTACACATTAACCCATTGGTCTGCTGGTCAGCGTTTTTGCGCCCTGGGCAGGGCCGGGCAGTCCCCTCACGTGCCACGGGCGCACTGCCCGCCTCCATCGGGTCCTCGCCCCACCCTGGCTGCAGCACCGCCATCCCTCTGCGGCTGGTGGCGCCGGGGCCACCCAGGGGCGCACGGACTGTGCGCTGGGCTGGGTCACACAGGAGGTGGGTGAGCGTTCAGCTTGCCTGTGGGGGGTGCGGACAGATGGGTGGTCGGCGGTGGTGAGCCGAGGGGCGCTGCGGTCCGTGTCCAGGCCCCTTAGCGCGGGTGCCCTCAGGCTTCCCCGCGGAGCTAGACTGAGCCGAACGAGGCTCGGAGGCTTCAGACAGAAGAGCACACTTCTGCACGGGCCCGGGGGTGCACGGGGAGCCCGGGGAACAGAGGCAGCCGGGGTCAGGGCGGGGTGGGGGCTGACCTGGGCAGGGGTGGCCTGTGCTCTGTGGGTTTTCGGAAGGGGGTGACAGGGATTAGATGGAAACTCCTACAATAACAGAAGCCCCCTGAACAGGCTGCCAGCAGGGTCTGGAGGCCCAGGGTCCTCGGGCCGCAGTGCATGCCAGTGACAGCGGAGCCAGCCCGCGAGGCCGAGGCTGTGACTCCCATCAGATGTGAGCTGGGGGGGACGGCGTGCTTCCCCAGGGCCTGGGGGGCTGGCCTGCAGGCAGGGACGGCTCTGGGACCCCCACCCAAGAGGAGTTACTTATCTGGACCCCTAGATGTGGAGGGGGTGGCCGGCCTGACCCAGAGCAGGCCGCTGTGCCCCAGCTGCCAGCCCCCAAGCCTGACTTCACATTGGGGGGACCCCCTCTCTCTGTGCCCTTCCCTCCCAAAAAGCTTTGCCCCTCTCCCTGCTGTCCCCTGGCAGCAGGGGACCCGGGGTGAGTCCCAGTGGTTTGGGGTGGGTTGGGACCCTCTTCTCACGGCATCCCCTCAAGCGGTGCGGCCCCCCTGCAGGTGCTTCCTGGGAGGCGCAGCCCCGAGGGCCTGGCTGGCCTGCCTTGCGGGCCTAGGCCCTGCTCTAACACAGGGCGGGGTGCAGACCCCACAGCTCCAGGCGAGGGTGGCAGGCCCCTGGCCTCCCTAAAAGTGTCCTCTGGGGCTGAGCTGGGAGTGGGCCCGCCCTCTGGCTGAAACCCAAGACGTCCACACGGGGCTGGCCCAGCGGGAGAGGCTGCCCAGCAAGGGGCGGGTCCTGGCCAGCAGGCAGGAGGAGCCCACCTCAGCGCCAGGGGCCCCAGGAGGGAGACCCTCGCTGGCCCGGGGTGCAAGCGGGGCAGGGTCCTGCCCCATTACCCCAGCTCTGGGTGGGTGGGGACACCCAGGAAACCACCGGGGAAACACTTCCCCTTGGTTGCAACTTCCTCTCTCTGAGCAGGGAGCGGGAGAGGGGCGGTGGGTGGGGGGGGGGCACCGGTGTGCAGGAACGGGAGGGTCTCTGGCCCCTCCGTGGAGCCGCCGCCAGCCCCTGCCCCCGCCCGACCTGGCCAGCGGCCGCCGGGCTCCCACCACACTGGAGTCCAGGGGTGGGGGGCCATCCCCGGGCTTTGGCTCCCACTTCCCTCCCCGCCGCCCGGGGTCCCGGCCCCCGTGGCCTTCGGCTCCCACTTCCCTCCCCGCCGCCCGGCGTCCCGGGCCCGTGGCCCTACTCACTCAGGCCGGAGGCCAGCGCCTGCTCGTTGGCCACATGGCCCACTCGATCTGCCCCATGGCGGCGGCTGCGCTCGCTGCCCCCGACCGCGGGTCTGCTCTGCTCCCGCCGGCGAGTTCCGGCACCGCCCCGCCCCGCCCCGCGGCCCGCCCCGGCACCTCTGCCCGCCGCCGCCTGGCCGGCCCCTCACGCCCCCAGCTCCGCTGCCCCCAGCTCCGCGCCTCTGCTCCCTGGGGGGAGCAGGGTGCCCAGTAGCCGTCTTCCTGGCCACCGGCCCGCAGCTCTCCCCCAGTGCTGCTCCAGGAGCTACCTCCGGTGTCCCCAGCTGCCCCCCCTCCCCAGTGCCTGGGTCACCCCCACCAGAGCCCAGAGGGCGGTTCCTGGGAGAGAGCAGGGATCCGGGGCTGGGGCAGGCTGGCCTCTCCCTCCCTGGACAGTCACCCCCCCAGGACCACAGCCGGGGGCCTGCTCCGGGCAGCAGACCCACACCTCGCCTCCCAGAGCCCAGAAGTCAGGGTCCCAGCCTGCCTGCGCAGGGCCTAGGGGCCTCCAGCCGAGAGAAAAGCAGGTCCCAGATCAGTGCCCGCAGACCCACGCCCTACAGTGGCCAGTCCAGGCCCTCGGAGCCTCGGGGCACCGCACCACAGGCGGCGGCTGCGGGCCCCTGCCGGGCACCTCACCACGTCGGGCACACGGGTGAGGGCAGCCTCTGGGACAAAGACGCCCATCCCAGATTCTCCTCTCCCGCAGGAAGGCGGGTGCCCGCGCCCCAGACCCGGCGATGCGTGACGGCTGCAGGCCAGGCAGGCCCAGGTGGATGCCGCCGGTCCAGAAACCAAGAAGCAGGTAAGGCTGGGAGTCAGCAACTTTATTCCCCACCGTAGACCCCGGACGCCAGCCCACCGGCGCCCGCCTCCCGGACACACCCCGTGTGCCCAGAAGATCCTCGGCCCGAATGTAAGGTCTGCCCTGCGAGGGCCAGGGTGGCCACTGGCTGGAACCCCCGGGGTTCCCTGGGCACCGAGGCCCCTCCCTGCACAGACCCTCGTCCAGCTGCGGACAGACAAGGTCCCCACAACACCTGCTCAGGGCCAACCAGCCCTTCACCCAGGGGCGCCCCACGCCCCGGTCCCGCCCGCGGGCGGTCATTCCACGCGGCCCGTCTGGAGTCAGGGGTCGCCCACACAGCCCAACCCCACAGGCAGGCCTGGCCCGAGCTCCCCAGTCCCAACGCAGTGCCCTCCCCAGCGGCAGCTCCGGCGCAGCGGCGGTCACACGGCTGGCTTGGGCAGGCCGTCAGGGCCAGGAGGTGCGCGTGGGGGTCGACCAGGGTTTGGGGCCCCGGCCCCACCTAGGGGCAGAGAGATCAGAGTCAGTCCGGGGTGACCTGGAGAAACGGGGGTCCCCTGGCCCTCCCTCAGCCAGCACGGCTCCTCCCTGCGCCGGCGGCCACCCAGGCTCCATCGGCCACAGGCGTGGACAGCGGGCCGGGTCTCGGCGCCACAGACCTGCCTCTTGGCATCCACGTTCCCTGCCTCAGCCCCTCACACTGCGGGGAGCCCCGGCGCACCACCCCGGCCCCCTCTGCCGTCCTCTGCCGCCCCTCGCCCCGGCCCACCTGGGTGGAGATGATGTACTTGACGCCGCCAGGAAGGGGATCCACGGCCAGCGCGGCCTTGAGCTCCTCCGACAGCGCGGCGGGGGGCAGCGGCAGCCCCTTCAGAAACCTGGGGAGACGGTGGTTGTGGGCAGGGGCACGCGGGCTGCAGGCACAGACACCCTCTGCGCCCCGACACTCGCTTCAAAGAGGTGGCCGGGCGAGGCCTCCGTCACGCGTGTTTTGCCACGGGAAGAACCGCGAGGGCCGAGGAGGGCAGGCCCGGGCGACTGCGAGGTGGCCAGGGTCACCCCGTGGCTTTGCCGATGTGGCCAGGCGAGGCCAGGCTGCCGCTCCCGCCAGCTCCGACTCAGGAGAGTGCAGCCCCCCAAGGGGACAGCATGGTCAGAGTCCCAGGGCCCCGCCAGCCTCGGGGGCTCACCTCAGACCTGTGGCCCGTCCCCCGGTGAGGAGGTCAGCACCCAGCCCCCCACGCAGGACGGTGACCCTGCAGGGAACAGGGATCTGGGAACGCTTGAGGGAGGTGACCCACCAGGAAGCACCCGCCTGGCAGCTCGGGGCTCCCTGCCCACTCTCGCCGCTGCGGGACCCTGCGGGAGAGCCGGCTCCACTCCCCAGACACTCACTTGTCTCCCTTTGACTCGGGGGGGAAGGCGTGCCTCACGGCGGCCACGAACTCGGCCACGGTGTCGTCCAGGGCGAAGACCACGGCGTTGGGGCCCGCGTCAAACGTGTAGGCCACCTGCAGCCAGGCGGTCAGTGTGCGCGCCTACCCCTCCCCGCGGCGCATAGCCCACCCAGCGCCCCCCGCCCAGCAGGCGCAGCCCGACGGGTCACAGCACACCCCGCTCGGGGAGGGCAGGGCAGCCTGGAGCCGACGGCTCGCTGGGCGCATGGGGCGGGGGCCGGGGGTGGTCAGGCGGCCCTTGCCTTGGTCTGCCCGTGGTGGGCGTTGAAGCGATGCACCAGCTGGATGATGCGCCGCGAGATGTCATTGAGGTAGGAGATGGGCGGGAAGGTGTCCAGGCAGGTGGCGTGGAACTGGTTGCTGTCCTTCATGGTCAGCTGGCCGAAGCCGTGGAAGTCCCTGTCCCGGATGCAGCGGACCATCTCGGCCATGCGCGCCGGCACCACCGCTTCTGCGCGGAACTGCAAGGCAGGTGCCCATGAGGCCCGGCCAGTCAGCCGGCCCCGGCCCCCCGGCCTGCCCCAGCTCGCAGCGCCCCCGCGGCCTTACCCGGAGCAGGGCGCTCGTCTCCACGCTGGTCTGCATGCCCGCCGTGCTGCTGGTCATCTTCTTCTCGGCACTCACCTGCACCGACGAGACGGTCTGCAGCTGCCCCATGGCCGGCGGCCCCCACCCGCCCCGCAGCCCCTCGGCCTGCAGCAGACACGTCACGGGTCTCCACGCAAGGGCTGCTCAGATGCTGGGGACCCCCGCACCCATCCCCTTCAGCCAGGGCACCCACCCTCCCCCCGCGCCCCACGAGGGCTGCTGGCACCCACACGTCCACTCACCACCAGGATGAGGATGCGGAGCTCCGGCCAGTGAGACTCGGGAGCCACCTGCAGGGCGACGCTGTCCTTGCCGTCCGCCCGCTCCCCCATCTGCCACTCCACGAAGCCTCCGTGCAGGCTCCGGCAGGCACTTCCCGAGCCGCGGCGGGCCACCTCCGAAAGGTCACCCTCCACCCCATAGACGCGGGCCAGCGTGTAGGCTGCGGGCACAGGAAGGAGACTCAGGGCCTGCGGGTACAGACCCAGAGCACGGAGGCCGGCGGCTCCTCGGTTGGCACCTCCCGGGCCTGTGGCAGCGGTGCAGGGACCCGCTTGGGGGTCCGGCGGACTGAGAGCTGCAAATCAGGCCCCAGGGGCACAGCGCACGGAAACGACTTGGGGCGGGGGGCCAGGGGTGGGGCCGAGGCTGCGGTGCTGGGGACACCCCTCCAGGGCTGGCGCCAGTGAAACCATCCCTTCAAAAGCACAAGCCCGCTGGGGTTTCTGTCATGTAGTCGGGCCTGACCTTGGGCCCCCAGGCTCCGCGTGCTCCTGAAGGGCACCCACCTAGGCAGGCGTAGCCGGCGGCTGAGGAGGCCAGGCCAGCCGCCGTGGGAAAGTTGTTCTCCGACGCCACGTGGACCTTGTAGCTGAGGCTGGGGGGCGGGTCCTTGCTGCCTCCACTACTGCGCTTCTGGGCCAGCCTGCGGACTGTGGGGGGGCGGGGGGCCCAATCAAGCAGGAGGCAGTGGGCGCCCCTCCTGAGTGCAGGGAGCGGCAGGGCCACAGCACTGACCAGGCCTCGGCTCCAGACCCCGGGCCTGAGTGCAGCCCAGCGTCCTGGGAGGGGAGCAGGGCAGAGGCGCTCCCCGCACTGGACCCGCCCAGAGCGAGCAGAGTGGCCAGGCCCCACTTACTCTCCTGCAGACACGCCTGCAGGCGCGGCTGCCCCACATCCTGCTCCCGGCCGTTCAGCCAGATCCGGTCCTCGGTGAAATCCTTGCTGATGGCGGCCGTCGTGGTGGTTTTCAACTGGGAAAAGGGTGCAGAGGGGCGTCAGGGAAGAGCACACCTGCCTGGTCACCCACTCAGGCAGACCGGGCCTTGGGGGGCAGGGAGGGAGGAGGCTGAGCGCCAGGCCTGGCCTCCCAGCGGCAGCTGTCCCGTCCCGGCCTCGAGGGGCTCACTGTGCACCTGCGTGGGCGCCCGCCACACCCACCTGGTCCTGATGCAGAGTGACGCTCAGGGAGGAGTTGATGGGCAGGATCAGCTTCTCATCGCGCTTTCCCCCTGGAACAGGCCGGAGGTCAGACCTGGGCCGTGCCCGCCCACCGGCTGCCCTCCTCTGCCCTGCACCCCACGCCCCTCCCGCAGCTCCCGGCTGCCTCAACCCTGCTCTCTGCCCGCACAACCTCAGCCGGCCTCGGCCAAGTGCCAAAGGGGCAGAAGTCCTGGAGGCTCCCGGGCGCTCTGGGCACTTCCCCAGCGGCCAGCCGCGGGGCACCCCCTTGTCCGCCAGGAGTTGCCTTCTCCTACCGCGAGCGACCAGAGCTGAAAAAGCCCCAGTGGCCCCGGACACGAGCTGCCGGCATCGCCGCGCAAAACCCAAGCCCTCCTGGGCCCAGCCCAGCCCCAGAGCGGCCCGCGCTGACTCCCGGCGTGTCTCCCGGGGTGTCCCAGCGTGTCTCCCGGGGTGTCTCCCGGGGTGTCTCGGGGTGTCTCCCGGGGTGTCCCGGGGTGTCTCCCGAGGTGTCTCCCGGGGTGTCCCGGGGTGTCTCCCGAGGTGTCTCCCGGGGTGTCCCGTCCCGGGTGTCGGCCGCGGACAAGCTCCAGAACGCGACTAAGGCCGCCAGCGCCCGAGGGAGCCCCACGCCCTCGCCCCGCGCTGGCGGCGGCCGGCGCCTCGAGGGGCCGCGCGTCCCCACGGTGCGCCGGGCCGGCCGGGCCCTCGGCGCGCGGGGCGCCTGACCCCAGGGCGGCCCCGGAAGGCCGCGCTGCAGCGTGCCCGGGCCCCGCGCACTCACAGTACTTGACGACCGCGATGTTGACCGGCGCGGAGCAGGTCACCGCCGCGAGCCGCGCCTCCGAGGCCATGGCCGGGACCCGCCGCGCTCGGCCGCCGGCCCCGGCGTCTTGTTGGCGCGGCGATTGGCCGGGGCGGCCGGCTGTTCGCGCGCCGCCCAATCAGCGGCGAGCCCCGCCCCCCCCACTTCCCGGCCAATGAGCGGGATCGGACGACGGGCTGCCGACACCGCCCCCGCGCCCCGCGGCGCCGCGCCAGCTCCGCGCAGGCGCAGAGGGGGCTCCGGCCGGCCGGGCGGCGACGCCGGCGCGCCGTGTGCGCAGGCGCGGGCGGGGGGCGGGTGCGCAGGCGCGCGCGCGCCGCGCGCGCGCGCGGGCGGGCGGCGGGGCCGGGCGTTCCCGGCGCCTCAGGGCGGGAGCGGGCGGGGCCGCGCCGGGACCCCGAGGCGCAGCTCGGCCGGGCCTCCCGCGCCCCGCCGCGTCGCCTGCCCGCCCGCGCCGGCCCCCGCCGCGGGAGTCCGCGCCCCCCGACCCCGGGGCCCGCGCCCCGCCCCCCGGGAGGAGCGGAGGGGCCGCCCCAGACCCCCGCCTCGGCCCCGGGAGCCGCGCCGCCGCGTCCTTGCTGGGGTCCCGGGCCGGGAGCCCGCTGGGGCCGGGGCGGGCGGGCGGGGCCGGCCGGCAGGTGCGGGGCCGCCTCCAGCCCAGGTGCCCGGGCGGGGCGCGCCACCCCCGCGGCCGGCCCTGTCTCGCCCCGGCTCCGGCGCAGCCCGCGGCGCGGGTCCTCCGGCGGGAAGGCGCCGGCGCGGGCGCAGGGGCCGGGGGCGCAGGGCGGGGCCGGGGGCGCAGGGGCCGGGGGCGCAGGGCCGGGGCCAGGGCGCAGGGGCCGGGGCGCAGGGGCCGGGGGCGCAGGGGCCGGGGCGCAGGGGCCGGGGCGCAGGGGCCGGGGCGCAGGGCCGGGGGCGCAGGGGCAGGGGCGCCCCTCCGTGCCGGCGTCGTGGGGGCCCCGGCGGCGGACCGAGGTGCCGTCCCCCTCGGGCCCCCGGCCCCCCGGGGTGCGGGGGCGGCGCCTGTGGGCGGCGAGGCCCGAGCCCGCACGAACGCCCCGCCCGGAAGGCGCCCCCAGACGCCCGCGGGGTCCGCCGATGGGGTGTCCCCCCCCCCCCCGCGCGCCCGGCAGCCTGCGCCCCTCTGGCCGCCGCGAGCTCCGCCCGACTCCGTGCCGGCCCTGCGGCCCTGCCCCGGGGCGCTGCGGCGGGGAGGCTGCGGCCGCCCGAGGGCCCGGCGGGCCCGCCCTCCTGTCGCCTCGCTCGGGGGCGCCTCACGGCCGAGGCTTCCGGGCCCTGCGGTCTGGCCTCACCTGCCGGCGGGGCTGTCCTCAAACGTCCGCGTGCGCCTGGTCCGGGCAGCGCGGAGGGCGCCCCTTCAGCGGGCTTGGGCGGGGCGGGAGCCCGGTGGGTCCCAGCAAGGACTCAAGGCGGGCAGCCCTAGCCCAGGGGCCTCGGCCGGCAGCTCCCGGCGGGAGGGGGGAGCTGGTTTTCCCTTCCCTGCCCGGGCGGATGGACGGTTTGCAGCTTGGGGAGGGCCCGCCCCTGCCCTGCCCCTGCCCCTGCCCCTGCCCCTGCCCCTGCCCCTTTCTGGCTCGCGTCTGCCTCCTCCGGGGAGAGACCCAGTGGGGAGCTCGCGCTGCTGCCTGGCCCCCAAGGCTCCTGGTTTGAGGGCCGGGAGGAGGGGCCAGGCCTGCAGGAGCAAGGCCCCCCCTTCGCTTCCCTGCCCTCCACCAGCAGAGAGAAGAGCGGGACAGGGGGCGCTGCCCTCAAAGCCTCATGCTAGGGCTCTGCCCGCCGGCCGCCTCCTGTCTGGCGGGGCCCTGGGAGGTGCGATGTCCACGCGCCTTCGTGAGGATTTTACTTTGTCAAACGTCTGCTGTGGAAATGCCCGGCATCTGTTTTTGTCATGTTGACTTGCTTTCCGGCGCGGAAGTCCCCCGAACTCTCCCCGTCCTGCTCGGTCGTGGCCGCAGTGTTCCCTGGGCGGACATCGGCCCGCTGGGTCAGCGCCCGGCGGGGGCCCTCCGGGCGGCACTGGGCCTCTGGCCGTGGGGTTTGCGTGCAGGTCCTGCTGTTGGGTAGGAGCCCCGGGGTGGGCTGGGGTCGGACGGGATTCGCAGTTCTGGTCTTAGAGGCGAGCCCAGGCCACGCTGCTCCCGGGGTGCAGTGGCCCCGGAGGCGCCTGCGCGGGGGAGGGACGCCTCTGGAGCAGTCTCAGCCGCGCCCAGGCCCGCGGGAGGGGCGCGCCGCCTTGACCTGGCTCTGTCCTGCTCTTGGCCGGAGCACCCTGCCTTCCCCAGGGTGAGCCGGGCTGGAAACTTTGTTCCACTGACCTCTGCCAGAGGCTGAGCTGGGCCAGGGCGGCGCTCGGAGCATAGATAGTAACAAGCGGGCTATTTTCAGACTCCCGCAGAAGACCCCAGGGTGCTGGCCAGCTGCTATTTATGGGCCTCTGGGCTTCTGGGAGGGAAGACACCCCTTCGGGGCACCGGCAGCTTCGGGAGGAGGCTTCTTCCCAGGAGCGGTGGGGCAAGGCCTCCCGCCTGCAGGCCCAGGCCCTGCCAAGTGCCAGGTTTCCCTCCCATCCGGGCTCCGCAGCCATGTCCCAGGTTTTTGCTGTTGAGAACTGCACAGGCCCCCCTCTCAGGCCCCAGGCCTGCCCTCCGCCACCTGCGCCCCCCCTTGGGGACAAGTGCGGCCACGCCCAGGGCTGCTGTAGGGGAAAGTGGGGATGTGATGTGGGACACTGGCGTGGAAAGGAAAGTCTCCATACAAGTGTGGAGGCCCAGCAGCCCCCCGAGAGAAGACCTGGCCGTGCCAGTGTCGTGGGGATACACGTGTCTGAGCGCCAAGCCCTTCCCTGGCGCGCCTTGGCGGGTGTCGGGACAGGACTCCCCGAGCCCCTGAGCCGGGACTGACCGCAGCCCACTGGCCCCTGGCGGCTGTCCATCTGCGTGTTCCCTGGCAGGTGCAGGTCTTTCTTCCACACACCCCTGCCCGCCGGCGCACCCCCACTCCCCTGCCCCCGCCAGCCCAGATATAAATATCCGTGCATTTTCCATGGGCCAGGGCCGAGGGGAAAACATTTGGCTTTATTTTGGGCCTGTGAAATTCCCTGCCTCCGTTCCCGACAGGTGCGCCGCCTCATTTAGATCCCGGGGCCAGAAATAGCGCGCAATTCACAGTGTCGCTTCCTTCGGGTATCTGCATCTATTTTGAAAGAAAGCCTTCCTGTGAGCTGACCGGACATAGTGCCAAGGCCACCGCCCTCGCCCGGCTCCAGGGGCACCCGCTGGGCCCTGCTGCTCCTGGGGCACGTGGGCGCAGGCCAGGGCGGAGGCCCGCCCGCCTGTCCACGCCCCTCCGCTGCTTCGGGGCGCCCGTCCCCCTGAACCCCCACAGAGCGCCTGTTGGTTAGCCCACGTGCCCTGGTCAGGGGCCGGTGGGGGGTATCCCCTGAATCACATGGCGGGTGCCGACCCCCGGCCCTGTGAACAGAACAGTTGGAGGCAGTCCTTGGGTCAGAACGCCAACCTTAACACCCGCTGTGGGTCCTGGTGGAAAGGTCTGCAGACCAGGAGGCCTCGTTTCTGGGCGCCGGTGCCGGGGCAGGGTTCTGGCGCAGTGGTCCCGGCACATGTGTTGGCCGAGTGCCCCTCGAGCAGCCGGTGCTTTCCCTCGTGTCTGCGCCCCGCTGAGCGGGCACTGCTGGGTGGTCCGTGTCGTCCGGGTCCCCTGGGCCAGAGAAGCCAGCGATGGAGGCCGGGCCTCCCGGGGCGCCCCCGAGGCCCCTGCAGTACTGCAGCAGCTGGCACTTGGTCGGCGGGCGCCAGGCCGGGCCCTGCCTGCTGAGCTGCACCGGAGGGTCCGCACTCGGGACCGCAGGCAGGGGACTGGGCAGTGACACCCGTGTGATCCTGGGGCCCTCCAGCAGCTGGCAGCCCGGGGCCCCGGAGCCCCCTGTGGCCAGGACGGAGGGGCCGGCCCCCACTCAACAGGCCGCTGTCCCGCAGAGCGGAGAGGTGTCCCCTGCCAGGGACAAGAACTCAAAGTTCTGGCTGGCCCGAGATGCCACCCTCCAGGGCCTAGTGGAGGTGGCTGAGACTCCTGGCCAGAGGCAAGACCAGCCCAGCAGGTGACCGCCTGGTGGCCAGGGGAAGGGGGAGGAAGTGAGGCCCACACCGGCACAGGGAGGGCGCGGGCCTCGCGTGGCCTGGAGCGGGCTGGGAGGGCCTGTGTCTCGGCTGCAGCGCGCCCGGCCTCGAGAGAGGGTCAGCCACGGACGCCAGGGTGAGCCCTCCATGTCTGCAGCCATGAGGGCTGCCTGGTGGTGACTGCCAGCCAGGACCGGGCTCTCTTCTGAGTTACCCCGGGGGACACGGCTCAGGGGACGCAGGCCTTTCTCCACCCTGGCCGCCTCCCCTCTGGCCAGCCCCGGCCCGCGTTCCCTCTTGCTGTGCAGGAGGCGGCTCCCTTCTCACCTGACTGGGCCCGCCCGGCCGCCCCAGCCTGCCCCCAGGCCTCTGGTGGTGCGAATCGGGTGCGTGTCCCCCTGCCCGTGGCCCCACGGCCCCCGCTGCCTCTGCAGAGCCCCCCAGAGTTCAGTCTCCGTGAGCCCGGGTTGGAGGGGCAAGACTCGGGACTTCAAGGAGTGACGGGGAGTCTTTATTGTCCCCCTCGTGGATGGGCAGAGCTGTAGCCGCTCCCCCAGCCCCCATCATGCCATGTGGGCCGCTGGCTCAGTGCTGAGGGCGGTGGCGGTGCGGCCACGCATGTCCGCAGAGGCCCTGGGCACGCATGTGTGCTTTGGCGGGGACGGGTGCAGGCCCCCCAGAGCTGCCAACCCTTCAGGACAAGCAGGTCCAGCGGCGGCGGCAGCTCCTCGTCCTGGCGGACGCCTCCCTGGAAGAGAAGGCATGTGAGCGGGTGCGCGCTGCGGCCTGCCCGCCGTGGCCCACCCGGCCCGCGTTGCTTCTGGGGGCACCGTGGGCGCAGGCGAGGGCTGCCTTCCTACCTGCGCCCTCAGGGGCCAGGGCTGCAGCCGGCGTCCTCGTGCCGCAGCAGCAGCGACATGCGGGAGAAGGTCTTGGGGCAGCCCCCGCAGCGGTACCGCTTGCTGTCGGCGTGCGTCTGCAGGTGCGCCCGCAGGTTGGAGCGGTCGGCGAAGGCGCGGCTGCAGTGGGAGCAGGCGTAGGGCTTCTCCCCTGGGGGCGGGGGCCAGGTGAGCACCGCAGAGCACAGCCCCAGCCAGCCACCTGGGCACATGCCGACGTGCCCTCCCTGAGGACGGGAGTCGGGGGGGTGCGGCTAGCACCTGCCCAGGAGGAAATGATGGCAGCAGAGGTGGGGTAACCCTCCTGGGAAAGACTGAAGCTTCTCAAACCCCTTCCAAAGGCAGAGCTCCAGCTCAGATCTTGTTGGCTCTACCAGAGTTGCTAGATCTTTCCCTGGGTCTGCCTGCACCCTCCCGGGGCCTCTGCATCCAAGGGACTGGCACTCAGGAACAACCTTGGGTTCTGTGCCTGCCAGGCCACCTCCAATCTCGGGACCGGGGCCTGGACAAAGCCCTCCTGTGGGGGCCCTGGTCCCCAGGACAACCCTAACAAGCTCGCTCTCCTCTGCCTTCGTAGACTGGCTTCCAGACCTGCAGCCCCCAGGGGCCTGGACCCCCCACCCCTGCCAGGCCAGCCTCTGTAGGGCTCCCTTCCACCCTGCGCCCCAACTGGGAGCCCCGAGCACCTGCCAGGCTCCTGCCCTGTGTGTAGGGCTGGGGGATACCTCAGCAAAGGGAAGGAGAACCGAGAGGGGGCTTCTAGCTTGGAAAGCCCCCGCAGACCCCTGTCTCCTCCCTGGGGGTCGAGGCTCCGGGTACAGACAGTGCGAGGGTGGCTGATGAGCCTGGCCCAGACCAAAGCTTTAGCACTGGAGGCCCCTGTCTCTCCGCCCAGTCTGTCCATGAGCGTGGCCTGGGCGGGGCGGGGAGGTGGAGACCCGGGTTGAGGTCCAGCTTCTCCAGCTGGGCCTCCAGGCAGGTCAACCATGTCCACTGCTCAGCACTGTGCTCTGGAGGGCAGCGGGGCAGCCCCTGGGCAGCTTCCGGGCCACAGGCCTCCTCCTGCATCTGTCGTCTCGCCTCTGACCTGCGCTTGGTCCTCCGGCCTTCTGTCTGCCAGCTGGCTCGACCCACACCCCGCTCCGGGTCCCGCCACTGTCTGTGCCCCCCAGACAGGCTGTGGCCCCCAGGTCACCCCTTCTCACTCCTCCCTGTCCTGCGGCTCCAGAACCCTAAAAGGCTGCGGAAGGAGAACAGCCAGACCCTGGGGCGCCCTCACATCTGGGGTGACTGCACCTTGGGGCTGATGTGTGCCCCAAGTGCTCACTCCACCCCAGGCCTGCGGAGGCGGCCGCACTGGACCAGGGTCTCTGCCGCTGTCATCCAGCCAAGACCAGGCCACCCTGGGGCGCACGGGTCTTAACCCCGGACAGGCGTCCTTGTGACGGGGGGGCCGGACACAGACACCAGGCAGGAGCGGCCGTGGGAGGACGGAGCAGGGCCGCAGGGAGCAGGCCCTGGGGTGGGGTGTGCGCAGCCTCTGGGCAGCACTGCCACGCCCCACCCCGCCAGGGGCTCCCTGCAGACCCCCCTACCTGTGTGGGTGCGGATGTGGCCCTGGAGCAGCCAGGGCCTGGAGAAGGCCTTGCCGCAGGTGGCGCAGGCGCAGGGCAGCGTGTGGGTGCGGATGTGCATCTTGAGGGCGCCCAGGCTGGCATACTCCTTGTCGCAGAACCTGCAGGTGAAGCAGCGCTGGGCCTGCAGCGGGCAGTGCAGCTGCCGGTGCCTGGCCAGCCCGGTCAGCGTGAGGTAGGGCCGGCGGCAGCGAGGGCACTGGAAGCCGCCCGAGGGGCGCAGGTCCTGCTGGGCCCCCAACAGTCTCTCTGGGGCCCGGTCCCGGTCGGGGTCCAGGATCGGGGGCCACCGGGTGGGCAGCACCAGCAGCGGACGCAGGGCCAGGTGGTGGAGGCTGTCTTTGAGAGGTGCGCGCGGAGCCTGGCCCGCCCGAGGGGCTGTCCGGTCAGCTTCCGGGAGGTCTGGCCCAGAGGCCCCCTGAGCCGCCTCAGTCTGAGGGAGGCGGTCCCAGGGCTGGGCTGGGGCCACCTTCTCTGGGAGCAGGAGGGGCACCCCCAGGACCCGACAGGCGGTGCAGGGGCCATTGGTCTCTGGAGGGCAGAGGGGAGAGAGTGAGGCGGAGCCAGCCAGGCGGGCAGGCCGCCCCTCCTGACCCGCCGCTCGGGCCCGCCCGGTCCCACGCCGCGCGGCTGACTCTTGGCAGCAGGCAGTGCGGGAGCGGCCTCCGCTAATGAGCCCGCAGTCCCCTCCCGCTCACCCCTCGCCGGTCATGACCACTGCGCCGTGGGCGGCACAGCCTCCTGACTGCGGCCCGGAGGTCAGGCCGGGCTGTCCCGGGTGGCATCACGCGACGCCTGGCCGGGCGCCCCTGGCTCTGTGGGGCGCCCGCTTTGGCACAGCCGAGAATGGAGGCGCCCTCAGAGCAGACGGGTTAGCCGCTGAGGTCTCGGTTCAGAGCTTGCGCAAAGCCGATCTCCAGACCGCCAGCTCCTGTCCCGTCCCTGTGGAGAGACACCTTTGGCCCCGCTTCCGTGTCCACCCCGAGGCTGGGTGAGAAAGGAGCCCGGAGCGTGAGGGAGAGGTTTGCAGAGTGCGCATCCAGCGAGGTGCGGAGCCCCAGGATATGCAGAAACTTGCATTTCAGCAAAAAACAAAACACGATTTAAAGGTGGGGCCTGAACAGCCCTCCGCGGAGACAGCGAGTGGTGTGGCGTGGCCAGAAGTACCGCCAGCACGGGCACCACCAGGGAGGTGTCAGCCAACGCTGAGAGGGGCGCAGGTGTTGGTGGAGGTGCTGAGCACAGGAACTGCTGCCACCGCCCCCGCGCACCCCATCACCAAGGGTGCGCTGGGTTTGTGTCCTCCGGCCGCGACCACTAGGTCCAGGGACCGTGATGACCCCCGCGCTGCTCTGGGCTTTCCTACTGGGAAAGGGGCGCTTGTGTCTGCCTCAGTCCCCATGTGGGGCCAGTGCTGACCCAAAGGGGGGGAGGCAGGGGTGCCGGGGCTACTGACCCACAGGCCTGGGGACTCCTGCGCTTCCTCCATCTTTTTGCTCACCCTGATCCCTGGGGGAGGACCTCTGAGTACCGCTCTGGCTTCGGGGTTCTCTGGGTCGGTCTAAAGGACACTCACTTAAAGGGAGGGAGGGAGGCCCCAGCCCCAGCATCTCGGGCATCTCCTGCAGAGTGGCCGCAGGGCTGGGGGCCCCTGTGGAGCGCAGAAGGGCCGGGGGCTGTGCCCCACTGTCCACCGTCTGCGTGGCTACCTGTGCTATTTGCTCATTCAAATGACCACTTGGGGTACAAGTGATAAAGTGGGGTGTTCTGTGTGTCTGCACCATAGCAGCGACTCCAAGCTTCTAGAACTAGAACCCGTGTAGGGTCCAGCCCCATGGCGCGATCCAGCCGCCTGTGCGTGGGTGCCCTCGGGGGCTCTGCTGTTTTATTTTACAAAAGTGCCAGTGGTGACTTGCGGGCCTCAAAGCAGTGAGGTCTAGAAGATGCGCCTCCAGCAGGGTCGCTTCACCCCATGGGCGACGGGCCCCTGAGGGTACTGGCTGGGTGCCCTGGCCCCCACAAGCCCCTCCATCCCCGGAACCCCTGTGAGCCAACCCAAGAGGCTGCCCTCCTGGGGACGCGGCCTGGCCACTCGGGAGAGACTTCTGCCCCAGACGTCCTGTTCCCTGAAAGGAGCGGCGGGGGGGCCTCGCAGCCCCTCTCCAAGGGGCCGTCTCCCCGCTGGAGCCCGGGGTGGGGGTGCAGGGAATGGCAGCCCCTTCGCCAGCCTGCCCTGGGCCGGCCCCGGGAGGGGAGGCGGGAGCTCTGGAGCCGCAGGTGGGCAGAAGCCCGGCAGCGCGCAGTCCGAGCGCCGCTGCCCACCCGCTCGGCTCCCCGCGCAGCGCAGACGCCCGGGACGCAGACCCGGGCCCCGCACGAGCCCCTGCGCCCGCGGAGGGCGGGGCCGCGGGGACGGGGGCGTCGCCAGGCCCGGGAACTTCTCCGCGAGAGACCCCGGCGCGGAGCGCTCCCCCGCCCCGCGCCGCCGGGACCCCCGTCCGCGCCCTCGGGCCGCCCGGGGCTGGGCGCTCCTACCTCTCCGCGTCTCCAGCCGCGCGTAGTCGGGGGCCCGGGGGCTGGGGTGCGTCTTCACCAGGAAGGAGCGCGGCATGGTCGCGCGGGCCCGGGCGGGTCGGGGGCGCCGGGTCCGGCGGGCGCCGCGGGCAGCGGCCGGCAGGTGCGGCGGGGCCAGGCGGGTTGGCGGGGCGGGGCGGGGCGGGGCGGGTGGGCGGGGGGGGTGGGCGGGGCGGGGCGGGTGGGCGGGGCCGGGCCGGGGTGGGCGGGGCCGGGCCGGGGTGGGCGGGGCCGGCGCCACGCCCGGGACAGGTGCGCGGCCGCGTGGCCTGCCCACGGGACTGCCCTGGCGCGCGCGCCGAGTCACGCCGACCCCGGGGCTGGCGCGCCCACGCGCCGCGGCCGAAAGGGCGAAGGTCGGCGGGGTGGGCCGCCCGCGTCCCGGGCCAAGGGTGAGAGCGCGGGGCGCCCCGAGGCTCCCCCGCCCCGCCCCGCCCGGGAAGACGCGCGCGGGCTCGGTCCAAAGTGGCCCCGCCGACCCGCCGACCCGCCGACCCGCCGCCGCTGGACCGGGGGCTGCCAGCGCCCCGCGCGGCCCGGGCAGATGGCGAGGGGGGAGGCCGGGCCGAGCGGGGCAGGGCCCCTCCCCTCTGCTGCCGACCTGGGCTGACCCCGGCCGCTGGGAGAACAGACAGGGCCAGGAGCTCCGGAGGCCCCGGGGTCAGACTGGGGGTCAGCGGGAGCTTCCTGGGCAGCCTCGAGCGCCCCCCCTTGTCCTTGGAACCCTCAGGACAGTCCTCGGACCCTGCGAGAGCCGGGCCAGCCCCGCCTGGGCATCTGGTCCCTGTGATGGGACAGTTGGCGGCTGCGGGGAGCAGAGGGCAGGGCCTCGGGTGGTAGGCGGGCGCTGGGCCAGGCCTCGGGGTCACCACCCGCCAGCCGTGGGCCCGCAAGGTGAGGATGGCAGCCTCGAGGCCCGTGGGGGGCAGGGTCAGTGTCTCATCCCTACCGGCTTGCTGGTGGGGACACAGGCTGCGAGCGATTGCAGGGGGCACTTGACCCACACTTCAGCCTCCCCGAGGCTGAGGGGGTGCCTGAGACAGCTGGTGCTGGAGGGGGAGCGGGCAATGCACCCCGGGCCACCCCATGCTGCTGGCTGTGTTGCATCAGGGATGCATGGCCGGGCAGGCCGCCATCCTGCACCCTCACCTCCTCCCTGGCACACACCTGGGCCGGCCCTCCACCCGCGCCACCCGGCCTCACCCAGCCGCCCGCTGTCCTGGAGCCTCTGGCCAAGCTACCAGGGCCTCCCCAGCCCCGGGGCCCAGAGTACCAGAGAGCGCTGGCCCCTGGCGGTGGCCCCGAGGCAGGGACATCCTGTGGCCCCTCCTGCCTCTCAGAGCTGCTCTCCTGTGGCCCCAGGGCACGTGGGCTGGAGCTGGCTGGGCCTCACCGGAGAAACCTCAGCGTCTACACTGGCCTCACCTGGCACCTGGGCCCCCCAGGGCGGGATGTCGCGTCCCTGTCCTCGATGGACCATCACGGCTGCGACCTGGTGGCTGGCCTCACCCCTGCCCAGCTGAGGGGAACCCCTTCATCAGCCAGAAAAGGGACCAAGGTCCCCATTCCCTGCAGAAACCACGGGATGTTCCTTTGCCCCTGAGGGCCCGGGGCCCCTGCTGAGACCCTGGCACCCTGCCCAGCAAGTGGTTTCCGGGTGAGGGGCCGCGGGAAGCTGGCCGGGAGGGACAGCTCTCGTGCTTCCTGGGAAGGTGGGGGCCAGAGCGCGGTGGCCCGACCATCCCCCCTGCAGCCCACACACTGTTCTCGCCGATCAACTCGCGGCCTGATGTCGTGACCCCACCCATGCTCAGGCCCCAGCCCTGCTCGTTGGCCCAGATGTCCCCAAACTTGGTGGCCCTGGGCGCTCATCTGGGGGGACTTGGAGCAGGGAGCGCTGTGCAGGGGTGCACACCTGCCAGCAAGGGTGCAGGGCCCGGGGAGCCCTGGCGGGGCCTCCAGGGCAGCGCTGCTTAGAGCCGGCTGGTCTGTCCCGGCCCGTGCAGACAGCCCTGGCGCCGGGGCGCCCGCCATGGCCCCACCTGTCAGCGTGCGCAGGGCGGGGACCCGGCGGCGGCCGGGCACGGCCAGTGCTCTGCTCTGGCTGGGGCGTGGGGTCACCCACGGGGGTGGGACCCGTGCCCCTGCTTCTCCCAGATGACCTTGGCAGTGCCCCTGATGCTGGATGGCCAGTGGGGCACCCAGGCCTGACTCCAGCGCCTGCGGAGTGCGGGGGCACGCGGGAGGGGCTCGGCCCGGGCGGCTGAAGGGGTGCTGCGGGGGCGCGTGTGAGCCCGCTGTCGGCACCAGCACCGTGAAGGCTCGGCGGTGTCCTCGTGCGAGCCCGGGCTGAGGGCAGGACGTGGCGGGCTTTCGGTTGGGAGCGTTGGGGTCCCCCTGTGAGAGATCCTCCCCTGGGGAGCGCCCACACCGCCGGGCCGCCAGGGGCAAGATGGGGTTCCCAGGAGCCCTGGCGGGGGAGCGGAGCAGCCGTGCTGAGAGACGGGGTCACTCTGGTCAAGACCCGGCTGGGCATCTGTGAGCCCCCCCACCGTGACCCCGTGCTTGTATCTGTGTCCCGAGCGACCCCGCGAGTCTGTGCCCCAGCTGGGCGTGGCCCTGGACGCCAGGGGCAGGGCTGGTGGCGGCTGGCCTGGATCTGCCCATGGCTCTGCCCGGGCAGCGCTGAGGGGAGCCTGGGCATCCCATGCCTGTTCTGCTGCCGGGCAATGTCCCAGTGGCCAGGCCCGGAGGTTCCTACGCCTTGAAGGCCCCGGGCTCCCTCGGGGAGGGCCCCCCGGGGCACTGAGGCCTGGGCTGCTAGTTGGGAGGACGGGTGGGGGCTGGGAGCTGCCGGGGGGGCAGCAGGGGCCGCAGTGACCGACACAGCCCTCTCCTGCCCACCAGCCCCTCGGGGTGTCCACAGGAGGCTGGCCTTCTTCCCACCCCACTCCACCTCACTGTCCTGGACACCCAGAGGCCTCCACCAAGGCCCGTGGGTGCTGAGTGGCAGCGGGGAAGCGGAGGGTGAGGGAGCCGAGGACGGCCCTCCCGGCTGCCGGGCCAGGCCCCGAGGGCACACTGGGCTCCACAGGGGAGACGGTGCAGCAGGGGGCTTGAGGGGGGTCAGACCAGCGCCACCCTGTGGACAGTCCGGAGCGTGGCGGCTGTTTCCGACGGCCGGCGGGGCGGCTGCACCTCACCAGGAAGCGCGGCCTCCAGGCCTCCAGCAGCCACCCGGGGCCAAACGTGAGCCAAGACACCCCCCCCAACCCCCGCTCTCTCCCGAGCAGCTAAAGCCTGAGCCTCCTCCGAGAGTGTGGCCTCTGGGGCAGGCTGCTGGCCCAAGTGGCTCCTGAGACCCGCTGACTGGGGGCCAAGATTCCCTTCGGGGCAGCACGTGCTTGGGGAGCCCCGGGAGGTGTCCAGCTCGCTGGCCTGGGAGGCAGGATCGCTGTGCAGGGTGGGGGAGCCCCGGGAGGTGTCCGGCCTGCAGGCCCGAGAGGGTAGGGCAGGCTGCCTCGCTGTGCAGGGCAGCGCGGGCCTGGGTGGTGGCTGGGAAGCTGTGCTGGGCGGCAGGGCCTGGGCCGGGCGCGTCTGGTCACCGTGGCCAGCTGCGCTCTGGAGCGGGGCTGAGGCAGAGACCTGGGCGCCCAGGAAACGGGGTGACGGGCCAGCCCTTCCCGTCGACACTCACAGACACCGTCAAGGTCACCATAGATGCTTTGAAACATTTTATTTAATTCTTTAAAAACACGACAGGAATGGATGCCTTGAACTGAGCGAGTACCAAGGAGCCCTCGGCCTGCTCCGCCCATCCCAGCACTGCCCGAGGCGGGCCGTGGCCGGCTTTGGGGAGGTCACAGCCAGAGGCCAGCCGTTTGCCAGGGAAGGCCCCGCGCCTCCTGCAGTGTCCTGTCTTCCGGGCGCCTGCGGGCGGGAGGCTGGGAGCGCCTTGTGGCTGTGGCGGCAGGCCCGGCCCGAGCGCCACGTCCCTCTGCGCGCCTGTGCGGCTCCACCCCGCGCCTGCTGATTTTTCATTGCTTTTTTTAAAAAATATAATTTTCCAAATGTTCCATAAAAATACTATTGTTCCTAGTCAAACACAGATATTGCAATATGAAGGGTGCGGCTGTCTTTGCTCTATAAAACGTGAAAAGGTCGTCACACCGGATAATATAGAAAATGCCAGAATTTCTAGTATCACAAAAGCCAGTACAAACGCGTGGTGGTGGCCAGACGCCTGCGAGGCCCCGCTCAGCAGCGGCCGAGGACACCGCAGCGGCCAGCAGGCCCTGTCCGCTCGGGGAGGACACCACGCTGCGACTGAGACAGACGGACCGACGGCTGCCCTCCCCCGCGGCCGGCATGGCGGGGCCGCCTACTTGGCCGAAGCACCGAAGCGGCCAGGGACACTCAGCCCGAGCACAGTGGGGGCCGCCCTCTGCGGGGCTGGGGGCAGCTCTCCGCCCGGCACCGGCGGCGCGTTCTGTGCAGGCGCGTGGCTGCGGCAGAGGGAGCTCGGCCCGGCCGCCGCGGGAGGACTCGTCCAGCGCTGGGCTGCGCCCTCAGTTCTCGGACAGAGACAGGGCCAGGGCGGCCTGGAAGGCGGCCTCCTCGTCGATGCTGTAGTCCTGGGCACAGAGGGGACGTGGCGCTGGGCCCTGTCCTGCATGGACCGCGCTCCCACTGCAGCCTCTGCCCTCCCTCCCTGGGGAGGTCAGACCGGGCCCCACAGACGCAGTGTCGGGTGCCATGTGGCTGCAGGCTCCTCCCCGGCCCACAGGGCCCCCGGATGCCTGCCGCTCTTGCTCCTGGGGCGGCAGGGGGTATTGGGAGGGCCTGCCACGCCGCTGTGCCCAGCCCCGCAGACCACGTGTGAGGCCCCGGCGAGAGGCTGTGGGAGAGCGGGGCGCTTTCCCAGGCTGGACCTGCACTCGCCTCCCCGACACCAGAGGGGCGGTGTCCCCCGTGAAGGGCTCCCTGGGGCCCTGCGGGCCTGCCCGCCGTGGAGGTGGGGCAGCTGGGTCCTGACCCGGGGGCACCCACCACGAACGTGTCGTAGGAGAACTTGTGCCGGTGAAGCAGGTGCTGCAGGAAGTTGGCGCTCTTGTAGCTGGGGTCACCCCAGGGCATGGCTGAGCAGATGGGACACACCTGGGAGAAGGGCCGGGCTCAGGCGTGTGTGCGCGGGCAGCCCCCCAAGGCCCCGCAGCCGCGCCCGCCTTACCACGCGGTTGGGGTCGCTGCGGTGGTTGCCCACGCAGTGCCTCAGCAGCTCCTGCTGGTCCAGGTTGCGGGCGCCGCAGTACGGGCAGGCGAAGGTGGACCTGTTGGGGATGGCGCTGGGGCGGGTGGGGGGGTGAGCAGGGCGGGGCCCACCTGCCCACAGGCCTGCACCACAGGGGAGGGGCCTCCTGCCGGCTCTGTGACTGCCGGGACCTCCTGCTGGGCAGTGCCCCCCCCCCCCCGCAGCTCCGGTGTGAGCCCACCCTGGCAGGCACCTACCTGGGGATGGGCTGTGATGTGGGCACCACAGGGACGAACTTGGGGCAGTGGGCCATCTGCTCCTGGACCTTCGCGCAGGAGGACACGTGCACCCTCATCTTGGCCAACGTCACCTGGGGGGTGGGGGTGCTGAGTGGTGAGGTTGTGCCCAGTAGGCGTCAGCCCTCTGCCCAGAGGCCACCCGGGGACACTAGCCTGGCTGCAGGCGGGCACCTCCCTCCAGGGAATGTGGGCACTGGCTCTGGGAGCAGCCCCTGGTGACGGCCCCCAGAAGCTCTGGCCGTCACCGGCAGGCACAGACCCGAGCTCTTGCAGCGTGGCCTCCAGGCTAGTTGGGCCAAAGGCGGGCAGGGACAGGAGCCGGGGCCTGGGTCTCGGGAACGGCCTGGGAGGGCCTCTGCCAGCAGAGAGGGAGCACCGCACAAGAGGATGCCAGCGCCCAGAAAGGGGAAGCAGTGGGGCGCAGCCTTGGGTCAGGTCTGACCTAGGCCCAGGGGCCCTGGGAAGGTCCAGGCAGGCCCGGCCTGGCTCTGGTTCCCCCCAGGGCTGGGGTGCTGGAGAGGCCTGCCTCCCGGGCGTGTCCAGAACCCTAAGTGCCACGCTGAGGGGGGCATGGTGCTTCCTGAGCAGCTGCAGAGGGGTGTGTAGTGTGAAGGGCTCAGGGGCCACAAGGCTGCTGCCTGTGCTGAGACTGGCAGGGCTCATTCAATGTCAGCGCCGGCCCCCAAGGGCGGGGAGACTAGAAATACGGTGTGGAGGCAAGTGATGCCATGGCCCCCAACTTCACCCTGCAGAGGGCTGCTGGGGAGTGCCAAGGCTCGTCTGGCGGGCACAGCTCAGTCCGTGTCCCTGTGGTGGCCCCGGAGCACAGGCGCCCAGAGCGCAGGCCTGGCTGCGAGGAGACGGAAGGCCCAGGGCCAGGGGCACCTGCCCGGGGGGAGGGAAGCTGAGGCCCCTGGGGTGGGGTGGGTAACCTTCTTGCTGCAACCCCGGCAGGGCGCCTTGTAGGTTGAGAGCTGCTTCTCCACGTGGGCGGCCTTGTCCACTTTCTTGGGGTCGAAGGGCAGGCGGCACAGGGGGCACAGCGGGGACGGCACCTGCAGGCACGGCTGGAGACACTCGCCACAGAACCTGCGGGGAGGGATACTCAGCCTGCAGCAGGAGGCGTGGGCGAGCCCCCCTGCTGTCAGGGAGCCGCTGTGGAGATGTCACTTCTGTACCCGAGATCCGCGGCTGGAAGGGCCCCGTCTGGCTAGGAGAGCCCTGGCTCTGAGTCCTCTCCCCGGCAGTGGCACTCCGAGAGCTTGGCTGCAGGGGCACCGGGGCCTGCACATGAGCTCCTGGCGGTGGCTGGGCCAGGGGGGCTACGCCGAGGGGAGTCAGTGCCTGCTGTGGAGACTCCCCCTTACTGCCAACTGCCAGTGAGTGTTCTAGACTGGCCATTGCAGTGGTGACGGCACGAGGCCAGGGGTGCACCAAATCCCCAGACTGTATGCCCAGAGCAAGGCACGTGCGGGGCCTAGGCGCCCACAGGACCTGCTGGCCTCCACAGGCCAAGGGCAGGCGCCCAGCGTTTGTCCGATGAAGGACATGGTCTGCTGGGCCGGGCCCCAGAGGGTGAGGTCTGGTCTGGCCGTCTCCTGAAAGCTGGAGGGCTGCCCCTCCCCACCCCAGCCCACCCTGATGCAGGGCAGGAGGCTGCAGGGCAGGCCCAGGACCCTGCAGAGGGCCTCCCGCGCGTGCCGGTGCTGCTTTGACTCTTTGGGGACTCCGCTCCATCTCTGGCCTGTTTCTTTGTGCAGGAGTGATGCCAGCACCATCTCACAGGCCGGGAGTCGGTGCTGACAGGGACACCCCCGCCTTCCGCCGTCCCCGCAGACACAGCGCCTGGCTCTCCTACGGCCCTGAGCACGCAGCTGGAGACCTTAGCTGCAGGGCGCCACGCAGCCCCATAAAGAGAAGAGGCACCTGGGCTGAACCCCACCCTGCACAGCAGGCCTGGGGGAGGGGCCGTGGAGGCTCAGGTACAGCTGCTGGTTCCAGATGTGGCTCAGCCCAGGATGTCCCGAGGGTGACAGAGGCCCTGGAAGCCCCTCCCCCCCACCCCCAGCTGCAGCGAGGCTCTGCTGACCTGGCAGGCAGGGCCCCACACAGGCTGCTCTCACCACCAGGACACCCAGCCTGTGGAAGGGCATGGCACATGGCAGGCCAAGGAAGTGCCCAGGCCAGCAGCAGACCGTGTGCAGGAAACGCATGAGGCTGAAGATGAGGGTCCCACTTGGAGAGAGCCCCAGAAGCACCTGACAGGCTGGGAGGAGAGAGATGGGGCTGGCGTGGCCAGGGAAGCAGAAGCAGAGCGGGAGAGCCCTGAGGACCTGGCTCTGGGGCTGGGGGCGGGGTGCAGCAGGACGGCCAAGAAAGGCCTGGGGGTGGGTGAAAGGAGACGTGGACTCCGGGGTCCCGCCTTCTGTGTTAGGAGAACCACCTTTCAAGAGAAGACCTCTTCAGGTGAACACAGGCCGTCAGGGCCAGAGGCGGCAGGAAGGCTTTCTAAGGTGAGGCCCGAAAAAGTTCCCTTTCTGTGGCGAAGGGCCGGAAGATACAGAGCGCCCCCTCGACCTCCAGCAGCCACGGTGTGGGCTACAAGAAGGAAGTCGGCTCAGAGGCTGCCGGCCGCAAGGCGCGGCACTGAGCACAGGCGGCGCACCCGCCCTGGCTGGCGGAGCTCCGAGTGGGCGGCCGCGCTCGGGCTGGGTGGGGGCGAGGGCTCGCAGGAGGCTGACTGTCCCTGCAGGTGACAGGCACACACCCACCCGGCAGCTCAGCGCCCCTCACCAGGAGCCTCCCGAGCCAGCTGCCTTTGTTTGCAAAATGTTCTAGGGACTCCAACCAGCTCCGGCCCACGTCCTCAGCAGCCAAGGCCTCCCCCCACCCCCCACCCCGCCCGCCCGGGGCTGCACTGCGCTCCTTTCCCGGGGTGCGCGCTCTCCACTGCGGACAGGAGAGTCGGGCCGGCCCGGCCCCCTCGCGCCCAGGCTGGCAGCACCCAGGACCCTGGCGAGCCCTCTCGGCGGGAGGAGCCGGTCTTCCTGCTTCTGTTCCCAGGCCGCCCGCAGGGGCCACGGGGTCCCCTCGAGCTGCAGACCCTGCCCAGGTGTGCGCGTCGGGTCCCCGGAGGGCCCGCCCGGCCGGCGGCCCCGGCAGGGAAGTGCCCCGAGTGCTCCCCCACGCCGCGCGCCCGGGCCGGCTCAGGGGCGCCCTCCGCCGTGATTAAGACAAGAGACAGCGGCGCCAAGCGCAGGGGACGGCCACGGCCGCAAGTCGTTTAATGTCAGCGGCCGCCCGGCCTCCGCGGGACGGGGCGGCCGGAGGTCGCGCCGCTGCCCTCCGAGCCCCCGGGGCCGCCGGGCGGCGGCCGCTCCGCGCGCCGAGCGGGGTCGGGCCCGCCGCGTCCCCCGCGGCCCGAGGCCGGCGCACTCACGTGTGGCCGCAGCCGCCGATGGCCACGGGCCGGTGGTACACCTCCAGGCAGATGGGGCAGCTGAACTGCGCCTCCAGGCCGCCGTCGCCGCCCGCGGGCCCGCCCGGCGGCTGCCGCTGCTGCGCCGAGGCCACCAGGCTGCGGAACATCGCCATCCCGGGCCCGGCGCGCCGCCGCCCCCGTCCCGGCCCGGCCCGGCCCGGCCCAGCCCGGCCGCGCGTCACGGCCGCGCCGGCGCCGCCCCGACGTCACGCGGGCGAGCCCCGCCCCCGACGCGTCACGCCCGCGCCGGCGCCCCGGACGCCGAGCGCGCCCCGCCCCTGAGCCCGCGTCACGGCCGCGCCGGCGCCGCGCGACGTCCCAGCCCGCAGCCCGTGGCCGCCGCCGCGCCGGCATGTGTGAGGCGGGCGAGGACTACGGGGACCCCGCGCCCGAGGGGCCGCCGCCGCGCCCGAGGTAAGAGCTGGGCGCCGCGCCCCCGAGTCCCGGCGGCCCCCGTGCGGCGCTCCCCAAGGGGGGCCCGCCCGCTCGCACCTCCAGCTCCGCAGCCGGGCGGCCCCTGGCGGGAGAGGAGGCGCCTCCCCGGCGCGCCCGCGCCCCGCGGAGCAGCTGCCCCGCCCCTCGCGCCCGCCCTTGGGGCTCCGGGGCGTCTGTGCCCCGGGACGGCCCCCCACCCTCAGAAGCCCCGGGCCCTAGTCTTCCTTCCCGCGCGGAGTTCGGACGAGACCGGCGCCCCCGCCCCGCGCCCCCGCCCCGCGCCCGCTCCCCCTCCCCGCCCGCGCCCCGCCCCGCTCCCCCTCCCCCCCCGCGCCCGCGCCCGCTCCCCCTCCCCGCCCCGCCCCCCCCCGCCCCGCCCCCCGCCCCGCGCCCGCGCCCCGCGCCCCCTCCCCGCGCCCGCTCCCCTCCCCGCCCCCCCGCCCCGCTCCCCCTCCCCGCGCCCCCGCCCCGCGCCCCCGCTCCCCTCCCCGCGCGCCCGCTCCCCCTCCCCCCCCCGCGCCCCCTCCCCGCCCCGCGCCCCGCGCCCCCTCCCCGCGCCCGCTCCCCTCCCCCCCCGCCCCGCTCCCCTCCCGCGCCCCCGCCCCGCGCCCCGCCCGCCCCCGCCCCCTCCCCGCCCGCGCCCCGCGCCCGCGCCCCTCCCCCTCCCCGCGCCCCCGCCCCGCCCCCGCCCCGCGGCCGCTCCCCCTCCCCGCCCCCGAGCCGCGGTGTGAGGTGCGGCCCGCCCGCCCCGTCTCCGCAGCCCTGGGCAGCGCTGTGTCAAGTGCAAGGAGGAGCTGCCGGTGGTGGTGATCCGCGCGGGAGACGCCTTCTGCAGGTGAGGCTCCCGCTGCCGCAGCGAGCCGCCTTGGCCAGGCCTGGGGGCCTTTGGGCACCAGCGGAGGCTTAACCCCCAGGGCTCTGGCGGGAGCCCGCTCTGCTCTGCCTGCGGCTGTGCGGCCGCCTGTGGGTCAGTATCTCCAGCGGGCTGCGGAGCCCCCGGGACAGCGCAGTGGGGTGCGCCCACCGGCACTCCGGTGGCACCCGCTTTGTGCAGCGGGTGCGTGTGTATCGAGCGGCCCGCTCACATGTTCAGATCGGCCTGCACGAGCCTTGGCTTCTGGCTTCTGAGACGTCTCAGGAGGGAAACTGAAGGACTGATGAGGCTCTTTTCCTGGCGTGCTTCTGTCCGTTTCTCGGGAGCCCCCTGACATGAGGCGTGGGCCTGCAGGATCCACACGTGAGGGAAGGAAGCCACAGCTTTCCTCACGCGGAGCTCTGAGAGTGTCTGTTGCACCTGTGCCTGGAGAGTCAGGCTGAGGAAAACAGGCTGCAGCTGCCGTGCGTGAGGCCAGCCTGGGCCCACAGTGCGTGCTCTGTGCTTGCCTGATCCCCTCAGAGGGGGAGGCTGACCTCCCTGTGGGAAGTTTTGATTTTCTAGATTTGGAGCCCATTCTCTCAGTTATTGTGAGAAGATTCACAGGGTAACCAGCCTGGTCTGGCCCAGAGGAGGGGCAGGTGGCTTCAGGAGCCTGGAGGTGCGGGAGGCCTGGGCAGGGCAGCTGCAGGGGCCTCTGTATGCTGGGCCTCACAGGCCTGACCTTCCCGGGTGTCGCTTCCAAATGTGGTTGGTCCTCTAGGGTCCCCGCAGGCCTGACCTCAGCGGGGAGGTGCTGCGCTGGGTCCCCGCTCAGAGGCGCCTGCTCAGTGTCGAGGTGGTTTGGGACACCGGTGTCTGAACCAGGGGAAGGAGGTTGGGGGCGCAGCCCCAGGCAGCGTCTCCATGTGGGTGCCGGGAGCCTCTCTCCAGCCTTTCGCACCTCGGTGGCTAAGTGATTCTGATGTTGGGCTCAGCCTGAGAACCTGTGACGTTGTGGGTCATGAACAGCTGCAAGTTCTGCGTGGGTTTGGGGAGGAGCCCCGGGCTCTGTCTGGAGGGCTCAGCGCAGTGGCGGCCGAGTCATGCCGGGAGGCACGAGCACACGCGCGCACCGCCCACCCACCCCTGTGCTCCTGTGTCTCGTCCCGCCAGCGGGGCTTCCCCAGTGCCCGCAGAGCCGGCCGTGCAGACCCCCGCAGTGATTCGCTCTGGAGCACTGGGGGCCCTGATGGGCCTCACGCGCGCCAGGAGACTCGACCTTGGCCAACGGCAGCTGTGAAGACCTCTGGGGCTGGCTCCTCTTGTCGCCCCCCCCCCCCCCCCCCCCCGCCATGGCCCAGCAGGGCCGCCCCTGGGCATCTGCCCCGCAGCCAGCCGAGGGCGGGTGGGTTCGCCTCGGTTCAGGCAGCTTGACGAGAACCCCGGAGCCCTGGGCATTGCGCCCACAGGTTTGCCAACACCCTGCGGGGAAAGTGTGCCCAGGGAGCCAGTAGCTCGGGCTCTTCTCTCGCGCTTCCTCCCGCGGCTGTGCCTGTGCCCGCGCCGCCCCTCCGTGCCGCTGCCCTCCCGTGCTTGGCCTCCAGGCCCCGCTGTGCCCACTCACTGGCCCAAAGCGGCTCCAGATGCCGCACGCCCGCACCCCCGAGCGCCTCTGCATCCAAGGCCGCGGGCGACGGCCATCGAGGCCAGCACCGGACCGCCGGCGTCCCTGGCCCGCGGCGTCTGTCCGGAGGACGCAGAAGTGCCCGTGCAGGAGGCTGCTCCACCGCCGGCCTCACGGAGGGTCCGTGGGCTGATGTCCCGGCTCGGCCCGCCCCCACCCCCCGTCCCTCCGCGCTCCCTCTGGCAGCCGCTCTCCTGGCCGAGCTCACGGAGTGTTTTACTGTCTGTGTGCGATTGTTTTCTGGGACTTCCTATTCTGCAGACGGGGGAACCACCCAAAACCTGCCTTTCCCTTTTTGACAGCTGTCGCTCAGCAGAAGCATGTCCGGGCGTCGCCGGGTGCCCTTCCTCACGGCCGCGCGGTGGGTGCGCGGGTTTGTCTTTCTCGCTTCCCAGGGGCGCCGGGGCTGGTTCCGTGCCCGGTTCCGTGCCCGGCCGCTGTCAGCAGGTCTGCCGCGCGCGCGGCGGCGGGTCTCTTCGGGCGGGTGTTATCGTGCTTTGGTCGGCCCCTGAAGCGTTGCTGGGCGCGCAGCATTTCCCTTGCTGCGTCCTCCGTACCCTTCTCCACAGGGGCTGCACTTGCTTGCCCTCCCACCGCCGCCACCAGAGCTGCTTTTTCCTCACAGCCTTGCGCGCGCTTGTTAGTTCACTTCTTTTTTCACACAGGCCGTTCTCCTGGGGGCTGGGGTGTGTGTGTGTCTGGCTTTGATCTGCGTTTCTCTTGCAGTGAGTGATGCTGATCAGACCTTCGTGTGTGTAGACCATCTGTCTTCTTTTTCAAAAAATACGCATATAAGAACGGGGGTGCAGGGCAGAGGTGCGGGGGGTGAGAGGACTCCCCAGAGACAGAGTGGGGAGCAGAACAGGCAGACTGACTGAAACCCACTGCTGAGGGGAGCAGCGGGGCGTCAGGAGAGTCTGCTGCGCCCTGTGGGTAGGCCACCGGCCGGGGATCGAACTCGTGCTGCAGCGCCTGGCGATGGCTTGATAACACCGCGTCTTTACGCTGTGTCCATAACCCCTGCGCCGCCGGGGAGGCCCTGAGGTTGTCGTTAGAGAAGTGTCTATTTAGGGCCTTTACCTGTTTTTTAAATTAGGTTATTTGCTTCTTTATTGCTGGGTTGCATAAGTACTCTGTAAATTTTGGAGATCCACCTTTTATCTGTATGTGTTATTATGCAAATGTTTCTTCTTATTCTGTAGGTTGCCTTTTTGGGTTTTTTATTTGTTTTTAAGGATTTCTTTTTGGAGCCTCCCCGGTGGCGCAGCAGGTTGAGCGCAGCACTGTGGAGCTGTCCGCAGCCTCTGTAGCGCGGCTTCGATTCCCGGCCGGCCAGGGAGATGCCCACATGGCGGGGCAGGCCTCTGCTGTCTCCCCGCTGCTCCCCTCAGCAGTGCCTTCGGTCCGTCTGCCTGTTCTGCTCCCCACTCTCTCACCCTCCCATGCCTCTGGCCTGTACCCCCATACTTGTATAAGTAAACTTTTTTTTGGCAGGGGAGAAGCCGGGGATTCGCGGGCAGCTTTTGCGCCACCGGGGAGGCCCAGTAAACTTTTTTTTAAAGATTTATTTTTATCCATCCATACAAGAGCTGAGATGCAGGCCAGGGGTGTGGGGATGAGAGGATTCACTAGAGACAAAGTGGGGAGCAGAACAGGCGGATCCACTGAGATCCACGGCTGAGGGGAGCAGCAAGGAGTCAGGAGAGGTCTGCCGCGCCCTGTGGGTCAGCTCCCCAGCAGGGGATCGATCTCAGGCCACAGTGGCTGGTGATAGCTTCATAGTGCTGAGACTTCAACCCCTGCGCCACCGGGGAGGCCTCCCTTTGTGGTTTTTTTGGTGATTTCTTTATTTTTGCTTCTGTTTCCCTTGTTGTTGGGGTTGTATCCCAAATGCACTGTTGTGGTGGGTGTGTCCCCCCAAATCTTTAATCCTTTGTGAGTGAACTTTCGTGCATGGTGTTAAATACGTGGCATTCTTCTTTGCATGTGGCGCTCCATGTTTCCCAGCGCCATTGAACGAAAAGGCTGTTTTTAACTCCACCGCGCGGTCGGGATTCCGTTGTCCGCAGCTAGCCGGCCATGTTTTTAGTGACTTTTCTCTGCGCTTTCAATTCTGTTGCCTTGGGCTGCTCTTCTGTTTGTGTTCCTTTGCCGCTGTCTGGCTCATTGTCGCTGTGTCATATCGTTTGAAGGGCGGAAGTGGACGCCTCCATTTTTCTTCTTTTCTCTCAAGATTGTTTTAGTTCTTTGGGGCCTTATGTGATTTCATATAAGTTTTTCAATTGTTCTGTTTCCTTAAAAAAAGAAGTTAGGGGGCCTCCCCGGGGGCGCAGCGGTTGAGCGCTGGGTTGTGAAGCTGCCCGCGTTCTCTGCGGCGCTGGTTCGATCCCCAGCTGCTCCCCGGCCACCGGAGGAGGGTCCCGCATAGCGCTCACTCCAAGGAACTCCAAGGAGAAAGCGCTAGTCATTTCTCACACCTGAGCACTGAGACCGGTCTCAGTCCTCCTCCCTCCCTCCCCTCTCTGCCTCCCAACCTTTCTGTCTTTGCCTCCGTGAACAAGCCAGAAAGACGCGTGTAAGAGTGGTACTTCTGGGCCTCCCCGGTGGTGCAGCAGTTGAGCGCTGGGTTGCGAAGCTGCCCGCAGCCTCTGCGGCGCCGGTTCGATCCCCGGCTGCTTCCCCGGCCACCGGTGAGGGTCCCACATGGCGCGCAGACCTCTCCTGCCGCCCGCCGCTCCCCTCAGCAGTGTGCTTCGGTCCTTCTGCCTGCTCCGCTCCCCGCTCTGGCTCTGGTGAATCCTCTCACCCTCCCGCGCTTCTGACTGTGCCCACTGCGTGTATAAGTAAATAAATAAATCTTTAAAAAGAAAGTCACTGGTATTTTGATAGGCATTGCATTGCATTGAATCTGTGAATTGCTTTGGGTAATATGGCCATTTTAGCAATATTAATTCTTTCCACACAGGAGCGCGGATAACGTCCCATTTCTTTGATTTACTTTAACAAAATTTAGCAAGTTTCCAATGTACAGGTCCTTCACCTCTTTTGTTAATTTTATTCCCAAGTATTTCTTTTTTTTTTAAAGATTTATTTATGCATACAAGAATTGGGGTGTAGGCCAGAGGTGGGGGAAGGTGAGAGAGTTCACGAGAGACAGAGCGGGGAGCAGAACAGGCAGACGGACTGAAAGGCCCTGCTGAGGGGAGCAGTGGGGAGACAGGGGAGAGAGGTCTGCTGCGCCCTGTGGGCAGCTCCCTGGCTGGGGGTCACACATGCCACTGCCGACTGCCTGATGGTGCTGAGACTCGCCCCTGCGCCCCCAGGGAGGCTCCCTCGTCACTTTTGACTGTGAGCTTGGGTGATGGTCACTGCGAGCCGTTTATGTTGCGTCGTTGGATTTTTAGCTGTTTTCTTTTTCTCTTGTTTCTTTTTCCTTTGCGGTGGGGTCCCGATGCCTGGGCCTGCTCCCCGGCACTGGGCGCTGCTGGTTCTGCCCCCCCCCCCCCCCCGCACCTGGGGCTGGGCCGCGCGCTCGTCCGCGGCTGAGGCGGTTCAGGTTTTCGTTCCCTGTGGAGAAGCCCCTCGAGCCGGACCCGGAAAGCGGGCTGGCGTGCCGGACTCGTCGCCTCCGCGCGTCTGGGGGACCCGCCCGGCCCCTCCGGGCTTCACGGACGGCCCCGCGGGCCGGGGAGTGCTCGGCTGAGAGGCCTTGGCGCTCAGCCCTGTTCTCCCCGCAGGGGCTGCTTCAAGGCCTTGTACACCCACAAGTTCCGGGCCGTGCTGGGCAAGAACCGCGCCATCTTCCCTGGTGAGAAGGTAGAGTGGGGCCCACCCTCGGTCCCTGGCTGGGTGGTGCAGCCGGGCGCAGAGGGGTGCTGCCAGCCTGCACCCGCAGCGCCCTCAGCACCCTCCTCCCCGCAGGTGCTCCTGGCCTGGTCCGGGGGCCCTTCGTCCAGTTCCATGGTCTGGCAGGTCTTCGAGGTGCGTCTCACACCCCTTTCTGGGCTGGGGAGGTGCTGGGGGCTCCACAGGGAGTGGGGTGGAGCGCGGTGCCCAGCTGCCTGTTGGCACTGCTGGAGGCCGGGTCTGCAGGGGCGGCTGCGCACCCTGGGGCCTGCCCGCTGTGGCGGCCCTGCCCGGGCCAGGGGTCTCTGGCGACCTCCACCCAGGTCCGTCACCCCCTCCAGGGCCTGAGTCGAGATTCTGCCAAAAGGTTGCGGTTTGTGCCCGGGGTCGTCCACGTGGACGGTACGTACAGCGTCTCCGCCTGGTCCCGCCCGCCCTGGGGCTGCCCGTCCATCTGTGCGACGGCAGGGGTGCCCGCCTGGCCGGGGAGGCCACCGTGCAGGCGATGGGGGCTGCACGCGGGGCTCCGGGGTCCTCGGTGCGGCTCAGCCGACCCCAGCTCCCGTCAGCCCCTCTGCTGTCTGCGGCTCTAGAGGGCGCGGCCTGCGGCCAGAGCCCCGAGGAGAGGGCGCAGACGCGCACCGCCACGCAGCGCATCCTGCAGCGCCTAGGCTTCCCCTGGCACGCGGTGGCCTTGGAGGAGGTGTGTGCGCCCCGTTTCCTGGCCCAAGGCTGCCCCGGGCTGCCCCACCCGCCTTTCCCAGCGCCTTTAGAAGTGGCCCAGGCCTCACCCTCCATCTCTGCCCCCAAAGGTGCTGGACTTGCCGCCGTCCGTGCTGCGCTGCTCTGCGCGGGAGCCGCCAGGGGCCCAGGGCGCCTACAAGGCAGCCGTGGACACGTTCCTGCAGCAGCAGCGCCGCGGGGGGACTGAGGCTGCGGGGGGCAGCCCCGCCCCGGCCCCAGAGGAGGAGCCGCAGAGCCCACCCCCCACCCATGACCCCCCGGCCGGGGCCCCCACGGCTGCCCAGACGCAGGCCCTGTCCAAGCTGTTCGGCTCCGTGAGGTCGTTGACGGCCAAGGAGGAGCTTCTGCAGACCCTGCGGTGAGCGCCCCACCGGCCTGGGCCTGCCACCCCCGCCCCCCTGGCCCCGGCATCCCCTCAGGTCTGAGCCTCGCCTGCTGTCCCTGCAGCACCCACTTGATCCTGCATGTGGCCCGGGCCCACGGCTACGCCAAGGTCATGACGGGGGAGAGCTGCACGCGCCTGGCCATCAAGCTCATGACCGGCCTGGCGCTGGGGCGAGGCGCCTTCCTGGCCTGGGACACGGTACGGCGCCCGCCGGGCCTTCCTGTGGTGTCTCCGGGGGCGGGTGCGGGCGCCGGGCCGAAGAGCGGCTGCTGAGGACCCGCCCGCAGGGCTTCTCGGACGAGCGGCACGGCGACGTGGTGGTGCTGCGGCCCATGCGCGAGCACACGCTCAAGGAGGTCGCCTTCCACAACCACCTGTTCAAGGTCCCCTCCGTCTTCACGCCCGCTGTCGACACCAGGGTGAGCCGAGGGGCGCGCGGCGGCTGGGCCGGGCCCTGGGGAGGAACCTGCAGGAGCCCAGGGCACCAGGCAGCTGGGACATCCTTGGGTGTGGACGCTGCACAGCTGGGCCCGGGCTCTTGGCTCTGGCGCCAGAGCAGCCCCCACCCCAGCCCGGGTGCTCTCCGCGCGCGGCCTCCAGCACCCCATCTGCTCGGCCTTAGGCCCCCGAGAAGGACAGCGTGCACCGGCTGGTGGAGGCCTTCGTGCTGCGGCTGCAGGCCCGGTTTCCCTCCACCGTCAGCACTGTGTACAGGTGCGTGCGGGGCGCGGGGGGGCACGCAACTGCCCTGCCCACTGCCCTGTGCTGGGCCAGGCCCTGATCATCGAGGCCTCTGCCTACCCCCCCGCCCCCCAGGACAAGTGAGAAGCTGCTCAAGGCCCCCAGGGACGCCCGTGCCCCTCTGGCCCCTGTGCCCTGCTGCCTGCTCTGCTCCTGCCCCTTGGACATCGACACCGCTGGTCCGTGCGGGTGCGGGGCGGGCGTGGGTGTGTGGCTCCCGGGCCCTCAGCCTTCAACACCACTGGTCTGTGCGGGCGCCGGGTGGGGTGGGTGGGCGGCTCCTGGGCCCTCACCCCTGTGCTTGCAGGCAGTGCCACGGCCTTTGGCGCCCAGGCTGCCCACCTCTCCCGGATGCAGGCGGAGGCGCCCGCAGCAACGTGTGCTTGTGCAGGGGCGGCCGGGCTCTGTGGGAGGTGAGTGCCTGCTGTCCCGCCCTGAGAGCTGCTGGCTGCCCCCTGGCTGCACCCACAAACCCAGTCCCCCCACCCAGTGCAGCTGTGATCCCACTGATCCCTCCACTCCGCACCCACAAGCCCACTCTCCCCTTGCAGGGAGGAGCCTGGCACCTGCCTCATGGAGCAGCTGTGCTACAGCTGTCGGGTCACCATGAAGGACGTGGTGAGTGGACACCCTCTCTGGGATGTCAGGCCCTGCCCACTGCCCCACCCCGTGCCTCACCCGCGCCCCCCCACTCTGTTGCAGCCCTCCCTGGAGCCCTTGCCACCCTACATCCTGGCCGAGGCCCAGCTCCGCAGCCAGGGGGAGGTGCCGCTCCTGGGGTGCCAGGAGAGCCTGCCTGCCGGGCCCTCCCCACCGTGCGCCTCTCCCGGGGCCGGGCCTGCGGGGCCTCCCTGCGCATGTCTCCTCGGCGACGGGCAGACGGAGCCGGACGTGGCGCGAGCTGAGGCCGCCCAGGGCCGGGGCTGCGGTGGGAAGTCAGGGACGGCACCCAGCTGATTCTCCGTTTGTATAAATAAAACGTTTTTAATTAGAAAATTCTACAGTACGTGTGGGGGAGGCCGGGCCCCGGGCCGCAGGCGGCGGAGGACAGCAGTCCTGGTCGGCCCGGGGGCCACGGCGTCCGGCAGCAGCATCGGCTCACGGGCGGGGGGGGGTCGGGGAGGGGGCGTCGGCCGCCAGCTCCTTCACCTTCACGCCCGCGGGCGCCCTACTCCTTCTCCCGCGTCCACTTGATCATGGTCTCGGGCGAGCGGTACAGGAAGATGAGCTTGGCGTACAGCTCCTCCTCCAGCTCCAGCTCCCGCGTCTCGCGCACCAGGAAGATGTCCTGGCACAGCTTGAGGATGCGGTCCACGCACGGCAGCTCCTCGAACATGATGGAGTGCGAGATCTCGCTGAAGAAGCCGCGCACGAACTTGCCGATGACCAGCACGATGGACACGTACAGCCCCATGATCCTGCGGGCGGGGTGGTGAGGGCTGGTCACCGGCCTGGCCCGGCCCCGCCCCGCCCCCCTCCGCTCTGCCCACACTCACCCGTAGCCGGCCAGGAAGCCCAGGCTGGGCGGGCTGACCTTGTCGCTGAAGATGACCATGGGCAGCAGGTTGCAGTCAGCCCGGCAGTCCTGCAGCTCGATGACCCACCACTCGAGGAAGCCGGTGGCCCCCGAGCCCACACGCTCCCTCCGCAGCTGGATGCGCACCCCCAGGTAGTCGGCCTCCTCATCTGGGCAGAGGGAACACGCGGGGGCTGCTGGGCCACGGCCGCCCCCCACCTCCAGTCCGTCTCGGCCCCCACCACCAGCCCCACTCACTGGGCTGCAGCTGCTTCACCGGGTTGGCTTCGGGCCCGTTGGGGGCGCGGATGTACTTGGGGAAGAGGTTGGGGATGACCCTGTGGGGGGCAGGGCGGTGGTCAGACCCGACCCCCTCTGCGGCCTGTGGGCCCCAGCCCTGGCCCCACTCACACTGACTGGTCCGAGGTGCCCTCGAGCAGACTGGCCAGTTGCCGCCGCTCGGTGCTGTTGGGGGCCAGGTCCAGCACGTGCTTCTCGTTGGTGTACTCCACGGTGCCGCCCTTGGCCAGGTCCCTGCAGCGGCCGGTGGGGTGAGCCTCGAAGGCGCCCGCTCGCGCCCCCCCCTCCCCCGGCCTGGGGCGCACCTCTGGAAGTTCCAGGTGAAGCGCAGGGTGATGTCGGCTGTGCCGTTGTACAGCTCGCGCTTCATCTGTGCCCGGCTGGGCGGGCTGATGCGCCACAGCGCCCCCGAGCTGCCCTCGATGTGGGCCGTGACGATGTCCTCGGGGCTGTACTGGCTGATGAACTGCATGGCCAGCTGGGGCCGGCGCGCCTCAGTGGGGACCTTGGCCCTGCCCCTCCCACCCCCCACCCCCCCATGGCCGGGGCTGGCGCGGCAGCTTACTGGGTTGGGGTCGAAGTGCTGGGACAGCGCGTCGTAGGCCGCCTGTGTGAAAGGCTGGATGGACGGCTGCTGGGCGCTCATGGTGAACAGGGGCTGTGGGGAGGGCTTGTGAGGGCAGCCCCTCGGTGTCGAGGGATGCAGGGCGGGGGGCGGCGGGGGGCCTTACCTCGTAGCCCCCCAGCTTGAGGGTGACGGTGACATCGATGGGCTGGTTGACCACGCCCACCACGGAGCGCACCAGGGACATGAAGAGCAGCGGGAACCAGATGATGGCCACCAGGAAGAGGATGATGAGGCCGCCCATGCCGTACTTGACAATCTTCTTTTTCTTCTGCCCCTTGGGCTGTGGGTATTTCTGGGGCAGAGGACGGGGAAGCCACTGAGCAGCGCCTACCACCATCCCTGCACCACCTTCCTGCCCCAGTGCCAGGACCCGCGGTCCCGCTGAGGATGGCAGCTGGGACATGTCCTCACGGGGCGGGCACAGCCCTTCAGCAGCGGCCCTGGCACCACCAGGCGCTCATGCCTGCCTCTCGCCACACAGCTGCGGCGCAAGCCCCCGGGCAAGTCCCCTCCTTGGGTTTCACGAGACTTAACACTGGCCCCCGCGCCAGACGTGTGTCCATCGGGATTTGGTGTCCAGGCCACCACGCAGCCTCGAGACCCATGTGGAACCAGGCATGGGCGCCAAGTGATGAGCACAGAAGGTGCCGCGTCACCGGCTTGAGGGTGCCGCGCCCACCAGGACGCCACAAGCTGCCCCTCCTGGGAGGCCAGGGGCAGAGGTTCCACCGGGTGTACCCGGGCTATGAGGCCGTGTCCACAGAAGCGCGACTGACAGACAAGCCCGCCATCCACCTGCCACACGGGGCCTGCCCAGCTGTGGACAGGAGCCCCTGGCACGGAGAAGCCCCAAGAACCCTGAGCGGAAGGCCAGGTCTACGCAGCTGCTCAAGGGCGAGGCCGGACCAGGCGGCCGTTGGGGAAGGCGCAGGTGTGGGTTGGGATATGGCTGCTCTGGGTCAGGGTTTCTTGGGGTGATAGGTGCCTGCACTAGGAAGCACCCACGGGTGCTTTCTCAGGTGTGAGGGATGTGGCAATAAAGCTGCTGAAAGACGCAAGCGCAGCTTGCATCTGGTGCTTCCTCCCGCCGCCCGCGCACCTTCTCCGTCTCGCGGCTGCACTTGATGATGAAGATGTTGGCGTAGATGTCCTCCACGCACATCCAGTTGGACAGGGACAGCGTGGTGTCCGTCCACACCCAGTCCATCACGGCCCGCAGCTCCACCAGGAAGGGCACCAGCCGGAACCTGCCCAGGTCAGCGGCCGTCAGGGGCCTGGGGGCATCCTTGCGCCTCGGCCCCACGGGCCCCACTTACCCCTGAAACAGGAAGAGGTTGAGGTGGTTGTACTTCTTGGTGAGGAAGTTGCCGAGGATGCGGGTGGGGTAGCCGCAGCGGATCTGGTAGGCGGACAGGGCGAAGTAGATGCACTTGACGAAGTACCACAGCTGGGCCACCGCGTTCTGGCTGAACATCCTGCGTGGAGAGCGGCCGGGTCAGCGCCTGCCCGGCCCACCAGAGGCCAAGCCCGCGCACCCACCGGACCCACCTCTCCGTGACGGCGGGCAGGATGAAGAACATCCAGAGGTGGATGGCCAGCACCAGCGCCACCTGGAAGGCCAGCTTGCCCAGCACGGTCTTGCGCAGGTAGAGGGCGCGGTCCACCACCATGGTGCTGAACTGGATCAGCAGCATGACGAGGAAGGCCTCGGGCACCTGGTCGTCCGACAGCGACGAGGTGATATCCGTGGCCGCCGAGTGCTTCTGTGGCCGCACGGGACAGCAGAGGTCAGGGAGCCGGGCCTCCTGGGCCCTGCACCCGGCGTCCCGCAGCCCAGCCCCCGCTCACCCCGAAGGCCCAGAAGCCAAAGATGATGATGATGAAGTCGACCACGTCGGCCAGGAACATGAGGGCGTAGACGTCGGTGGCCGCCCGGTACTGGGTGTGCAGGATGTCGTGGAAGAAACGCCGCAGGGGCCGGTACATGCCCTGGGCCCTGGGGGGCGGGACTCAGTGCCGGGCCCTGCCCCTGCCAGCCCGCCCCCCAGCCCCGCCCCTGCGCCAGGCCCTGCCCACTCACAAGGACAGGCAGAGCCTCTGCAGCTGCTGCCCGGCTGCCCGCACTCGGTCCCCGGGGCGTCGGTGCCTCTTCTCTGTCCCTGCGGCTTCCTCCTCGGACTCCTCAGCTTCTGTGGGGAGCAGCCGGCTCAGCCCTGGTCTCCTGAGGGCCTGCCTGTCACCAGCAGGGCCGGGGGGCCGGGGTGCCCTACCAGTTTCCGCCAGGCCTCTGGGGGTGCTGCTCTCCCGCCTCCTGAAGCGCAGGCTCGTGCGCGTCCTGCTCTGGATCTCGAGCTCCTCGGAGGGCCCGCCCCTCACGTCCGCCTGCACGCTGTGCTCGGGGGGGTCCGCCGCCGCCTCGGTCTCGGGTCCCAGCAGGGCCTCCAGCTCCTCAGCCCCTTGCTCCCCACCGTCCCTGCCGCGCGCCTTGGTGTCAGGCTCCTCCTCGTGGTCCCAGAGGCCGTAGCACTGCACGGAGGGGCAGCGGTCAGGCGGCGGGATGGCCGCCCCCCACCTCCCCGGACGGAGGTCCGCCCAGGCTCACCAGCAGCTGCGAGCGGTGGAAGAAGAGCGCCATGAGCTGCAGCAGGTCGTACTTGATGTAGCCATCCGTCTTCTCCAGGCCCAGGATGCGCGGCGGGAAGTAGGGCTTGTTCTCGTAGCGCCGCAGCACAGCCTGGCCGTTCCAGGGGAAGAAGCCGAACTGGAACAGGTACTTGGTGACCACAGTGACCTGCGGGGAAGGGTCTCAGCGGCCGCCCACCGGCCCGCGGCTGGCCTGCCACCCGCCCTCCGCCCCCCGCCCCACCTCGGTGAAGATGATGGCCGTCATCCAGAAGCGCTTGCTGGGCCGTGGGATGGACAGCATGGCCCAGAGGAAGACCAGCACGGGCAGCACCAGCGAGACGGCCGAGGCGGTGACCATGTGGTTCAGGATGATGATGAAGTAGCACAGCAGCTCGGAGTGCGCGGCCACGCACTGGTACACGGCCTGCAGCAGCCGCAGCGGCCGGCCCTGGCCCTCGGAGAAGCGCCGGGCCTCCTCCAGCTCCGGGATGTGCAGGCGCCTGCGGGGGGCCCGCTCAGCACCGTGCTGCAGCGGCCAGGACCCCCCCACACCCCCGCCCCGTCTCCGCCCACCTGTCCAGGAGCAGCTCGCTGGCCGTGCGGGTGCGGCGCACGCTGGCCGGCAGCTCCCGGGAGCCGCGCAGGGAGGGCCCCGGGACCGCCTCCTCGCTGCCGCTGCGGGTGCTGTAGCCCGTGCTCAGGGGGCTGCTGGTGTCCGTCACGCTGCTCAGCGGCTCCTCGGCGCCCAGCCCGCTGAGGGAGGGAGGCGGTCAGGGGGCGGCGGGGCGGGGTGGGGGAGCCTGGCAGCGGGGGCCGCACCTACCTCGACGTGAGGCTTGGCTCGTCGCGGGCCTCCGTCTCGCTGGCGTACAGCTGGTCCAGCACCTCGCTGCCCACCTCCTCGCCCTGCACGGCACGCCCAGCTCTCATGCCAAAGGGGCCCCGCGGGCCAGGCCCATCCCCCCAAAGAAGGCAGGAAGGGTGCACGGTGGAGAGGGGGCGGGCACGGGGGGGTGCTCACCCGCAGCAGCTTCTCGGCCAGCACGTAGCGCTCGGCGCGCAGCACGTCGCTGGTGGCCTGGTGGTGGCGCGTGAAGGTGTGCAGCCAGCGCGTGAGCCCGTCCACCAGCGCCTGGCCCAGCACCCACAGGAACTGCACAGTGCTCAGCACGCGCTGCATCACGTGGCTGCGGCCTGCAGAGGGGGGCGGGGGGTGCTAGAAGGGTGGCCTAGTGGCAGCGGGGGACCCCCCTCCCCAGGCTTTGGGGCCCACGCACCTGCTACCTCGTCCTGTGGCGCCTCTGCCTCCTGGCTGGGGCCTCCTCCTGGGAGTGGGAGTGGGTACAAGTCAGCGCCTGGGCCCCTGGGGTCCCCTCCAGAGCCCTGTGCGCGCCCACTCACCTGTGGGCAGCTGCCCTGCCTGCTCCTGCCGGGCCTGCTCCTCCCGCCGCTGCCTCAGCACGGTCTGGGCGTTGGTGACCCACGCCTGGTACGCCATCTGCTTGCCGGGGCTCGCGGTTAGCGTCTGCCCCCGGCCTCCTGCTGGACCTTCCCTCCCTCGGCGAGGGCAAGAAACAGCCCAGGGGGCGGGGCAATGCCCACAGCCCCGTGCCCGGCCCAGCAGCAGACGTGTCCGGCACGCGTGCAGCGCCCCCGGGAGAGGCCAGCCATCAGCGGGCGCTGCAGGGCCCGGCAGCAGGTGACCGCGCCCCGCACCGTGTGCGCTTGTCTCACTTGGTGCCCGGGGAGGCGCCGGGCCCAGCGGGCCACCTGGACTGCGGGAGGCAGCCCCTGCCCTGACCTGGAAGGCGCTCTGTGCCGACGGCCGCGGGTCCTCGGGCTGCACCTCCTCCTCCTCCTCGCTGTCAGACTCGAACAGGTAGTAGTCCCCAGAGTGGATGACTGCGGGCAGGGCGGGGCTGAGCGCCGGCCCCCCACCCCCGTCCACCCCCTCGGGGGCCTGGCTGTGCTGCCCTGCCCGGTCCCCCAGCACTGTGACCCCTGGGCCAGCCCCACAGCCACCCTCCCAGGTGCCAGAGGCAGGGCGGCGTCGCATGCAAAGGACACAGGCAGCGCGAGGAGACGAGACTGGACAAGAGGACGCGTGGGGACCACGGTCAGCAGGGCACGTGGGGTTCTGGCTCAGAAGAGGGCAGCGTCTGCTGTGGGGGCGCAGCCCGTCACGACAGGCCGGAGGCGGGGCAAGGAATATGTGCATGGGGGGGGGGGCAGCGGCTCCCTGAGGCAGTCAGCTGGGCCGGGTTGGGCCGTACCTGTGGCGTGGTCCAGCCAGGGCCGCCACCACTGTCTCGGGGGCGCGGGGGAGCCCCCCGGGCTGCTGGGCCCTGTGGAGGAGCGGTGAGCATGAGCAGCAGGGAGCGGGGCCGGGGAGGAGGGCGGGGCGCGGAGGGCCGTGTGCGGCAGGGCGGAAGGGCCGGCGGCCCCCACGGGCAGGCCACAGGCAGGCGCGGGCCGGCCACACGGGACAGACGACCACATGGCACGGGACAGGGCGGCGGCTGGCGACACCACGAGCACGGGTGGGGGAGCGTGTGGGCGAGCATGTGGCGGGCGGGGCTGCCAAAGCCCCACCCACACTCACCTGGCTCTTGGCGGGGGTCCTGGGGGCGGCCCTGGCCAGTCTGGCCCTGGCGGTGCTTCTCCTGCTTGGCCCGGATGCGCTCCATCCTGGGGGTGGTGGGGGGAGGCCGTGAGTGCTGGGCAGGCCGGGGAATCCTGGTGCCCACCCTGGGCGGCACCTACTGTCTCTTCAGCTGCGCCAGGGACTTCTCCTCCGCCCGGCGGTGCAGGTCGATGGTCTTGAGGTTGGCGGCGTTGTAGAGGGCGAAGCCCCTGCGGGTGGCATGGTGAGGCCCCAGCCTCTCTGCCCAGTTTGGGGTTCCCCGCTTCGGGCCAGCTGGGCCCAGCTGCCCACGTCCTCCCTGCTCAAGGGGGCCTCAGCCCTACCCACCACCCACCAGACTGTGGGGCCGGGAGGGCCGGGCCGCCCTGCGCTGCCATGGGCACCATCAGGGCTGCAGCGGCCACTCGGCTCCCAAGATGGGCCTGGGCTCTGCCGCTTGGGCTCCCCGTGGCGACGCCAACCTGGAGGCCTGCATGGCGGTGGCCTGCAGCTCCGCCCTGACGTGCAGGAAGTAGTAGCTGAGGAAGACGCGGCGCTGCAGCAGCAGGAACAGGAAGCAGACGCTGTCCCAGAGCACGCCCGCCTCCTCCACGGGCAGCAGGCAGTCCTGGTCCCTGCCCAGCATCTCCTTGGCTGCGGGCGGCACCGCAGGGGTCAGGCCCTGGCTCGGGCGCGCACTCGGTCCCGCCCACCCGCCCGGTCACTCACGGTCGTAGTAGCCTTTGACGGTGCACACGAGGCTGAAGAGCTGGATCACCCAGCAGAAGCTGCTCTGCATCTGCTCCACGAAGACGCAGGACAGGAGCTGGGGGGGAGGCGGGTCAGCCCAGGTGGGCGGGCAGGCGGAGGGCAGAGGGGTCGGCCTGGCGGGGGCTCACCGAGAGCAAGTTCTTGGAGACGATGACGGTGACGTTGTAGAGGATGAGGCAGTCCCAGAGCAGCAGGCGGGCGCGGGTGTCCCTCTGCAGCAGGGCGGTGCCGAAGAGCAGCAGGTAGAAGCAGGCCAGCAGGTAGCCGAGCCCGAAGACGCTGATGCGGGTGGCCCCCGTGACGAACACCACCACCAGCACCAGCCAGAAGAGGTAGCGGAAGACGGCCACCTTGAGCATGTCCAGGGAGGACCTGCCGGCCGCGGGGCGTCAGTGCGGGGCGTCACCGGAGCCCCAGCTCCCTCGGAGCAGGGACCTGCCGGGGTGGGGGGTCCCGCCGGCGCCCCCGCAGCCTGTGCTGGCGTGACCGTCCGCCCTGCCCGGCAGCAGCCTGCCCGGCCGACTCACCTGCAGTGGATGAAGTTGGGCACGGGGTTGGGCTCCCCCCGGGGCAGCTCCAGGTGGTCCGTGTTGACGCCGGCCATGCGCTGCCACTCCTCGGTGCGCTCGGCCGAGAAGACCTGCCACTGCTGCGAGGCGCAGAGCAGCAGCAGGAAGTCGCCTGCGGGCACAGGGTCCGCTGCCACCAACCGGCATCCCCCGCCCGCCCCGCCCCAGCAGCCGTGGGCAGCGCCGCCCGCCGTGCAGACCCGCTCAGCACGCCCGCCCCACACGCGTGCCCCCCGGACGCTGCTCTGCACCGCGGCGGGCGCCCCGGGAGGCAGGGCCGGCGGGGGCGCTGGCGGGCGGCCTGGACGAGCCCTGCCCTCGCTGGCCAGGCCGCACTCACTGATGAGGTTGGTGGAGTTGGGGCTCCGGAAGAAGTCGGGCAGGTACAGCCACTTGATGAGCGCCGAGTTCATGGGGATGGCCTGGCTCCAGCGCCACGGGTAGTCTGCGGGGGCGCGTGTCAGGGCAGGGCCCGGCATCCCCAGCGGCCGCGCCTACGTCCACTCGCGCACCCACCCCACGGCCCTTCAGCGTCCGAGGCCCGCCGGCCAGAGACCCCATGTCCTCAGACACGTGCCCCCGCGTGACTGCCCAGGACCTGGGTGTGGGCGGGGCCGAGTGGAGGCCTACAGGGAGGGAGATGGGCAGGCGGGGCCTTTCTGGTGGTGACCACTGACGGGGGGCAGGATGCAGAGCCCAGAAGGCACAGGACTGGGGGGGACAAGAGGAAGGCGCCCCCCGAGCCTTTACCCCAGAGGAAGGACCCTGTGCCCACCCCAACCCCAACCCCAGGCCCCACAGGACTCTGCTCAGCGGCTGAGAGGCGGAGGGCGTGGCCGGGCTGCCACAGTGCTCAGGGACTGCCCCAGATGCGCGGGCGTGGGAGCAAACACGGCGCCTCCGCCAGACCACAGGGGGCCCGGTTTTACTACAGCAAGCCCAGAAGCAGCCTGGATGGCCTGGGCACCTGGCTGCCCCGGCCCCGCCAGTCCAGTGCCCACCACGGTTTTCTGCCCCAGCCTCCAGGGGAAGGAACCGGGTGACAGTGGGAGCTGGCGGAGGCCATGGAAGGGTCCAGAGTGCGCCCTGAGGCAGCACCCCAGCAGACGCCCAGGGGAGGGCTGTGGGATGGGCTGGCGGGGCGGCGCGCCTCACCTATGCACAGGGCGGGGGGGATGCCCAGGCACAGCAGGTACTGGTACAGCAGGAAGAGCGTCAGGAAGAGGCAGTAGTTGGGCCAGAGGCGGGCGATGGCCGCGCGGCGCCGGCGCGTGAGGATGGCCACCAGCCAGCCGCCGTGGAGGATGACCATGAAGTTCATGCGCTGGCCGATCACGTTCACGGCCATCAGGAAGCAGATCTGGGGGTGACGGGGGGTGCAGTCGGACAGGGGCCAGGTGTGGGGGCCCGGGGACCCCTCACCCCCTGTGGGGACGGACGGCCTGACCCCGCACACACGGGAGACGGAGCTGTGCCGGGGCAGCAGGATGCACGGGAGCGGGGTGCTCGCCGGACCTCACCTCCAGCCCGAATTTGTAGAAGAAGAAGTTGATGAAGTACTTGAGGCAGCTGAGCAGGTCGCGGTCCAGCCGCTGGCGGGTGCCGTCGGCGCAGACGGCCTGCGCGGGCAGCGGGCCCAGCTGGTGCTGGCGGCGGTGGTGCTCTTGGCGCCGGTACACCATGGCCTCGAACACCAGCAGCAGCAGGATCTGCAGGTGGTTCTGCGGCAGGGCGGGCGGGGCGGTCAGGGCTGCCCGGCCCCGCCAGCCCCCCGCCGCCCTCCCCTGGCCCACTCACCTGGATGTAGCCCAGGTTCGGGAAGCCCTTCCGCACCCCAAACCAGTTGGCGGGATCGACGGGGCCGCGGTAGAGCAGGGACTGGCTGATCTCGGCCTTCTGCAGGTTGGTGCTGTTGGGGAAGGGCTGGGGGAGGGGCGGGCATCAGCGCTGGCACTGGGCGGGCGGGACACGGGCCCCTCGCCCCACCTCGGCTCTGGGTCCACCCCGACAGGGAAGGGGTCACGGAATGCGGCAAAGGGACCCCACAAAGGGGGTGGGGCTGCTCGGGGGCCTCCCCCTCCCCGCCAGGGTGGGGCTGCCTGGTGCCTCCCCAGGCCCTGGGCTGAGCGCAGGCCCGCGGGCAGGGACCCCCCTCTGCGGGCCGGGGGGCGCGGCACCTCCGTGCAGTTGCTGGCGTACTCCTGCGGCCGCACGACCTTGAGCTGGTACAGCATCTTGCACACGATGATGATGCAGGTCCACACGGTGGACAGGCAGGAGGCCATGGGCCGGAAGCGGGGGTAGGGCAGCGCGAAGGCCCAGAGCACCACCAGCAGCAGGTTCATCACCGACACCTGCGGGCGGCGCGGCGGGCTGGTGGCTGGACCCCGCAGCCGCCCCCCACCCCCTCCCGCTGCCACCCGTCCTGCCGCCAGCCCCGCGGGCCCGGCACGCACCTCCTTCAGGGCCACCCAGACGGTGTAGAGGGCCACCAGCTTGAGGACGTGCAGCTCCAGCAGGCGCCGCGCCAGCACCTGCACGCGGGTGAGCACGGCGGAGAAGCCGGCCGCCAGCTCCAGCAGGCGCTCGGCCACCAGGCCCCACTTGCTGGGCGCCGCTGCAGGGTGGGAGGGCGGCCGTGGGGTGAGGCGGCGTGCTCCCGGCCCGAGCCGCCCGCCCCGCAGCTCAGGCTTGGGGCTCAGAGGGCCTGAGCCCGGGGACACGGGGCGCCCTGCGGCTTACCTTCCGGGGCCCGCGTGGCCTGGGGGGGTCCAGGTGCCCCCTCCGCCGCCTCCTGCTGTAGCAGCGGGGTCCCGCTCACCCCGTCCTGCCTGGGACAGGGCCCCACAGCGTCACTTCCCCCCGCCAGGCCGGGCGCCCACACGGGACCGCCCTCCCCGGCTGGGAGCGGAGCGGGCGCCCACCTGGAGGCCCAGCGCGGCCGCTGGGCGCGGGGCGGGGGCACCCGGTCCAGGTCGGTGAGCCGCATGAAGGGCTGGTGGAAGTAGTGCAGCTGCAGGATGCAGGCGAGCAGGAAGAAGCCGGGGATGAGGATGCTGGAGAAGAGCTCGGACACGCTGAACTGCTCCAGGCCCAGGTCCTCCAGCCTGCGGGAGCCTCGGTCACCACCTGAGGCCCGCCGCCCGCCCGCCGGCCGCCCGCCCGCCGCCCGCCCGCCCGCTCACTGCTCGTCCGTGAAGCCCGTCAGGTTGCGCCAGTAGGCGGGGAAGTCCTGGAACTGGAAGGTGTAGACGGCGATGAGCACCAGCATGGTGTAGGCCACCACCAGCCACCAGAACACCTTGAGCAGCTTCCTCCACAGGCTGTAGTAGACCTGAGGGGGCGCAGCGGTGAGCCCCCTGCCCGCCCGCCCGCCCGCCCGCCCGCCCGCCCAGCCGCCCCGCCTGGCACCTGGAAGAGCGTGAGGCACAGCAGGAAGAGGAACATGTAGACGATCTTGTAGACCACCAGGCGGCCGGCGAAGCTGACCACGATGAACATGCCCGCGCACACGTAGATCCAGTACTTGGCGTACGCGCCCGTCACCAGCGTCCCCAGACTCCGCAGCAGCGTGCGCGTCCGCGTGGGCTCTGCAGGGGACACGTGGCGTCGGGCCGGGAGGGCCGGGAGAGGGCCCCGCCCGCCTGCCCGCCCGCCTCACCTGTGTCAGCCACGGTCACCCCCGTCAGCGTGGGCGGAGCCTTGGCCCCCCTCAGCAGCTTCTCCTTGACAAACTGGCGCAGCAGGAGCCAGAAGGTCAGGGTGTACAGCAGCTGCGACACGGCGGGTCAGTGAGCGCCGGCCTGGCCTCCGGCACCAGGCCCCGCCCAGAAGTGCCCTCGGTGGGAAGCGGCCGGCCCCTGCCCCTGGCCAACTCTGTGGACATGTTGTCACACCCGCAGGCCCCTGGCCCCACACATGCCGGGCACCGCTGCCTCAGGGCCACGCCAGGTGCGAGGTGGCGCTGGCAGCCGCTCACCATGGCGCCCAGGTCCAGGCAGGGGTAGCGCGTGTGCTCCAGCCCCAGCTGGCGCAGGCTGACGGGGCCCAGCATGACAGGAAGCTCGCGCTGCAGATCCATGGCCCACACGTAGCGCAGGCCGCACAGCGCCAGCCCGTAGAGCAGGATGAAGGGCGAGCACAGCATGGCCAGCTGGTGGCGACTGCGCACTGTCCAGATGACGCAGGCCCAGAGCAGCAGCACGAAGGTCAGCCAGCTGTGGTAGGTGATACTCCAGACCTGGGGGCGAGGGGGAGGCCAGTGGGTGGACCCCCGGAGCGCCAGCACACCCCCCCCACCCTGAACACACGCGGCACGGGCTTGGACTCGGGCTGCTCGGGCCCCGCGGCCGAGGGGGCACATCCCGCAGACGCCACTCACCATCATGGCGATGAGGGCGCACACGTAGCTCTGGTTCATGATGAGGTGGCCCAGGCTGTGCAGCGGTGATGGCTCCTGGGGTCCCGCCAGCCGGGGGCGCCCTAGAGGGGTGGGCCGGTCAGGCAGGAACTGGGGGCCCTCCTGGGAAGCTGCAGCTGGGCTTGGCCACATGCAACGTTGCCCCCAGACATGGACAGGTGGCCCGTGGGGAGAAGGGAGCGTGCTGGCAGGAGCCCGTGGCGGGCCTGGGGCAGAGCACGCCCTGGAGCATGGGGGTGCCCAGCCCCCACCTCCGCAGGCCTCGGCTTCCAAGACCAAAGGCCCGGGCGGAAAGGTAGCCCCGTGCCAGCACCCCACTGCCTGATTGTGCAGGGGCAGCCCGGAGCACGGGGGGCTGGGCTGGGGGGGCACTTCGAGACAGGGCTGCACAGGGCCCCAAGGTGGGAGAGTTGAGTGCGCTCTGGACTGGGAGGGGTGCGGGGGCCGGGAGGCCCCTGGAGGGCTGGGTCCCGGGGCCCTGGCCCTGGCCCTGGCGGCAGACCAGTGAGAACCCCCGGTGGCCACCAGGGGGCAGTGCACGCACACGCAGGAGCGCCCAGGCCCAGCACGCGGGACTCACTCGGGTGCTGCCGGACGGGGCTGTGGCCAGTCAAGTCGTGCACGGTGCAGTTCTCCGGCTCCAGAGACGCGGGCGCCGCCGGCTGCGGGACAGGACAGACCTCGCGAGCCAGCCCACGGGGGCCGCCCCCGGCCCAGCCGGGCCCACCCCTCACCTGGGCAGCTCCAGTTTCCTTGTCGGCGGCTGCCCAAGCCTGGTCCTGCAGCCACTGGTCCACCTCGGTCAGCTCCACCTCTCGCTCCTCCTCGCCCCCAGTCACCTCCTTCCTCTGTGGAGACCGGAGTCCAGGCTCAGCCCCTCAGCCTGGTGTCGGGGTTTCGGGGGGGAGGTGGGGGTGTGCAGGGGGGAGGGGCGGCAGGACCTGGTCGGCGGGCCGGTGGGGGCGCAGCTTCAGCAGCGAGACCAGGGTGTAGTACAGCAGCAGCAGCAGGCCGGGGCTCGCGTACACCGGCCAGTCGTGCTGGGTGTTGAGGGTCAGGGTGTGCGGGCTGGAGCAGTTGGCCGGAACCATGAAGTCCTTGAGGCCGAACACCCTGCGGGGGATGGACCCGGCTGAGTGCGCGGGGCCGGTGGGGCGGGGCCCGTGGGGGCGGGGGCCGGGCGCCTCACCTGGCCCAGATGCTGGCGGGCGGGAGCAGGGCCTGGGCGAAGGGCGTCTGGTAGCAGTAGAGGCAGAGCAGGTGGCCGGCGCCGAAGCAGCCCACGGAGACGCAGAGCGTGCTGAAGCCCAGCGGGCTGATGGGGAAGTGACAGGCCCACCAGGTGCAGATGGCCAGGAAGGCCAGGAAGTAGAGGCTGGAGAAGGCCGAGGGGTGGGCGATGCCTGTGGCCGGGGACACACGGGTCAGGCCGGGCCGCGGGGGCTCCGGGGGCGCGAGGGTCCCTACCCAGTGGGTACCTGCCAACGCCAGCAGCGCGATGGCCAGCATGCGCCCGGCGGCCACCAGCAGCCAGTGGGCGGTGACCCGGAACCGGGCGGCCAGTCGAGATCTCCGCTTGGCGGCCAGCGCGGGGCCTCCCCGGAGCCCTGCCAGGGGCCGGGCGTCCGCCTCCCTCTCGTCGTCATCCTGCAGGGTCACGGGGAGACAGGTCAGGGCACGGAGCCCCCCGAGCCCCCACCACTGCTGCCCAGTGGCCGTGGCCTGCACCCCCTCAAGTCAGCTCTGGGGACTGGAGCAGCCCACCTGGCCGGCCCGGCCCACGCAGGCGCCTCCAGAGCTGCCGAACCCCTCAGCGCCCGCCCTCGTCTCATGGAGACCCGCACAGGCCCCTGGGCCAGCCCCGACTGAGCGGCGAGTGTCCGGAAGGGGGCATGTGCCGCCCCACCACGCGTGGCCCACAGGCTGGAGCTGAGCCCACACGGGCTGGGCCCCCATCAGAGTGGGGTGAGGGGACCCCACTTCACCAGGCTTGGTGCTAGGGTCTCAGGGTGGGCGTGCCCTGAGGCTGATTCGCCAGTGGACAGAAGCGACCAGCTGGCTGGGGAAGGGACGGCCCTGCCGGGCCCCACCGTCCCGGGACTGGGGGCTGCAGCAGCGAGTCCTGCTTCCTGGAGGCCCCGGGCCTCGGGGCGGGCGGCGGTGGCAGGGAGCCCGCGGGCCACACCCCAGCCCCCAGCCTGGCGTCGGCCTCTGGTCAACCCGAAGGGTCCCAGAGAACCCCAGGCAGGACCTGCCCAAGTCTGGGGGCCCGTCAGAGCGGGACGCCCCCGCCCGCCACAGGCAGCCAGCCTGAGCTCGGCAACGCGGCCGCCCCTCCCACCCCGGGAGCCTGAGAGCCGCCACCTGGGGGGGCCGGGGCGGGTGCGGCCCCCATGACCGACCCGCGATGCGGGGGGTTGGGGATGCCCACGTGTTCCCGGCCGTGGGCAAGGTGCCCTGCCGCCCCCGCCCCCGCCGTCTCCACCCGGCCATCAGGTCCAGCCCCCGGGGCAGACCTGTGATGGGCAGCTTGGAGGGGCTGGCCCTGCCGCCACCCCCAGATTTTGGGAAGGAGTCCAGTCCCTTCCCGGCAGGGCTGTTCCCGGAAGCCCTGGCCCTGCTAACGAGGAAACCAGAGGCCGCCGGCCTGCATGCCCACACACCCGGCGGGGGCGGGCCGCGGGGCGGGCGGGCGGAGAGCAGGCGGGTCGGCTTCAGGCCCAGTGACCTGCCCCGCGGTGGGCCCCAGGACTCCCCTCCCCCTTTCTGGCCAGGCTGAGGACAAACGACAGTGGGACCGGCACGGGGCGCCCGAGGCCCTGGGCCCCCTGCAGGGAGTGGGGCTGAGGCCAGTGCAGAGGCCTGTGGTGGGGGCAGGGCACACGCAGGACCCGGGCCTCACCCCACTGGAGGCAGGACCCTCCGGGGCAGTCCTGATTTAGGGCCTAAACAGCCACGATGACCCACAACCCCACTGGTGCTCTCGTTCTCCAATGCGCCCCCCCCCGCCCTCCCCAGCGCTGCCCGCCAGGCGCTGCCCACCCCCAGCATGGCCTTTGTCTCCTGTTCTGGGCAAGCCTGAAGGGCATGGGGTCCCGAGACCGCCCCCAGGACAGAGGCAGCCACCTCACCCCCCGGCCTCCGTGCCCTCGAGCGTGTCCAGCCCCAGCTGGCCCCTCACCGGCTCCCGGGCATGCTGGCTCTGCCGTGCCCTCCGCACCAGGCGCCCGCAGAGGCCCAGGCACACGGAGGAGACCACCAGGATGCCCAGGTCGGGGGCCACCAGGCGGATGGCGTTGGGGATGTCCTTGAGGTCCAGCCTGTGGAGGGCAGGGAGAGGCTTGAGCAGCTGCTGGCCAGGAGGCCCGGGCCTGGCAGGCGTGCCCCCCTCCCCCACATGGGAAAGCTGGCGCAGGCTCTGGCCTCTCACCTTGTGACCCCCACATGACGGGAGAGGGTCTCCCAGGGGCCACCTGCAGAGAGAGGCGGCGGGGGGGCCCGGGTCAGGTGGTGGGTGCCCCGGGGATGCCAGCTGCCCGCAGGAACGCCGGCACAGGCTGCCTTCGCTTAGGGAGACTGAGGCCCAGCAGGGAGGGGTGCGGCCAGATGTGCCTGAGGGGTGCCGACTGGGCCCCAGCTTCCTGCCTGCAGGGGGCGTCACCGCCAGACAGATCGGGGGCCCAGAGACCCGCCCCGGCCACCAGGGCCCCCCATCTGATCCTTTGTGGGGGCAGCTGGGGGTTCTGGCCTGCAGTGGGCAGGACCCCAATAGTCAGCAGCTGCAGACCTGAGGGCCCACAGGCATCCCTGGGCCCTGGAGACTCACAGTTGGGCCCCAGCAGCTGGTCCAGGCGCGGCACGACGTGCAGGCATATCTGGAAGGCCAGGTGGGCAGCCAGGAAGAGGAGGCTGAGGCCCAGCAGGGCTCGGAGGAGGCGGCCAGTGTGACCTGCGGGCAGAGTGGCCTGCTGCAGGGGACGGAGGGGCAGGCGGCCTCCCTGCACGGCAGCGGGTCCATCAGTGCTGGTCAGCCGTGGGTGGGACACTGCTGGGGTCCCGCGGCAGAGGAGGAAGTGGGCGTGGGGTGACCCAGCGGGGATGGGGGTGCCCAGCCTGTCTTTCACCTGCTCACAACCTCCCTGGGGTGGGGCCGAGGCTTGTGGGAGCCCGTGGGTTTGCCCACACTCCTGCAGAGCTCTGGGCCCCCACAGGGAGCCCCAGGACCTCAAGTCATGCATTTGGGGAGGGGCCCAAACCTAAGCCCCACCTGGAGGGGAGAAGCGGGGCCCAGGAGCCCCCCAGTCAGCACATCCATTCGTGCCGAGGCTGAGAGGCCGCGATCCCTTGCAGGGCAGCCTGTGGCCCTCTGCTCTGCGGCGGGTACCACTGGGACTGGCCCCGGGTTCTGGGCTCTGAATCCAGCTCAGGCTGTGGCGTGGCCAGTTCCCTGCTCCAGCCTCGGCCTCTGCTGGTGCGCCCACGTGGGCCCCCAGGACTGGGGAAGTGGGGGGGTCCCTCTCCTCGCCCAGGCATGGCATGTGTCCCCCACTGGGTCAGGGGTCCTGAGATGGGGGTGGGGCCACAGATACCAGAGCCCCTTCCTCACCCCCATCCCCCGCATGCCCGGACAGGCCTCGGCATGGCCGCCTGAGCCCCGGCCCTGCTCCCGGCCGCTGCCCGCCTTACCTCGGAGGCTGTGCCAGGAGGGGCCTGGGAACCAGGGCAGCAGCAGCAGGAACAGCAGGTAGACCAGGGAGAGCGCGTTGACGCGGAGCAGGCAGGCTGGGAGGACAGGGAGGTCAGCAGGTCATCGGGTGCCCCCTCAGCACACACCTTCCAAACCCCCCACCACACTGCCCCCCAGCCCCGCAGACACCCCAGCAGCCTCCTTGCTTTAGAAAGTGCAGTTACGACATGGCGCACTGCCAAGGGCCCCCGAGCCCGGGCAGGCACCTCCCTGCTGGGGTGCGCCCTGGACAGCACTGGAGCTGCTGCCTGACACGGGGTGGGGGTCCTGCTTGCACAGCCCCGGGTGACCCCCACCTTGCAGCCGGGCCCACCACCGGCCTGCCCCTGGCCCCCGGAGGTGCCTGCGAGCAAGCGGGGCCAGGCTGCGTCTGGATAGTCCCCCCAAAGAAGCTGACCTGACCCAGCACTCAGACCGTCTTCCCCGGGGAGGGGACAGGGACAGGCGGGTCTAAAAATAAGCCTGGGCCCAGGCCCTCTCTGCGTCCAGGCCGGGTCTCCACAGGCCCTGGTCACGCGACCTGGGGGCAGTGGTGTCCCCTCCAGTGCCGGGGGGTGGGGGGGCGGCTGGCTCCCAAGGGCCTTGCCTGGACCCCCGGGTCCCACCGGCACCGGATGCGGGAGCCTCCTCAGCCCCCTGGTCAAACCAGTCACAGACCCCTGAGCCCACGTGGCCTCACGTCTCCCCCTGCCAGGACCCCCCAGGCGGAGCTCAGGGAACCGGGGCGTCAGCCACCGCGGGGGACAGAACCATGGGCCAGGCGCCCAGGCCCAGTCAACGCTCCCACCTGAAGGGTGGGCAGGACCCCAGAACGACAGCCGTGGGGGCCAAGCATGGGGCCTCAGTCACCCCTCTCCCCACCCCCACTGAGGTGGGGGTTCTGGCCCAGCCCGAGGGGCGAGGCCAGCCCCGGGCTCCCCCAGAGCACTCGGCACAGAACAGAGTTGATCGGACGCGCCCAGGAAGCCGGGAGGCGCGCCTACGGCACAGGCTGCTGGAATGCTCAGCCCCTGGCCTGCCCCCGCCCCACCGTCCAGCCTGTCCCCAAGGGGGGGCTCAGCGCGGGGTGAGTGGCGGCTGGGGTTTGTGGGCTGCAGAGGTCTGGGGGCCTGACCGCACAGCCCGGGGAAGGCCCTCGGAAGCAGCCAAGCGGGCACGTGTCACGTGTGGCTCAGTCACGACAGCCCCAGGCCCGTGAGGCCGTCAGGGGCCAGGGCCCGGGCGCAGGGCTAGAGCCGACCTCAGGTCCCCAGAAACAGGCCTGGGAGGGGAGTTGGGGGGTGGGCGGCCCTCTCCCCTCCTGTCACGAGGGGCAGCTGCCCATGGGGACTCAGTCCAGGCTCCGTGCCCACAGGCTGGGCATGTGCCAGCCACTGGACGACGAGGAGGCGCCGCCCTCCTGCGGACCCCGGTTCCATCCGCCCCGCCCAGCAGCTGTGGACAGGCAGCCCTGGGGGCGGGATGGAGGTGAGTTCTGAACAGCCCGTCCCTTCCCCCATCACCTGGGGGGCAGGTGAGGGTACCCTGGCCACAACCGCGAGCACAAGCCCCCCAACAATGCCATCCTGCATCCCTGTCCCAGGGAAGGGGTAACGGCCAGCACTTGGGTCCAGGCCTGGGCTCCAAATCCAGGACTTCCAGGACATTCCGCGAGACGGTGACTGCTGCTGCCCAGGCATGTGGCCGAGTCGGCAGGAACCTGGGCGCATGCGGCCTGCAGGTGGCGCTGCTCTGGCCTGGCCTGGCCTGGCATGGGGGCTCAGACGGGGCGTCCTGCCAGCCCCAGGGAAAGCACGCCTTTTCCGGAGCCGGGAACAATAGGAAGGGGTGGGGAGCCCGCCTCCAACCCTCACGGCCCCCCGCAGGCCTGAGTCTACAGCCCAGACCCCTGGCTGGGCCGGCCGCTGGGCCGGCCGAGAGCGCAGGGAGGCAGATGACCAGCTCGTGCCCGCCCCCCCAAGCATGCACATTGCAGGCCCCCACCCCCGGCCCTGGAGCTCTGGAACAGCCTGGTCTGCAACTTGCGTGCACACGACCATGGGGGCCAGAGCCGGCCACAAGCGGGTGGGGACAGCACAGGCAGGGACAGAGGGGGTGCACGAAGGCGCCTCCATCCCCCCACATCAGCCACAGGAGCAGGAAGGCCAGTGGCTGGGAGGGGCAGCTGGGTTTGGGTGGACACACCACGGCCCACCTGTCACTGTCGCTGGACACGGGCAGCTACTGGGTGGCCCAGCCCTCAGCTGGGCCTGAAGGGTCCCCTCCCTGCTGCCCCAGCGCCACGGGTCCCGGCCTGGTTGGCAGGAGGGCGGCAGGGCCGGACCTGCATGGGCCTGGGTGGGCCGAGTGGCTGGCTCCAGGGGGAACAGCAAGGCTGAGGCCCGGGGGGGTCCTGAGACACCCCCCCGCTTCTCCCACATTCACTCCCTCCCTGAGGCGCCTCTTTCTGAGGCCTGACCACACCCCCTGGGTGCAGGCCCAGGGGTGCCACAGCCTCACAGTGGCTCAGGTTCGGTTCCCACCACTGCCGGGGTGGCCTCAGGGCCCAGCCAGACAGCCCCTAGGTCCGCGCCAGGCCTCGGGAGCATGAGGCCCGGAGACCCCTGCGCCGCTCACTGGCCCCAGCGCGCACGGTGGACAGAGGCGGCCCTCGCCTCCCGGGGAGTCTCCTCCTCTGCCGTATTTGGCCTGGAGGAGAACCCGTAAACACGGCTCACCCTGCGGGGGAGGGGGGGCGGTGCGAGAGCGGGACACGGCTGCTGGCCCCGGTCCGCAACTACCCGCAGCTCCGAGGCACCTGCCGGCCCCCCCCAGGGGACCCTGGGCTGGGATCTAGCCCCCCATTCTGGAGCAGGTGTCTGGAGAGGTCAGCAGGGGCCCAGGGCTGAGGTGCTGCCCTGGCGTGTCTGCGGCCCACAGCACCCACCGCCGCCGTTGAGGAGTGCCACCGGGAGCTCCAGCCCCGAGGAGGTGGGGGGCACAGGAGCACACTAGCGTGGACAGGGAGACTCAGGAGAGGCCTGCACAGCCGCACGGGCTCCTCTCCAGGGGCAGCGGGAGTAGGCACGGCGAGGGCGACAGCTGAGGTGAACCCTGCAGGGCCAGGGACAGCAGCAGGGCAGGAGGGGGGTGTTTGGCCCCCAGAACTGGGGCCTGGCAGATGTCCTGGAGCCTGTGCTTGGCAGGGCCGAGCGGCCAGGGGTGCGCCAAGTGCTGGGGCTCCAGCCCCCAACCAGGCCAGGCGGAAGGAGCAGCCACACTCCACCGCAGACCCTGGAGGCCCAGGCCGGGGCGGGGCGCCCGAGGCTGCCCTGTATGGAAGGGCTGGGGGCCGCCAATGGGCGGGCAAGGAGGTCCCTCCCCTGGAGGATGCCGCCCCAAGGGCCCAGGCTCATCAGAGAACCCCTCCCGCCAACGAGCAGTCCCCTCAGCGCCCGAGCCACGCCCAGCACCCCAGCAACCAGCACCGCCCGCCGTCTGCGCGCGGGGGTGGCTGTGTCTTGGGCTCGGCTCCTCCGAAGGGTCAGTGCTCGGCCACCCTGCCCAGCAGGCCTGCCGGAGCCCAGATTCCAGGGCCCGGGCGGGGCCTGCATTCCACAGGGGAGGCAGCTCCCCTGAGCCCCGGGGAGGAGCCAGCGCAGGCCCTGACCTCGTGCAACACAGGTAAACAGGCGCCGCCCGCCGGATGGCCGGTGGACGCCGGTGGACGCAGGGCCCGGCGTGTGGCCCTGGGCGCTGGGCCGTGCTCTTCAATGCGGCCGCCTTGGCTGGGGCCTGCATGGAGGGCAGGGCTGAGGCCGGCCAAGCCTGGGCAGACACAGGGGCCGGCGCTGACCCAGGGCGCAGCAGGGCCTGACCCCGGCATGTGGCCCCGCGGGGTGCCCAGGCCACAGCAGGCCAGCACCACCTGAGCTGGCACCCAGGGCGTGGCGTCGGGCTCGCCCAGCCTGTGCAGGGCACAGACAGGTGGGAGGGGTTTCCAGGAGGGCAGGGTGGGGGGCCCACTCTGGCCCTGCACCCCCGCGGTCCTCTCTGCGGTCACTTTCCAGGTCCTGCCCCACTCTAGGGCACGTCGGGCCCCAGGAAGGGGTGCGGGGTGGGGTGGGGGCCGCCGGAGGGGGGCGGCGGCGCCGTGGCAGGCGAGGTCCAGCTCTGCCCCCGAGCCCCAGTGCCCTTCAGTGAGATGGGAGCAGCCCAGGACCTGCTCTAGGGTGCGCCCTCCCTGCACTGCACCAACCCCAGGGGGCCTGCCGGCGGGTGTCCCCGCACCCCACCCGCGGGGTGAGGCCAGAAGCGGGCACCCGGCAAGGGCCGGCAGGGCCTCAGTGCTGGGGGCCGGGGCGGGGCAGCGGCACATTTCCCAGGTCAGCGAGGCTGGGCCGGCGTGGCCCATTCTGAGTCGCCCCGGAGAAGCTTGTGGACGGGGCGGACACTGAGTTCCGTCCACTGGGTGTCCCACAGGCTGAGGTGGGCCGCGGCCACCGCCCAAGCCCGAGAGCCAGGAGGGCCCAGGGGGGTGCCCCTGGGACCCCAGGCGCCATGTCGCCCGCAGCCTCTCACGGGCCAGCCCACATCGCTCGCGCCAAACGCACAGAACCAGCCTCCCGCCCCCCCCGCCCCGCGTGCCCACAGAGCACGGGACAGGCCCTGCCCGTGTCCTGCTGCTTCTCCGGGGAGCCCCGACTGCCCCTCAGCGGCCGCCTCCCAGGAAGCCCAGGCTGGTGCACAGCAGGCCGGGGGGTGGCCCTGGTGCTGGAACGCGCTCCCCAGCTGGGGAGTGGCCGAGCGGCCCCCACCCAGGAGAGGAGAGCGCGGCCCCCGCCCGGGGACAGGTCAGCTGCCCGAGCTATACGTCCGCTTCCTGGAAAAGTGTGAGCGCTCGGCTCGGCGCGGCGCCGTCGTACCCGCCACATCCTGTTTTTATGGAAAACTAATCTAATTCCCAACAGCACAGCGAGCAGCAGTGTCGCGGGGGTCCCCGGGGGCCACAAGGCGGGGCGCCCCTGCTCTGGCCAGTGCGGCCAGCGCCCTCCCC